ATCCCCGCTGTTGTATGTTTTTACCTTTTTGCTATTCTTTCAATTTTGCCGACATGAATAAAGGTCTCTCTTTGTTCTATACGTATTCTTAGCTAGGCAGGCCTTCTCCCTTCTACGGGCAGGTTTATATGTCGTCAGTATGCCCAGCTGATATCCATGAGGATCCATAAGTCGTATTGTGAGACAACCATTGCATCTTTACCTAATGACATGCGATATGACACCTCTAGCCAGCGTTTACGTCGGGTGTTCCTCTACTGCATTCATTGCATCATATGAGGAATGAGATTAAAACAGTTGTTTGCATGGTACCTAGGTAGTCTGTTGACTTTAGCAGATAATCGCCATATATTTTTACAATACTATGCTTGGATACTTGGGATTGCTGGATAAGTACAATGGAGCTCATAGTCCTCCCACTAATTAGTCGAAAGCCATGATTTACGGATAGTTACTCAGCACTCAGTGTCGCGTGATTCCACTGTTAAGACTCGGTTCTAATATATTGCCAAGTAATCGGGTATACCTGGGCTACTATGCGACGGGAGATATTGTATCTGCACAGTGGAGCCAATAATCTTCACTATCCTTGGATATCGACGTTTTCCTCTGGTGATGATGCAAACCCAACGATATAAAAAGGTAGGAATCACTGTCTAATCCTTACAAACTGCCCCAGTGAGGTATCCTTTATGTCGCGACGGCATTTTGACTCGGCCAAAGAAACGGCACGTTGACATAAAATTATACCAAAGTGCCTCCCAAGTACCGGCCATTCACGAAGTTGGACATGATGCATTTCCCAAACAAGAGGTCAGTCAGTTTGTCTACTATTGAATGAACCAAGTTTCGTGTCGAGGTATATTCACTAGATTGTACCCAATTCAGTGCCTTTGGAGATGAGCAACTCAAAAGTTTAATGAACAATGGTTAAGAGCTCGTGGCGAAAGCTGAACGTTTGATATTCATTCTGCATTCGTTGTCTTGAAACAAATTTTGAATCTCGAGAAGCATGGTATCCTTCCTGTTCTAGCCATCGAATGGCTTTCAGATAATCAAGATATTATAAAAACGCCTAGTCACCGGCCCGGTTCCTGTCAATGGTACACTTCTGACGACCAACTCTCAACTGTCAGCTAATTAAAACCTGCCCTTGCCCTCCCTTCGCTTCTCATTACGCTCCGCCTCTGTCTTCTGCCTCTTTCGACTCTCTTGGGCAATCATTTCACTCAAGTCATCGTCATAAGCCCACTTGGCTCCGACACCCTCTTCCTTCTTACCCTCCTCGAACTTGCGCCGCAGGTCATCCTTGCTAATTCCATCGTTGTTGTGCAAAGAGTCAACATCGAGAGCAACATCGATGTCACCAGGCTTCTTGCGCTTGCGCGTGTCGTCATCAGCACCAAGCACAGGCACGCCTGCTCGCTGCGCTGCTTGATTCTGCTTAAGATCATATACTCTGTCGCTACCAAAGAAACCTTCGGCACGGACTTGCCGCTCTGGCAAGACTGTGTAGGCGGATCGAGGTGCGCTCGACTCCTCCGTATCGTATCCACGGCGCTCCTTGCGTAGATCCATCTCACCTGCGATGGATGTCTCGACACCTTGCCCGTAGTCGGGCTGTACAGTACTGGCATAACCGCCAGGAGTCTCAAGACCACTGGGTGTTTCAGTTCCGCCAGGGACATCCTCATCATCCTCTTCCTCCTCTTCGTCCGATTCTTCCTCCTCTTCTTCTGACTCCTCCTCGCGGGGCTGCAACTCACCCCACAGGTTCTTCTCAACAGGCTCACCAGCCCCTGTCAGGATTTGTGCCGCACCCTGACCTTGCCCGCCTGACGCTGCAAGGCCAAAAACATCTCCACCGAATAGAGGCCTGTTGAATTCATCAACTGGGGGCTTGCCCCAACCACCGGGGTGGAAACCCCATGAGCCTCCAGCGGGTGGTGGCGCATTCAAACCTGGAATCTTAAGCGTAGGATATGATGGGGGAGGCCCGAATCGTTGTTGGTTAATGAGCCACGGCGGTGGTGCGCCAGGCGGCATGCCAAGGGCTTCCTTAGTAGCCTCGGTAAGATCACCGGGGCGGAAATGTTGGTAGTCAACCTCAGACTCCTTTCCTTCATAGTAAACCTCGCCAAATCGGGTCAACTCGGGCTTGGTCTGGAAACGGAAGAAAGCGTCGTATAGTTTTTGGTAGTCGATATCGAGTTTGCCCATCTTGGGAGCAACGCGCTCACGCTGTTTCTGCTTCAATGACTGTTCTGACTGCTTGTCAAGGACGGCATCACGCATCTCTGTAATGCCAGTTTCTGCGATAAATTGTGGGAGGCGGAATGGCGGCTTCTCGATACCTCTCTTAGAGGATAAATACTCTCGTTTCAGGGACCAATGAGTCGGAACTGGCACGACGTTGCGCTGAGCCTTGATCTGCACGAGCAATCGAGGGTCTGACGAAGAAACATCTTGCCATTCCACCACTTCGGGAATCTTGACAAGAGCCTTGAGTTCTGCAATAGAAAGCTTGTTGAGCTGCTTCTTCTTCTTTTTTGATAGCTTAGGTTGACCAGCGTTTTCTTCGTCCTCGTCGGGAATTTCGTCGTCATCGGCGTAAAACACTGTCCCGGTGTTTCCAGCATTAGCCTCCTTAGCAATCTCATCCTCCTCCATGGACGCGCCGAATTTGTTAAAGATGTCCTTGTACATGGCATATGCAGGATCTTCCTCCAGGCCATCTGTATCGAGCGCGGGGCCATCGGCAGGGGCGGCATCTTCAGTCTTGGACTCCTTCACTTCGAGGTCTGTCGTCGTAGGCTCGGCCGTGGCATCACTTTCCCCAGGTCCAGTGGCTTCAGTGGGTTCCTCGGTCTTGGTAGTAGGAACCTGCAGCGCGTCAGTATACGAAATCGCAAGGTGAAAGAAGATAGCATCAACATACCTCTGCTTGGGCCTTCTTCTGCTCCTTCTTCTTAGCCCTTCGCATCTGATTCTTGGTCATCTTTGGGGCCGCCATAGCGAATCCGAAGCTGGCGACGGTGGCGTCGCGACTAGGTAGTGTCGTTTGCTTGCGGCAGGATTCGAGGCTTGTGTCGCGGAGTGGAAGACGGCGGAAAGGGCAGCGAGCGCGAGGATGTATTGTCTAGGGTCCTTGCTCATGCCCAACAAGGAGATTGAGCTTTCAAAGACGCGAAGGCAAATATTTGTCGAGTGTGAGATGAAGCAAATGCACGTCTGGATGCGCTAACTAAGAGATTGGTTTGGCTGTTTCGAGTGGAGTCATGTTCTGCGCTGCCGTCCAAAAGTCTACCAAAAGCTTAACGTAAACTGCCCCCAGAGGAACAAGGAAAATTGGACGCGGCTAGGGCGTCTAAGATGCGTTATCAGCTTATCAGTCGCGGTTGTCGGAATAACTACGGTTGAAGACAAACAGTAGATCCCGATAAGCCACGTAATGTTAGTTACAGACTTATCGCAGATGGTAGACTAAGAGACACAATAGCTCAGTCACTCCGCCCTACGCGAGACCGGCTCTGCAGGCTGTCTATTTCTTACACCCTAAGCTTCACAGACTAGACTGTCCCCTGAGGGAGGGTTCCAAAGGAAAGACCCCCTGCAAACCCCCGTGTGCAATCTATCTGACGTCCATCGATTCGTCGTCTCATTGGCGCCCCTTGATTTAATTATAGGCGGTACCTTGCTCATCCCACTTGCACCATTCCCTCTTTGACGTGAACGCCATCCAGCAGCAGCTACAGCAACTTTTATTGTAACTTGGCACCATCTTTTTTCTGGTCAGCCTCTTCCTCTGTCCAGATCAATTTCGGCTTGCTCTCTTGCAGAGTCGCATCGCATCACAGTCCGATCAACTGACTGCCACCTTCTCTTCCGCTTCCAATTTCTACATCCATTCGTTCTCTTTCGCTTCCACGCCCCGGCGTCGTCATTCTAGAGCTACTTCGATCTGGCGTCTTGGCTTACAGAGACGATAACACATTACGAGTCGACCCTCGATAAGCTATGGGCATAAGCTTTCATCCACGCACTTAAACAGCATTCTCTCGAGTACTCTCTATCGAACCGATTCGATTCATACACAACCTTAATTTTGGCCGTTGCGCCGTCAAACGTCGTTACGCTACCTTCTCTCCCTGATTGTCACTGCCCTGTGATGGAAAAGTTCCCCGACTTCGTCGACACGCCCCTGGGCGAGTCACCTTTAGACGGCCCTCCAAACCCTCCTGGCTGGGCAAACGGCGCGCCTCCTCGTCCCTCCGATCGATGGCTACCGGTTTCAAGGCATGAGAATGGCTGGTCAGCGGCATCTCGAGGGCACAATCGCCAGAAGAGTCTCACTGATGCCATTCGTACAATAAGAGGTCGCAATGGCAGTGTTAGCCAGAATGCCCAAGAGATCGCCGACGCACTTCGTGCTCCCATTTCTCCCAAACTCATTGTACGCCCATTCTACCGAATCCCAAGTAACGAATCCCCAGTGGAAGTGCTGACCTGATGATGCGCTACACAGATTCTCTGCGTATTGTGGTACGCCTCCTCTGCACTCACAAACACTTCCTCCAAGTCCATCTTGATGGCATTTGACAAGCCTGCCACCTTGACGCTTGTTCAGTTCGCTTTCGTTTCCTCATTATGTATCTTCATGGCATGGCTGGCGACCATATTCCCCATCTTGCGGACCAAAGTTGCAGCTCTCAAGCATCCGATTCGAAAGCCAACTCGCGATGTCATCAGGACCACCCTTCCTCTTGCGGCGTTTCAGATCGGAGGCCACCTCCTCAGTTCAACGGCTACCTCTAAAATTCCAGTGTCCCTTGTTCACACCATCAAGGGTCTTTCGCCCCTCTTTACCGTCCTCGCTTACAGAATTGTGTACGACATCCGATACCCAAAGACGACTTATCTGTCTCTGATCCCTTTAACACTCGGTGTCATGTTGGCCTGCTCTGGAAAAACGACATACGGTGGAGAACTTATTGGTGTTATACACGCTCTTCTCGCTACGGTTATCTTTGTCACCCAAAACATCTTCTCCAAGAAGCTGTTCAATGAGGCTGCCAAAGCTGAAGCTGAATCGCCACATTCCCTGCCGAAGAAACTGGACAAGCTCAATCTGCTATGTTATTCTTCAGGCATGGCATTCGTTCTTACCTTGCCCATTTGGCTTTGGTCCGAAGGATTCACCCTCCTTATGAACTTTTATCACGAGGGCTCCATTGACCTGAATGAGCAGCCCAATTCGATGGATCACGGACGACTTACACTTGAGTTTATTTTCAATGGTGTTTTCCATTTTGGTCAGAACATCCTTGCATTTATCCTTCTTTCTATTGTTTCTCCTGTTACCTACTCAGTTGCCAGTCTCATCAAGCGCGTTTTCGTCATTGTACTTGCTCTGGTGTGGTTCAGAAGTCCTACAACACCCCTCCAAGGGGTAGGTATAGCCCTCACCTTCCTGGGCTTGTACTTGTACGATCGAACAAAATCGGGCAACAAAGCCGATCAAAAGGCCCAGTCGATGCAAATCAAAAGATCGTCCTTGCTCCCTACCACTAACAACGGTTTCCGGCCTACGCCGATAACGGAGTCCCCGCAAAGCACTGAGCTTAATTCTTATCCGTACCACGAGGGCTACTTTGGCCGCCCAACAGCAGCAGAAGACTCCAAGAAGAGTGATGATGGCGGCGCCCGCAGCCGTACTCCAGCTACCAGTAACGGCTGGCTCCCTCCTGGCACCAAGCAAGAAGATACATGGCAACCTGGTGATCGAATTGCTGGTGTATCATGATGGCTTTCCGCGACGGGCGTTGGATTGTGCTTGCTTGGATAGGAATGGTGTTTCCAATTTTAATAAACAGCAAAGAGTGATATAGACTTCTTAGGCAAGGGTGTTTCTTCATATCCAAACAGTTATTTGAAGGGTTTGGATTCTTGTATGGCATACTATGGACTGGCGTTTTGGCAATGTTGTGGATACAATGCCCCCTTAAAGTGGGTGCTGGGAATGATGTACCATTACGTGGATATGGAATGATAGTATTGGAATTTGTGAATAGATGAGTTGCAATGGCAGCCGACCTGAACGACGTGTTGATGGATGGTGTACGGTATAATTATTGTATGGGAACCGTGATGTTATATTATCTGGGGTATTATCAGTCTATTAGCCATTCTTCAACCTCCACCCCGATGCTTCTTCCTATTCCACGTATCACCTCCCATGCAACATTAATCCTCCACTTGCCTCCTCGATCCATCACATCACCAGCACCCCCAACACGTGTCAGTAGCCGCAAGCTCGCGAGCGTGGATACAGCCATAGCCACATCTCCGTCAAGTCCAGCAGCGCCGACGGCAGTACCGGCGGCCCACTCGGTTCGCACAGCGGCAAAGATTGCCATCATGCGTTCGAGCACGAAAGCGTGTGCGCCCAGAAGTTTGCGAGCAATCTTTCGGTGCTTTGTACGGGTAGCCCCTCGGGCAACCATTCCTCCACGGCGACGTTTTCGACTGTGATTATATGTTGAAAAGAGTGTAAGATCGTGTCGAGTTGCGTTATGGGAGGCGAGGTAAGCTGACAAGAGAATGAGACGAGCCGTCGTGGGAAGAAGATTTGTAAGGTCGGTCGCTGAGGATGTAGGTTTCGCTAAAATTTCGACGGGCTTGTTTTTAGGTCGAATGGAAACAATACTTGGGTTTAGCAAAGACTCATCCTGGAAGTGCACTCTGCCCGCAATAAGCAATTTTGAGAACTCTTTCGGCGTATGCGTTCCAGCTAAAATAGGGGCTGTAAAGCGCGGCCAGAGCGCATAACAGCTATGTTTGAACGAGGGTAACGTCCGAGATGCGGATTTCGTAAGAGAGTCGTATACGGCAGCACAGAACCGAGTCCAGAGATCAAGAGTTTCTTGGTGTGTGCACGTAGCAACGGGTTGTGGTGGAGTAAGGGATAGAATGCGGACAAATTCCTTCTTTTCGTATGGGGGGAACAGAAGATGTGCTGAGGAGGGTGAGCGTAAGAAGCAGGCGGGCGGAGATGTGACAATGAAGACACATGTGAGAGATGGAATCTGAGTAGCAAGGTTAGCTCTGCGCCCGAAGATCTGAGTTCTCCATGCTTACAATTTCTGACAGTCTCGCCAGGGCTGGTAACAAAGTAGGTGGTGCATCTCTCTGTCGATCAATTGCATCCAGCACCAGCACAAAGCGCCATCGAGGATCTCTTTTAGGATACTGTATCATCTTAACCAGCTCAACCGTCAGTTGCGCTAACGTCTCGCATCGTCGCGGTACTTCGTCCCACTGCAGCGCTTCGGCTACTTGTCCAACTATACTCTCGAATAGATGTCGCCCCGTGATGCATTGTACTGAATTGACCACTGCTGCTTGTAGTCCACCTGAGGAGGCATCGTTGTTGATATTTGTAACTAAGTCGGAGACGAGTCGGGAAACAATGGCGGATTTTCCTGTTGCTGCCACACCATGAACGATAAGGTTTCGGCAAGGAGCTGCATTGGGCTGAGAGCAATATCAGTAACGATTCATCTTGTTTTATGACATTGGTAGTAAGTAAACATACATGTAGAAGCGTTGCTAGGGAACGAGTCTGATGCTCTCTACATGGAAAAGACTCGAAGATAGGTGTCAGAATGGCTTCGTCCGGAAGACCAAAAAGAGAAGACATTTCTGTGTTTCTATGCTCTGACGTTGCTGACCTTTGGCTACGATTGTTGAAGTTGAAGGTCATAAACTATTTAATTTCGAGATGTCCAGGAGACGCGTTTGGCGCGTTGCACGGCCCAAGGTACGTCACTCAGAGAATTGTGGGCCGAGTAGTGCCTCCTAGGAGGCACGGATGTTTGGTACTGTACATGCACTTTAATTGACATACACATTGAACAAAGCACCTATACTAGCAATCATTGTTATATATACAGGTATACCACTATGAGAGCGGGGCCCAAAAGCATCAATAAACTTGGTATTTAAACCCTATGTATATCATTTTGGCCCTGACTGTTTCGGTCCTCGTCCTTCTCCAACGCCATGTGCAATGCTATACCAATAACGTTAATACATTCATAAACCCTCATATAGCCCCAACGCCGAAACCATGCTGATCAAAACAAAACAGGTATAGGAATGTTGGTGATTCTTCGTTCTTTGCCAAATACCTCAATCCACCACTGATTCCATACTCTCAACTCATTATATAGGTCGCTTACAAGCGATTCTGGTTCCCACACGGGCGCGGGCGTTCCTTGACCCGACTGTGTCTGTGTCAGTCCTCTTCCGGGGGCTTGGATCGTAATACTAGGCCCGGAAGTGACCCAAAGTTTGCGTATATCGTTGATAATGTTATCCGTGAAAGTTTTCATGTCTCTCCCAGTAGGATGAGGCGTTGGCCCCTGGCTTCTAAAGCCAGAAAGAAGTATCTCAGCTGCCAGAGAATAGTCCTCCATCTCAATCATGTCGGCAACATGTGCTTCGGCTCGAGCAAGACCCGTTCGCATTGCCATCAAGGCCTGGGCGACATCCGACCAAGATTCATGCGACATCTTAGATAGAGACAACCCACGAAGAGACGGCCACAAGATGTTGGATAAATATAAGACTTGTGTGATCGAATGGACCTGCTGCGCATGGAACGATCCGTCTATCTGGCTAAGTTGCTTCAGAAAGTCGACAATAGCACGGAACAAAGCCAGCAATGAGGGAACATCTTCTTCTGCCCATTCCCGAGGAATTACATCACGGACCATGAAGTTTCGCAAAGCTTCTGCGTAAACCTCGATCATCGCAAATGCATAATTTTCAGCTCCGGCCGCTCGCACAATGGCTGGCAGCATTTTACCAAGAATGAACGAGAGGATACCCTGATTTTCCATCCCCTTGTGCAATAGTAGAACTGCGTCACGAAGCTTGTTCTCTTTCAGCGACAGCTTGAAGTTATTGCAAAGGAAATAGAAGACCTCATGTACAGCCTTGTTGTCGCCTTCGGTCAGTCGAAGGCCGTAGGACATCATGCCAGCCACCTGTAATTGAGGGTCTTGAACCGACGGTGAGTACTCTTTCGTGATTTGATAGAAGTACGCGTCAATCTTGCAAATTTCAGAACCATGGGCTCTGATAAGCGCAATGATGTTCCGAACGAAGGCCACGTAGCTCGGGTGCTCAGAGACATCAGAGCACATCGTGTGTAAATCTCGCTGTATCTGCTCCATTACCAGCTTCAATGTCTTCGAGTGCTCGGCCATAATGACCTTCTTGAGTGCCGGTCCAGCGTCTCGCAGTGACTTTCGCATCCATGATATAGTGAATTCGAAAAGGTCTCGATTTGAGTTGTAGTCCGGGTTGATGGAAAGGCCCAAAACTGCTTCAGGTACGAAGTCTTTTTTCTGCTTCCACAGCTGTTCTGCAAACTGATTCTCGTATGACAAATAAGGACGTGGTTTGACAATTGACAAAGCCCAAACTTCGGGAAGGGGGAGCCCAGCCTCGTTGAAATCATCGAAACCATACCTGAGGAGTGTTGTCATGAACAAGGTCAAGTGTCTCCGTTGGTCTAGGCTGAGCTTTGCTGGTATGTCTTCGAAAAGACTATACTTGCCGTTTTTGAACATGTCGGCGAGTCTCAACAAGCCACCGTTGATAAATCGAATTGCGAGTCGAGCAGTCAATATGATGACCTGCTCAGTGCACTGCGACATTTCTGCGACGGTGGAAGGGTCTCCTTGCTCTCCATGCGAAGAGAGGATGCATCTCGCCATCGAGAAGTACACCCTCGAAAGATCATGATCAACTACCAGGATGGCATCATCGGCCTGCGCTGATTCCAGAATTTGACTCTCGCTTTGCTGACTTTCTTCGTCTTCTTTGAAGTCATCGATTCGTGATAGAAAAACGTCGAGGGTGCCTAAGGCAGATCGAAGGATACACCAGTCAAATCCTGGAGGGCATGCACCAAATCGATGAAAGACCTGCTGCATTTGTTGTGTGCTTAAAGCAAAGGTGGCGGCTTCCAAGTTGGGGGCATGTTTCATGACATCTAACGATGTTGTGACGGACATATACAACACATCCATTACAGCCCGTTTGTTCATTGCCACCATAGCGTCTACTAAGCCCTGGTCGATTGTGTTACTCCCATCTTTGGACATGGCCAGTACTTGCTGCTGCATATCAGACTGGACTGAGTCAAACTGGTGTAGCATAGACAGAAAGAGGTTGTTGCGCCATTGACCAAATGGTTTGAAAGAGGTAGTAGCTTCTCCGGAGGAGACCACGAACCTAGCTAGCTGGCCCCAAGCTCGTAAGTTGATGAGGCAAGCCTCCTTGTGAGAACTTGCTGGGGCGACAAGTCTCTCGATCAAATGAGCGCTGGGGCGAAGCTCTACTGGCGAAGCCCAGAACAGAGTGCAAAGAAGGTCATGGTGGTTTCGCAAAGCTGCCAGATCACGCTCCTGGATCATTTGCTCTTTGAGTAGTTGTCGGTTATGGTTCGGCATTGTCCGAGCAATCAGATTTCGAATATCCTTCAGCGAGCCAATATCACTCAGTTTCTTAATACTCAAGGCGACGAGTTTGAGAAAGATGTGAAAGCATTTATCAGCTTTATCAACAGACAACGAAGGGTTACTGGCAAGTTCGTCCAGGAATTTGGGAGAAGCATATACTTCTTCGTTGCGAAAGTGAGCAAGGTTCTGCGAGCCAAAGAAGTCGAAGATGACGCCGATTACCGGTACGCACTTGCGCCACCCCCATTGCTGCACAAGATAATGGCATCGACCAACCAGCGCTCGACAGTAGCTGTTGAAGCTAGGTGACTGTCGTGAGTTGTCCTGGTAAACTTGAAAGACGTTCTTGAGTAGCTTCTGGGGCAGTGTCCATCCATCAACAACTGCATCATGTCTGCTGCCTGCGATAACGATACCTTGGTTATTGAATTCAATGAGAGGCAGAAGGGTGAACATATGTCTCCACAAGCCTTCATGAACATTTGCATCGAGGCTCATTAAGGCTTCAGGCGTGGCCATAACCGTGTACAGAATATCCCAGAAAGACGCCCGAAGAATGTGGGCATGTTCCAGAACTTTCATGTTGATCACCCAGGAGTGAATTACAGGCACATTATTTCTTAGACCACGTTCTCTTGTGCGAGGGTCTTTGAGGTCGTTGTAGGTTTCTGTAATCTGATCCATACCCACCATCGTGAGTGCGGTTATGGCAGTCCCAGACAGACCCTTGAGCAGGTCTTCCATTTGAAATTGTTCATTCATCAAAGACGCTTCGCTCTGGCAAAGTTTCAGAACAAAAAGTGTAGCAAGGAGCAGATGATCGTAAGTACTCGCAATAAGGGAGTAGTGAGGTTGTGTAGTGTCGTCTTGTTGTCGCAAGAGGGCTCTTACACGGTTGTTGAACCCTTGGAGAACCTCAAACGCCCTGCATACAAAGATCTTGATCTGCGTGTGGTCTGCGAAACTCAGAGAATCCAGCATGAATTTCATAATGAACCCAGCAGCACTTGTAATAAATTTGGTGTCTGGAAGTTCCCCATGCAATGATTTGGGGTCTACCTGGTCCGCAATAGAATCAAGGAGGACTCCCAGTTCAGACGAAATCTGTGCATCCCAAGGACCCCACCTGAGCACATGTTCACCAAAGTTGAATGACATTCGCGGTCGAGGCTCGAGTAATTGCTGGCAGGTAACGGCGCTTCTTGCTTTTTCAACGAAGCCACTGCCGATCAGGGTTGAATTATGAAAATACACATGAGAATTCAGGGGGAACGTCTCAAAATGATGGGTGTACTGTGTGCCATATGGTCCCAAACCCTGCATTTTCTTCTCGCACGTCTCGCCAGGCTGAAGGGGCTCAGTCACCACCGTTGCCATAGGTATCGGATCATTGGCACGGCTGAACTGCGGTGCCGTGAGGTCGATGCGTTGAGGTTTCGTCTTCTTGCGGAATCGCGACTTATCAAGAGTCCGAACAGGTTCCTCAACAACTCGAAGTGGTACTGGATTTTCTTCTGCTGGTGGGCTTGCTGGGTAAAATGTATCGGGTGCATTATCGAAGGTCATGATACTTGAAGCAGAGAGATCGCCTCGTTGTTTTCGGTACAGGTGATCCAACCTTTTCTTCTTTGCATTAAAGGAGAATCGAGTGATTCCATCCCTGTCATCTGTTTCCAGTTGAGCGGGCCGTGCAAGCCCCGAAGCAGTTCGAGCTGGTGTAGTTAGGCGACGTGGCGTTGCTTGAGGTTCTGCCGTATTGCTGTCTGTCTGGTATCGGACAGATCCCGCCTGGCTGATCTGCTTAACCAACCGGCGGGATACTCCACGCTGCATGAGCGTACGTCCTGAGATAGGTGAGCCATTCCCTGATGTTACACCCAGTGGTTGCACAGACCCTCTGGGCTTCGGTTTAGATGTTTTAGCCTTCCGGGCGGTGGTAACAGATGGGCGTTGTGGAATGGACCCAGATTTCCAATTGCTTAAGATGGACACAGCATCAACGTGATCATCTCTGGTGGCCAGCTTGATGAACTTCCTACTGGGGCTGCTTCTACCCATATCCTGGCGTCGAGTCGCAGACCGAGCTGCAATCTTCAAGAAGCGGGGCGCATCCGGCTCAACCACATCAAGAATACTAAGGTGAGGAGGTGAAAATGACTTCAGAACATTTTTGGATGATCGTTTTTTCCTACTTCGTTTCACCGCAGACTGACGATGCTTCTTCTTGACAGACTCGAGTGCTGGTACAGAGGCATGACGGGATCCAGAAAGCATGCTCGTAATTCGAGGCTGATGAAGCCTTTTTGCAGCTGAAGATTTTCGTTGGAAGCTGGAGCTTCTGTGTCGTTTTGCAGTGCCATTAAAGGATTCTGAGATGTTTAGCTGTCGCTTCCTGCTCACAGCCATGTAATCAATAGCGTTGTCCTCAATTGCAGATCCCTCGTCATCGGAATGATCCGCTGGAACAAATATAGGCGGCTGATCCTGGATAAGAAGACGCGTCTGGTTGGAGAAGGTTTCGTCTGTCGTCTTTTGTCGTGAGGCAAGTGCAGGGACAGGGTCGACATCATCATCGGATTCCTCAAAGAACATCTCAAGGGCCGTGGAGGCACTTGGTGTCGCTATACGCCTTTGTGCAACACCCCGTCTTATTTCTCGTTCGGGTGAAAAGGCGACAGGCTTTTTCTGTGTGTCTTTTGACGGTTTCTTGTGGCCAGACTGCTGATCTAACCGCAACCATGAGGCAGGAAGGACTCCCCTGATCCGACGCCCGACTGTATTCACAATTTCCGATCTACTCTCAGAGCCAGAATCTGAATCCGATTGAGTAGCAGACCCTTGGACATTCGGTTGCAACATGGTTGTTGGGCCGGCAAGTTCATCCTCAGAGTCATCCGTGCTTATTTGAGGCGCGCGTTGCGTTGGGCTGACGAATGACCGAGCTGACCCAGTAGTTGCTGGAGGACGTAACAATTCTGAATCAGAGCCCTCAGCAGTAGGTAAGAGTATGTCTTCGGTTCTTCGTGAATTTCGCTGTGCAGCAGGCGAGTCTGTGGTTCCCAGTCCCAACCTAAACGCAGATGCGGGCTCAAGAGGATCACTGTCAACGACATCGTATCTCTTGCGCTTTCGAGCAGAGGATCTGGACGGAGAAGACTTTCGCTTGGTTACTTGCTTCGATACAGTAGTTGGTGGTCGTCTCAGTAGGTCTTTCAGCGCAGGAAGATCGTCATCAGCTATGCTCGTGTTCTCAGTATCTCCTGCTGAGCTAGCTTGGCTACTCGGGCCGGCACGACTGATTCTCGGTGAAGTCTTGGGTGGCGAGGGCGACGGAACATCCAGGGTTTCCAGTCCGTCTAGAAACTCTTCCAAGCCCTTCAATTGACTCTCGTCTGATATATTTGGCAGGTGTGATCCTTGGCTATCATCTTCAAAGTCCTTATCTTGTGAAGCGTCCTGCTCAGCTTGTTGCTTGCGTCTCTTCTCCCCTTCGAGGGCAAGTCTGAGGGGCCGGACGCCATGTTTTCTTAGAACGTTGGAGTAGTTTGACATCTCTATAGCGTATGGGCGTTCCTGTATAGGCTTACGTGGCCGAAAAGATCGCTCATAACGGATCGCTGTCTGTTGAGCAGCTTGATGCTCGTCCATACTCAGATCCTGACTTTGCAAAGGTACTGAATCAGAATTTTGGTGGACAGGCGATGGGACAGGATGTGCAACACCGCGCGTGCTTCCAACTTCCGGTGGGGGTGATGAGCGCTCAAGATATGTATTGGATGTTTCACCAGTAACTTCATCATCTTGCTCAGGTTGGTCCAACGGCCTGTCTTCGACGGTTATAGTCGGTGGTTGAAGGTGAGGGTAGTCAGCTCCGAGTAGTTCATCGTCAGAGCCTAACGAAGACAGAGGCGAGGATGACGGAATGTTCCACACATCAGATATCGGGATACGCGGTTCGAGTGGCTTCTTTATTGCTTCATCTTTCTGAGTGGATGTCTTTGTAGGAGGAGCAAGCTGTAAAAGCTCCTGCGACGAGTCGGGAACGTCCCAGATATCATTGTTTTGTTCTTTCGCTTCATCATGATTGGCGATGGCCTCCTCTCGGTCATCATTTTCCTCGATATCGATCTTGTTCGTCGGTGTCGGGGTAACTGCTGGCAAAGAAGGTAATTCCTGGCTCTCGAAACCATCTTCGTCTTCAGAATCAGGGACTTCTCCCAACTCCTTCCAGTTGCTCATGGTCCGTATATGGCATTATCTTTTGATAGGCATGGTCTCGAGTCGCAGTCTCGGCTTGGTTGTACAGAAAGGCCTGAAGAAAAATACTAGAGGTTTCGAGTTGGAACTCTCATGGCTGAAAGCCGTGATCGCGCTTCGACAGGTACGTAGCTCGTTAATTGATTTTTGGGCCGAGCGTGGCGGGGGACGCGGTTAAGGAACCTGGAAGACGCGTTTGGGAAGAGCTTAGGTAGCTTCCATCGCGTTCGCACTCTAATGGAACTTTGTTTTAGTGCAGAGACCCCGAAATTCAGAGCGTGCATATGCTGTGATCCCGCTAAATCTCATGTGGGTCCCATCCGGGCTTGGAATGGATCCATGGATCATCATGGACGAATTCGAACTTGGACATTCAACTAACCTACCCTTAACTTCTGCATGTAAGCCTTGCTTGGAAGTAATTTTGCCAATACTGGACCGATATACTCACGGAGACCCGATTGACTAGATATCATTCAAGATGCATGTCTTTGAAAGAGCGTTACCGTTGGCTTTGACTGTCTTTTGCGGTGTTGTTGGAGGTTAGTCATTGTCTCTCACACAGCTTGTCATCATATCCTTAACACCTTTAACCAGGTATTTACACCTTTCAGCCAATATTTGCGCCTGATGCGCAGAAGAAGATTGGTCCGCCAAAGAGGTACAAGGCAGTGCCGTCGTTTTAATATATTTCTAACATGCTTGCAGTACTGAGAAAAAGACGGAGTTTGTGGATGATTCTGCAGCAACAAAATGATAGCCCCTTGGCTGTCTGCACATAAATCAACATACTAGCTTTTGAACTTGCAAAACATTCCCGCAACCGACATTCATTTCTAGTGAAGCAATCTTCTATCTTCGTCTTTCCATTCTTACTTCCTTTCAAGTTACTCTATCTCGTTGAGCCCCCAGCTGTGCACATCCCGCACCTCTATCGTTATATAACCATAAATACTTAGGTTTCTTAGCAAAACTTTAGGAAATCTAAGTATCTATTTTCGTCTATTAGGCTTCTGATTAACTAGCTATTAACCTAGGCAACTGGAGGTACGGGATGTGCACAGCCGGGGGCTCAAGGAGATAATGGATGTGCCCCTCCGCCAGACTGTCAGAAGACTTAGCCGACAAAAGCATAAGACATAAAATAATTTATCTACCTTATGCTGGCTTAGAATAGCACTTTAGCTACGTTATTGAGGATAATTCTTCGGTTGCCCACCTGGCCTCACAGCATTTGCATCGTGGCAGTCCTTCGCTTCTTCCAGCTCCAGCCTCTACTTAGAGCTTGACATCAAACAGATTCCTGCTTCGGATCCTCTCGCCGTACTTGAAAAAGATCACTGGTAACGGGATTGCCGCTGCTGCAACAAAGCCTAGCACAGAGGTCCCCCAACCATAACCGAGACTCTTATACATGCTTCCTCCGGCCAATGGCAACAGTGCTCCGACGAGTGATCGGAGTACAGTGCTTGCAGCAATGGCAGACGCAGCGTACTCGAGGTATGCATCAACGAGATAAACTGAGATGCACATCTGAATCATGTTAGCTAGGCTGGTTCAGACCCTTGATAGATCGTAGGAGTACTCACAAATACGATGATCATACCCACTCCCAAGAAGGAAGTGCCAATAATGGGTAAGATCCAGTGGCTCTTGTTCTCAGCAGTCCATCCAAATAAGAACAAACCAGCTGGGATGATAAGACAAGCTGCCGCCATGAGTGGTAGTCGATACTCTGGCTTACGCTCTCCTCCATTCTTCTTAGCCAAGTATCTAACCAGGGGGTCTGATGTCGCCCCAGAGATGACGAGTCCGATCAACGATCCTGTACCGATACCCAGATAAGAAAGACCAACTGATCCACTAGCAAAGTTGTATTCTTTCTCGAAAAGAGTTGGCATAGCTGTAAAGAGAAGGTAAAGGTAGCCATAAACGAGAGCCATGTAGAGCGAAAGAAGCGATACGATAGGCGCAAACAAAAGCATCTTGGTGGGCCGCACCATGGCCAAGCTAAAGAGTTCCTTCGTGGTGGTGCCTTTATCGAGAATGGAGCGGAGTTTGGGGTTTCCTGTTTCTTTGCGAAGTCTCTTGGTCTTTTGATCGAGAAGAGCATATGCGTAGGTCTCTCTCATAAATATGAAGGCCATTATCGTGATTGCACCGGCCTTTAAACAAGTCAGCTTTGCTTCAACGACAACATAATCATTCCGGGGAACTTACTAGAATAGAAACAACCCAAAAGGACCAGCGCCAACTCTTGGCTTGAGAAAGATATCCACCGGCTGGAACTGTCAGTCTTCACTCCATAGCACTCAAGCTCAACTATTGGGGTATCAGGTGGGTAACAGAAGAAATGTCCTCTAAGGCTTAGGCTACCATAATAAAGAAGCCTAAGTGCTAGTCTTAGCTAACATAAAGTGACCAAATTATTTCGTCTCTTATGCTCTTGAGGCCAATTCTTCTGATACCCTGAGGGTATGTGCTTACCAACTGGTCCGATTACTGGTCCGAAAAGGGGTCCAAGAGCCCATGAAGACATGGCAGCCCCACGTTTATCTTTGGAAATCATGTCGGCAAGTGATCCAGCTCCAATCGTGAGTGGACAAGAGCCCGCGAGCCCGGCAAGAAGCCGAAAGGCAATAAGACCACCCAAGTTAGGAGCCAATGCGCAAGCAACGTTAAATATAACGAAGAGGACATTGCAAACGTGGTAGAGTGGGAGCCGACCGTACATCTCAGACAAGGGAGCAATGACAAGCGGGCCGAAACAGTATCCGATAAGGTAAACCGAGACGATGAAAGATGCCAACTGAGTGTTGGTTGAGTTGAATTCAGTCATGACTTGTTCAATGCTGGGTGCGAAAATGGAAGAAGCCAGCGGCCTGGGTATGTTAGTAAGTCCATTGCAATATCGAAATAGAAAAGAGAAGGCTTACGTGACGAATGTGACGGAAGACACAATAACGACCGTGACGGTCTTCTTTTTCATTGACCAGTTCTGAGGGTTGGCTGGGTCATCAGGGCAATCCCAATTGACGATATTGGGGTCATTATCAGCAGGCTCGTCAAATTCGACTGAAGTTGATCCCTCCTCCAGGTCTCTTTGGCGCTTCAAATCCTCTTCGGCCACTTGGGTTGGAGAGAGATCGTGTGTAAGCTCGTCATTTGTGTTTTTGTGCACCATCATGCCTGTTGTAAATTGCCAAGAGTTACACGGCAGTCTTCGAGTTGCCTTTCGATTCCTATTTTGTTATATCGTGGTAAGTGACAGCCCACAAGAGAAGAAGCTTGAACCGTTTGTTGTGTAGGGCTGAAGATCTGAGCTTCGGTGGATAATGTATGGGGGACATCTGCCTTAAATGTCACGAGCCTCAACTGGGAGGGACATTCACTTTCACACTAATGCGCCGGAAGGAATCTTTGGCCCGGGAAATACAACGGTGATTTTCTTAAGTCCGTGTCTAAACAATGGTTGAAAACCGATCTCGCGGCTAGTAGAGTCATCGAGAAGGGGGTCACGGAGGTGCCAGAAGAATTATCCTTTAAGACTGAGAGCGCCAAAATAAGGTAGTCTAAGTGCTAGTCTAAACTTGCATAAGTTATCTAAGTTATTTCGTCCCTTATGCTCTGGATGAGCGATTCTTCTGACACCGTGACGGGGGTGTAGGTGATACAGGCCAATATGGATCTTAGCCTGGGTTGTTCAACCTTCAAACCCTCGTCATTAATCTGCAGGATCATGCTCATGAGCCAATAGCTTATGCTTGATCGACGATATGGGAACCGTAAGCAAAGCTAAATGTCCAAAGGATTGATTTGTTATAACTGCTATTATTATCCCGAGACGATGTCGGAGTCGGGGCCACGGATAATCCGCGGAAACTCCATGGAAAGGCCACAATCTCCGTCCGTTTTTTAACTCAACTGTCCGTTCCTCACAACAAAGCCAAGAATCATATACTAATTTGCTGCTACGCTACAGTACGGCTTGAACTTGAGGGAATATGGGCCGTCAGCCTCGCCAACGGCCTGTGTCGTGCCACTTCTGTCGTGTGCGAAAGTTGCGTTGCAGTCGAGACTTTCCGTGTTCTAATTGTACAAGCCGCGGAGTTCAGTGCCAATCTCAAGACCCACCCCGGCTTACACCAACAGCTACAACTACCGCTTCCGTGTCACGGCCGATTGCTAAGCGTGGAGATGCGCCGCCTACGGACCGGGAAGCGGATATTCTTAGTCGCTTAGAAAGGCTGGAGGCTCTTCTTGCAGAGAGGAACAACCAGACTGACAGCAACACTCCTACAGCGTCGACTGCCTCGAGTAATTATGGCAATGACGCTGTACCAGGAACGAGAATTCAGACGCAGCCCCGAGAGCCACCACGGCCTTTACCTGCCAATGTCCAGAATCTCACTGCTGACGCTCTTTGGCTCGAAAGGACATGTCTTGGTCCAAAACCATCAGTAAGTCAGCAGTACTGCAGTCATGACCTATTCACTTATCTTTCTTTTAGGACTCGGTACTAGTAGATCAAGTGGCATTTCGTATTTGCCCCATCCAATCCATCACGCAACCATCATCTTATATATTCCAAAACTCAAGCGTTCCTTCGGGTCTACTTTCACTGGAGCCTACAAGATGCATTTGGTTGCCTCAGCGACATGAGATCAAAATACTGATTCATAAGTATACTGCAGTCATTACATATATGCATCATGTTATCCACAACCCTACCTTATTCAAATTGGTCGATGAAATTTATGATACCATCGAAAAGGGGGAAGAGGTCCAATTATGTCATGTTTTTCTCATGCTCGCAGTCTGTACCAATGTCACATATGCTTGGACAGCGACAGATAATGATATAACTCCCCTGTTCTCGAACTTTTCAGAGGCGAACAATCAGGCTTTTGGATGGCTCAAGGCAACTTTTGATGTGTTTGATGCAGCTCAGCGAAGGGCTGAAACGGGTTTGGAATTGGCACAGGGGCTCATCATCGTTAGTTTCGTCCTATTGAACGCTGAAGGCGTTTCACCACGGGGCCGAAACTGCTTCTTCCAAGCTATCACGATATGCCGTGAGCTTGGCATACATCGTCTCGATCATCCACACCAACAGCCTTCAACATCAATCACCCAATACACCGATCTGAAGGCGGAGATAGCTCGACGAGTATGGTGGTATCTCGTTGGAACAGACGCGTAAGACATTTTCCTTCCATGCTTGGTATCCTTCACACTTCTGACAACTCTTTAGAATGATATCACGGTTCCCGGGCCCCCATGAGGGCACCTACATGATCAATCCTCGTCAGATGAACATAAGAAAACCCCTGAACGCCAATGACGAAGACCTCATGGAAGGGAAAGTTATGGTGGGAAAACCACTGAACCAATCAACGAGCATGTCCTATTTCTTGCAAAGAATACAGCTTGCTGAGGTAATAAGAGATTTTACCGACCGAGCGCCCCTCTCTTCTCCAAGCCAGGACAGCAACCCTTACGATCTTGTCCTAGAGATAGATACAGCCATTGAGCGTTTCATCGATGAGCTTCCCCACTTCCTCAAGTTAAATGCGAGAGAGCTACAGCAAATGCCTTCGGACGATATCCAACGACGGCCAGGCATTGTCGTTCAACGCCATATCATGAAAATATTCACATACGGACAGAGATGCAAGCTCCATCTCCCCTACTTGGCCCGTGGGGCTGTAGAGCCCGCATATGCCCACTCGCGGAAGGTTTGTCTTGACTCAGCACGAATGGTCATCCAGACCGAACAGCAGCTGGAGGCAGAGAATACGACGTTCAACTCGACCAGACTCCGACTCTGCTTGGTCTTACACAGTGTCTTTATTGCCAGTATAGTCCTTCTCTTGGATTTCTGTCTCGGTGTCGATGCCCACGAAAAAGAAGAGAGACGACAAGACTTGGTTGAAGCATGGAATATTCTGGACGCAGCAAAGGAACATTCCAAGCCTACAGCTCGCATACAGGATCTTTTGAGGCAGGTGATGAAGAAACACAAAGTATCGTTGCCAGTGTGCAAAGCAAATGATCGGCACCCTCGGAGGCAGGTGGGTGAAAATCTTCCGCCCACGCCTACTTCGTCAACAGCAATAATGTCAACGGGAACAACACCCAGTGATATCAGGGTTTCTGCCCAAGAGTTGAACGATCTGGGATTGGGATTGAACACAGATTTGGATGGAATGGACTGGGAGAACTTGCTCTGGGGTTTAGAAGCTCCTATGTTTTAAAACAAAATAGCCACAGACTTCTCTCATAAACAGACAATGGATCTTCGGATGGATAAGAGAAGAAATGTCCTCTAAGGCTTAGGGTATAGAAATAAGATACTAAATATCTACATAAGTTAGCATAAAATGATAAAATTATTTCATCTCTTATATTTTCAACAACTGATTCTTCTAACAACCTGACGCCTACCCGGTTCACTGTGTGTAATCGCTCAACCGCCATAGAGATGGGGTGGTAGCAATCGCATATATGATGTATTGTTTACGGAAAGTAGGAATGACTTAAAACAAATTAAACTACAGAACGATAACAGCCTTAACGCGACATAGGAATATAACAGGGCCCAAGCTGCAGGGTATCAGAAGGATCAGCCGCCTAGAGCATAAGAGACGAAATCATTTGGTTATCTTATGCTGGCTTAGGCTTGTGTTTAAGCTCCTTTATTTCTATACCCTAAGCCTTAGAGGACAATTCTTCTGACACTTACCTGCCGAGTAGATACCTAGGTGGTAAGTTGTAGTAGAAGAGGTCCAACCCACCCATGTACTCGGTTCGTCGCCTGAGAGCTTTGGCCAATCATGCGCAAGACGATTTCATCAAGTCGTGCAAAACCGGCAACATGGAGAAAGAATCAGTCACGTGATTCACTCTGCACCAATCCAAGCCGAGACAGCAAGGACCCATCGTATGATTGCTCTCGTCTTGCTAATTCTGACATTCCCCGAATAATCTCATCCCGTCCGTCTTCCTCTACGAACTTGCGCTCACGACCGCACCAATTGTGCTTCGCTTCTTCTCCCCGCTCATCCGTCGACCAGATCAGATTATATACGTCCACGATGCTGCGCACACCGGCCACCAACCTGCTGCGCAAGAGCCTGGTGCGCAGCACTCCTGCCCTGGCCTCGCGAGCTGCCTCGACTCAGGCCATCTCCAACCCAACCCTCGCCAACATCGAGAAGCGATGGGAGGGTATGCCTCACCAAGAGCAGGCTGAGCTCTGGATGGCTCTGCGTGATCGCATGCAGTCCAGCTGGACCGACCTTACCTTCCAGGAGAAGAAAGCTGGTGCGTTCTAAACTCTCCTCCACTGCGAAAATACCTCCGTCCCGCCCGCGTAGCCGAGATTCTACGTTCATAACTACCACAACACAACTCTACAGCCTTCTCGATCTTCAACTCTACATGAAGCACGGCAATTGGACACGTTTAGTCTTGCCTTGAAGCCTTTATGAGCCTCAATTGCATCATGTAGACCCAACCCACCAATTCGGCTTCCTGATTGGCTGGTGGGGCCATCTGAGCAATAGCTTCCCCGTTATATCATCGGCCCATTCCCTGCGTTACATACATACATACACTACATGCTTCTGCGTCACCACCAAAAACTAACTTGAATTCTCTTGATAGCTTACTGGATTGCTTTCGGTCCTCACGGCCCCCGTGCTGAGGACCCTCCTGGAACCAACGCTCGCGTCGCCTGGGGTATCTTCATTGGTCTCGCTGCCAGTGTTGGTCTCTTCGGCATGGTCCGCCTTGTCGCTAAGCCTGCTCCTTACACTATGACCCAGGAGTACCAGGAGGAGACCAACGAGTTCCTCAAGGTACGTCACAAGCCGCCCAGCAAACATCGAGGCGGTTGGCTAACAAAGATCTCCAGAACCAAAAATCCGATCCTTTCACTGGTATCACTTCTCCCGGCTACGCTGGCAAGGGTATGGTCCAGTCTCCCCCCAAGGGCAACTAAATTCAATACACAACGTCGTTTCATTTGTGCTAGAAGCTTGGGTGACCCCTGAGACGTATTGGTGTGTAAAATGGCCTCTGGTGTGCGCGGGCATGACTAGGGGTTTCGAGGTCGCTCAGAGATATCAAGTCCTCTTGGTGTAAATACTGTATTACAACAACGGAACCCGAGTCGCGTCATTTGTTTGATTGAATTTATTCCCTTGCCTATCTTTGTGGAAGCATACCCAGAAAAGTGCTGCCTGACCAGCTTGTCGACATTAATTCCAATCCGTCAATCCAGTAAACGCTCCAGTTCGCCTTGTTACCAGTGTAATGCAGTATAGTACAAATCAATACTTATCCACCACTCTGTCCAGCCTCTCGATACCTTTCAAAGGTATTGTCTGGCTCTGCTTTCGTGGGATGAATTTCCTCCGCCTGCATCCTCCTATCTAGTTCAAATCTACCGTCCTTGCCCCAGTACCCTGCCTTGTCTGTACCCTTTACGCATGCTTCTGTAATGAGAACGTAGGGCATTGGGGCGTCAAACATGGGCTCTGCTAGAACCCGTTCCATTTCCATCTTCAAGCCTCTCGCTCCGGTCTCCGAGGCTGCAGCCCGCTCAGCGATGGCATACAATGCTTTCTCCGTAAAGAACAAACGCGAAGGGTACGTCTCAAAAAGTGCTGTATACTGAGCAACAAGGCTGTTTCTGGGTTCGGTCAGGATGCGGAAGAGATCTTCCTTGGATAGTGGGCTAAGAGCACAAATGTTATGCAGCCGTCCAATTAACTCGGGAATGAAACCAAAAGTCTGTAAATCAGCCGGCGTGGTAAGATCCAGGGGTGTAAACGAGGAGGCGGATTGAGGGTTGTGATGAGGCAAGTGCGTATATGTCTCTGCTGGTAGACTCTGCTTGTTTCCGGACATGGTAGAGCGACCTCGAAGCTCTCCACCAAAGCCCATCGTCGGCCTAGCAACTCTCTTGAGTACAGCCTTGTCCAGACCTACGAATGCGCCGCAGAACACAAAGAGGATATTTGTGGTGTCGATAGTGTACTGGTCAACTTTACCACCTGGGGGAGTTGCCTGAGGAGTAGAGGAAGATGACCCTGATGCGTTGTAGTTCGTAGTGATAGGCGGCGTCGACCGTGATGATCGGTTGTCCTTGACATTGACGGTGACCTTAGTCCCTTCAACGAGCTTGAGTAAAGCCTGTTGAACACCCTCGCCCCCGACATCTCGGCCAGTGGTCGTCTCACGTCTCGCGATCTTGTCAAACTCGTCTAATACAACAATGCCATGCTCTGTTGCTTTAATGTCGTAATTTGATTCAATGAGAAGTCGTTCAATACATGTCTCCACGTCTTGGCCGATGTAGCCAGCTTGTGTAAAGGAGTTGCAGTCGCAGATTGAGAAGGGCACGTTGATCTTCTTGCTAAGAGTTCTGGAAATTGTTAGCTTTCGTCATTCTACATGCCAATCGAGGTGGAACACACTCTAGGATATAGGTCTTGCCAACGCCAGTTGGCCCGATCAAAAGCAGGTTGCTCTTATCGATCTTGACATGCTCAGGGACCGTTATGTCTTCAGCAACGTAAAGATGATCCATAGGATCGTCATCGAAGTCATGACTATCATGAAGCCCACGAACCGAGTCGTTGTGTCCAGGGAACTCATCTTCAATAGTATCAGCGTCGTAGCGCTCAGGAACAGAACCACGTGCACGCTGACCTTCAACGGGGTGCATCTCGCGACGCTTCTGATGCAGCTCCTTATCCCTTGCGAATCTCTGGCGCATTACCTTATCACGCCTATTCCGGTCTTCATGATCATGCTGATGTCTTCGACGCAGACTCTGGTAATGGTTGAATATTGTCGCACATATTGTCTTCTTGGCCCTGTCTTGACCAACAACATAGTCGTCTACTCGCTTTTTGAGATCGCGGGGGTAGAACTGTGGTACACCAAAGTTGGTCTTGTTGAACATTGGCCCCCGCCCAGCATCGCCTGATGGGTCATAGCTACTACTGAAACCAGAATTGAAATCAGTATTCCGTCTCCAGGATGACCGAGAGCTGGATATGTATCGATGCTGTCGTTGCGAGGAAGGATCGTAGGAAGATAGTCGTGGGGTTGTGAGTGGTACTAATCGAGTGGCAGAGCGTGGGACGTGGCAAAAGCTGCAGCGCGCCATAGGGAATGCCCTGACGAAGGGCGCCATCATGGTTTGTATTCAATTCGCATAACAGAGAAGACGATTATGGCAGCGTGTCAGGCGACAGTCAACCGAAATGGGCTATGCCTGAGCCGACGATGACGGGATGCGGGGGAACTGGTCAATGCAGCTCGATGCGGTCGCGTTGCGAAACACCGGATAGGGCCGATCGAATGGATAACACAGCGGCGAGCACGAAAAAGATAATAATAGAACCGATAGTGAGGGTGTTTGATAAATACGACTGTAGGCTGTAGTTTGAAGATTGAGGATTATGTGATACATGAACTGGATGAATAGATCTCCGGAAGCCTTCCGCTGCCGCGAACAGCTTCCCGGTCCGTTATCGGCACGGAAGCTTAGAGGTCGAGGATCTTGCGCCTCAGCACCTCAGCAGCATAGCTGATCTGTAGCGGCGACAGGGTACTGCCGTAAGTAGCCACTGAGAGGCCTGGATTATGAACTGTTCCACTAAAGAAGCTGGCATGGGGCCCCGGCCTCTCCAAGCACGAACCATTTGCTGTGCTCCATCAATTGACGGGACCCGTCAAGGTCCAAGCTGCACAATGATTCTTGTGCAGCATCATTGTGGTCTTTTATAGGAAGTGGCAATATGGTGAGAGTGGTTTTTCCTGTGTTGGGCCCGCTCCTGCTCTCACCTCAACCATATGCCGAACTTTGCAAGCACACGAACGGGTGATGCCTTCCTCTTCAAGGACAGCGTGCAGATACGTACCTCAGCCGTTGGGACAAAAAGACAAAAATCCACTCATCTGCGACGTCATCCCAACTTATCGATAAAGCTCTGCGCGCGCGGGCAATCCGAAAGATGCAGTTTAGGCGAGTGAGCTAGATAGGAGGTTGCAAGGTCTCAGATATTGCAATTCTACTTTTGTTGCCACAATTTCTGTTTCTTCATCTTACATACTAGTGTTTTTGAGTCCTTGTTTTATCTGATAACTCTCACGCTGCCTTGTCAAGTTCATCCCACTCTCAACTGTGTCTCATTACAAGCTCAACAATTGTCTGGAGCTTTGAAACACCCGATATCAACCTTCCTACCCCGCCCACCTCACCCTCGACATCTCCCTTCTGCAAACGCGTCGTATTCCTTGTTGACCTAGCAAAAATGGCTGCAATTGTCGAGAACTCGTCCAATTCTTTGGACCCTAATCAGTCCAACGGTGCTGCGGGCGACATTCCAAACGATGGTACAGGTGAGTAAACGTTGCATGACCTGACATGTGATGATCTGATGGTCAGTCAAGTACGCCATGCTCATGCTCAATTCTAGGCGTTGTCAAGCTTGATCCTTGGCTGGAGCCCTTCAGCGAAGCCTTGAGAAGACGTTACTCGAAAACCCAAGATTGGATTAAGACCATCAATGACACCGAGGGCGGCCTTGAGAAGTTCAGCAGGGTAAGCTCATAACATCCCGTCGCTCATTTACGTGTTACTTATGTATAATCCACAGGGTGCTGAGAAATTCGGATTTAATGTCGATGCCGACAGCAACATCGTGTACCGCGAATGGGCCCCCAATGCCACAGCGGCGTACCTGATCGGCGACTTTAGTAAGTTTCCAAACTCAATTGCACCCACATGCGCTTACTCCGTAACCAGACAGCTGGGATCGCGGCGCTCACCCTATGAAAAAGAATGATTTTGGTGTCTTTGAGATTACGATTCCTGCTCAAAATGGCCAAGCTGCCATTCCTCACAACTCCAAAATCAAGGTTCGTCGTGGTTCACACCCAATGCTGATCTAGCTTGTCTAATCCATGTACCAGATTTCTCTTGACTTGCCCAGTGGTGAGCATGTTGATCGGCTTCCCGCTTGGATCAAGTATGTGACACAGGACCTGTCTGTATCTCCCGCATACGACGCCCGTTTCTGGAACCCTCCAGCTTCCGAGACCTACAAGTTCAAGAACTCACGACCCAAGAAACCCGCTAGTGCTCGTGTGTATGAAGCACACGTCGGTATTTCGAGTCCCGACCAGCGAGTTGCAACCTACAAGGAGTTCACCCAGAACATGCTCCCTCGTATCAAGAACCTTGGGTACAATGTGATCCAATTGATGGCTGTCATGGAGCATGCGTACTACGCCAGTTTTGGATATCAAATCAACAACTTCTTTGCAGCCAGCAGTCGCTATGGAACCCCAGAGGAGCTCAAGGAGCTTATTGACACCGCTCACGGCATGGGTATTACCATGCTTCTCGATGTTGTGCACAGCCACGCTTCAAAGAACGTTCTTGATGGTCTGAACGAGTTCGATGGCACTGACCATCAGTACTTCCATGGTGGTAGCAAGGGTCGACATGACCAGTGGGACAGTCGGCTGTTCAACTATGGTCACCATGAAGTAATGAGGTTCCTGTTGAGTAATTTGCGTTTCTGGATGGACGAGTACCAATTCGACGGGTTCCGGTTTGACGGTGTGACCAGCATGCTTTATGTCCATCACGGCATGGGCACGTAAGTGATTCCACAGCGTACCTTGAAATTCCTTTACTGACTTCAACAGGGGCTTCTCTGGCGGCTACCATGAGTACTTTGGCGCAGATGTTGACGAGGAGGCTGTCGTTTACATGATGCTGGCGAATGAGATGCTGCATCAGCTATACCCCGAGGTCATCACCATTGCTGAAGATGTCTCTGGAATGCCCGCGCTTTGCTTGCCACTCTCGCTCGGCGGTGTTGGATTTGACTACCGCCTTGCCATGGCTATTCCTGATATGTGGATCAAGATTCTGAAGGAAGTCAAGGATGACGAATGGGATATTGGCAACATTTGCCATACTCTGACTAACCGCCGCCATGGCGAAAAGACCATCGCCTATGCTGAGAGTCACGACCAGGCGTAAGTTTTTGCAAGTCCATCTACCAATGCAGCAATCGCTAACATCACTATAGCCTAGTTGGAGACAAGACTTTGATGATGCATCTTTGTGATGCCGAGATGTATACCAACATGTCCACACTATCGCCCTTGACTTCCGTCATTGATCGTGGTATGGCACTCCACAAGATGATCCGGTTGGTAACCCATGGACTCGGAGGCGAAGGCTACCTCAACTTTGAGGGTAACGAGTTTGGTCACCCTGAGTGGCTCGATTTCCCTCGAGAGGGCAACAACAATTCGTTCTGGTACGCTCGACGACAGCTTAACCTCACGGATGATCCTCTGCTCCGATACAAGTTCCTCGACCACTTTGACCGCCTAATGAACCAAACCGAAGCCAAGTACGGCTGGTTGGCGGCGCCCCAAGCCTACATCTCACTGAAGCATGAAGGCGACAAGGTCATCGTATTCGAGCGAGCTGGTTTAGTCTTCATCTTCAACTTTCACCCAACCAACAGCTTTAGCGACTACCGTATTGGAATCGACGTTCCAGGAACTTATCGTGTCGTTCTAAACACTGACCACGGAGATGTCGGAGGCCACAACCGCATTGACGAGAACACTAGGTTCTTCACTACACCCATGGAGTGGAACAACAGGAATAACTGGACGCATGTCTACATCCCTGCCCGAACTGCCTTGGTCCTGGCCCTTGAGTCCACGATTTCCCAACAGTCCTAAATGGTGGAGATGATAAGAGATGCAACGACAGGAGGGCGAAGCATCTGGGGATGATACTAAGGCATGGTCCGAGACGAATGAAAGCTGCGTCATATTGAAGTGGGGTAGTGAGCTGCCTCGTTTGCGCTGCGTTGCAGTATTTATAAAATTTTGAGTAATAAAAGTCAATGATGAAGATTTGAACTGTCACTTGTTTTGCGATGCTTTTTTTTTACTGATTCAACTACGAGTAAGGCTGAAAACCAGCAATACAATGCACTTTCCGTAGCCTTGTGGTGATCTAGTGGGGTCACGATGATTGTACTCGGCTTCGGCTCGGGCATTCGGTCATAATTGGCCGCCTTAGGCATAATAGACGAAATAGTTTAGTTACCTTATGCTAACTTAGACTAGCACTTAGGCTTCTTTATTTTGGCACCCCAAGCTTTGGAGGATACAGTAATTTTTCTGTTCAAACTGACGTTGAGCGGTTGGGATTAAGTCGATGGAGGGGCGAACAAACAAAAAGCATGGGGAAGAACGGATAGGAGCTGGGCTAGGAAGAAAAAAGTTGGAAAAACGAACAATTGGCAAATCGCAACGCCAAAGATTAACTGGGCCAGCAAGCTTGGGACAACCAATTGCCTATCACGATTGGTTACTAAGAGGGCCATCTAAGTCTAGTGAGCAGATGAACCAATAGGAGCTAGCCAATGCTACAGAAGGGCTGGGATGCAAGATGGGGATCCCTGAATCTACGGGTACCTATACATTGTATTATGTACAGGCTTGCCCCGGAAAGTGTCATCAGGGTGTCAGAAGAACTGGCCGCCAAGAGTACAAGAGACGAAATAATCTGGTCACTTTATGCCGACTCAGCCTGGCATTTAGGTTACTTTATTTCTTTGGGCTACGACATAGAGAATGGTTCTTCTGACACCCGCACGAGTGTCTTGAATTGACATCAACTTTTTTAGGTTTTTGTACCACGTAGTCTACTTAGTATGCATTTGCCCGTGATCTGATAGACAAAGCGATCGATAACATATGATTCTTTGAAGTTTTTGAAGGTGACTCCTCAGGCTTCATAGATAATCGTGACATCGTGATAACACGATATTCTGACGCATCCGATGTACATTCATCTACCTTGGCTGTGCCTTGTATGTACTTCCATGGTTCAGAACTCCAGCCAATCTATCTCGAATTTCCACCTCCAACTGCGCAGCAAACGGCCAGACCAGATCAGGCCAATGCTACTTTCCCCGCTCTGATTAAGAGAGACCAGTCCTTCTTAGCCCATCAGGTACCTGAGCAAGTCTACCATGAAGTACCGTTAGGACATCATAAAGATCAGCCGCTGAGAGCATAAGAGATGAAATAATCCAGTCGCTTTATACCAGCTTAGACTAGCACTTAGGCTACTTTATTCTGGCATCACAAGCTTTAGAGAATGGGGTTCCTGCTATCTAGCAAGGCATCTAAGACCCAAAAAGAACTGCTGGAGAGTTTCGGCTTCCTGACGTAGATAGTATTTTGTAGACACCTCTATGAGATGAATCGGTCCCACGGCCGAGAGCGAGAGATGGGGCATATAGGTGCCTGCACGCCTAAGGAACCAGGACTCAGTGATGATTGTCAGGCATCTCCCCGCTGTCGTTGTTGGCTTAATGGCTTTGAGCGAATTATTCCGGTCGAATTCGTCCCGGGAAATTGCCGGCATCGCAGCTTCCCCGGTGGAACCAACAGTAATTTCGGGCTAGCGTCTCACGTGACTCTCTGCAAAGCTCTGTTGCCGACAAGTCGTCCTCCCGAGCAAAACGCTCACACCTCCCGTAAAAGTTCTCCTCAGCTTCAACCAACCTCTCTCCACTCCCATCTCTGATCGCTCTTTGTCATCTGGCAAGATGTTCAAGAGGTGAGTAACGATCGCGGAAGCGACAGTCGATATTTTTCGACGCCTTTTCCGTTCCAATTGAAGCCCAATTGAGCTGACCTTTGCGTTTTTCCCTCGGCAGCGGCATTTCCTCCTTCGCCCGCGCGGCTCGCCCGGCCGTCCTCCCTCGACGTGCCCTCCGACCTTCCGCTCTCCGACTTCCCATTTCCAGCCGATGGGCGAGCACTACCAGTGTTGGTGCCGGCAAGATTCACCAGGTGAGAACGAACTGCTCATGATTCCATTCCGGTCGCCCGGGCGAAAACGACTCGCACAAGAATCCGTGCTAACCCGACTGTTTGCAGGTCATCGGTGCCGTCGTCGACGGTTAGTAAACCATCATTAACAGGCCTTCAAGCCGCCTGGAATAATACAACGAATGCGTTACTGACGGTATCACAGTCAAGTTCGATGGCGCTAAGCTTCCTGCCATTCTCAACTCTCTCGAAACTGAGAACAATGGCCAGAAGCTCGTCCTTGAGGTCTCCGTATGTACACATTCAATTACCTCGCTTGGCCTATCGGTTCTAACAATGGATAGCAACATCTTGGTGAGAACGTCGTCCGTTGCATTGCCATGGACGGTATGTCATCATCGTTTCGAATTTTCACAAATACACCCTAACGCAATTTTACAGGTACTGAGGGTCTCGTCCGAGGTGCTGCCGCCCAGGACACCGGTGCTCCCATCACCATTCCTGTCGGTAACGCGACTCTTGGTCGTATCATGAACGTCACTGGTGACCCCATTGACGAGCGTGGTCCTATCAAGTCTGACAAGCACCGCCCTATCCACACCGAAGCCCCCGAGTTCGTCGAGCAGTCCACCTCTGCTGAGGTCCTCGTCACTGGTATCAAGGTCGTCGATCTTCTTGCCCCCTACGCCCGTGGTGGAAAGATTGGTCTCTTCGGTGGTGCCGGTGTCGGCAAGACTGTGTTCATTCAGGAGCTTATCAACAACATCGCCAAGGCCCACGGTGGTTACTCCGTCTTCACTGGTGTCGGTGAGCGTACCCGTGAGGGTAACGATCTGTACCACGAGATGCAGGAGACTTCCGTCATTCAGCTTGATGGCGAGTCCAAGGTCGCTCTGGTCTTCGGTCAGATGAACGAGCCCCCTGGAGCCCGTGCCCGTGTCGCCCTCACCGGTTTGACTGTCGCTGAGGAGTTCCGAAGCCAGGGACAGGACGTCCTGCTCTTTATTGACAACATCTTCCGGAAAGTACTCTTCTCAGGTGATTACGGGCTTCAAACTAACTATTCACAGATTCACTCAGGCCGGTTCTGAAGTTTCCGCTCTTCTGGGACGAATTCCCTCTGCCGTCGGTTACCAGCCCACTCTCGCCGTCGATATGGGTGGTATGCAGGAGCGTATTACCACCACTCAGGAGGGTTCTATTACCTCTGTCCAGGCCGTCTACGTCCCTGCTGACGATTTGACTGATCCTGCCCCTGCCACCACCTTCGCCCATTTGGACGCCACCACTGTCTTGTCCCGTGGTATCTCCGAGTTGGGTATTTACCCCGCTGTCGACCCTCTCGACTCCAAGTCCCGTATGTTGGACCCCCGAGTCATCGGTCAGGAGCACTACGACATCGCCACCCGTGTTCAGCAGATCCTCCAGGAGTACAAGTCTCTTCAGGATATCATTGCTATTCTGGGTATGGATGAGTTGTCTGAGGCCGACAAGCTTACTGTCGAGCGTGCCCGTAAGATTCAGCGTTTCCTGAGCCAGCCTTTCACTGTTGCCCAGGTTTTCACTGGTATCGAGGGTAAGCTCGTTGACCTTAAGGAGACCATCAACTCTTTCAAGGCCATTCTCAACGGTGAGGGTGACAGCCTTCCCGAGGGTGCCTTCTACATGGTTGGTGACTTCGCCTCCGCCAAGGCTAAGGGTGAGAAGATTCTTGCTGAGCTTGGTCAGTAAGGGGTTTATGTATTGAAGTTAATGCCGCGGGAGACGGGAGGAGAGAAATAAGGACCCTTGTATAGAGCAGAGGAAACAAGGTCCGGGAGGTTTCTCATGAGCTCCATTAAGTCTCTTTTGTGAGCTGTGTACTAAGAAATCAACAAAATTCCTCTTGTAGCCATATCAAGCTTTCTTTTTTACTAAGTGATTCTTCTAACTTTGCATGGATGTGACAACTACTTTTATCGAATTCGTGACTTCGTCGACCAAGTTGTATTTCCTCTGACATGCGTCTATTCTTATCCTGGACCTATTTCCCAAGCCTTGAGGGTGGGAAGGGTATCAATACTTTATGCCAACTTAGACTTGAGTTTAGGCTACTTTATTCTGGCGTCCTAAACCTTAGAAGATAGGTATACCATTTCTATCCGGAAGCCAGCCAGCCTGGACCGTTGATCAATCCCGAAGGTCTGCTCAAGACAATAATTGTCAGCGCCAATTGGACTGGGATCTAGTTGTCTTTGTGTGATCAGTACCATCCACGCCTTACATGGTGTCGATCGTACTCATCGTGTATATTGTTATTCGCTTTCTCTCATATGTAAAGATGGATACGTAGTAAAACATAGCAGTGTTGGGTGTACAGTCACCAACCATACTTCAGTAACCTACCTAGTCTCACACCTTAAGTTTAGAAAGTTTCAATTTATCCACTTGCTTCATAATCTCAACAGTACATATAAAGAGCAGCAAGATTACCAATCCAACCCCAGTGTTATTATTGGTATTGAACAACAAAAGGTTCAGTGAGGCTATAAGGCCACAGCATCGTTGACAAGCAAGAATATCCTACGCCTGACATAGTCGCAAGCTAACTTGGATCACACACGAGATTATCAACGATGCCTTTCCCGGCGCAGCATCTGACAGGTCTACAACAGACCCAATAATAGACATTTCTATGTATTTGTGAAAGAGGCGTTTAGATCCCTCCTCCATTTGTCTGTGGCCTTGGCTTTGGTTGAGATATCCTCTTTTCCATCCATCAGCACAAGTCTTTTCTCAGCAGGAAGCCACTCAACACGTCTACCTGTCTCATCAACAAGTGTAACAGCCGCCGTAGGATCTAAGCGAAGATTGCTCGGAGCTCTGGGCGACCAGTTGGGATCTTCAAACAACACCCTTGCGATTTCAAGTTCCCCTTCAACTAGACGTGCCATATGTGGGACGAGCAGGTATTGTTGCCATTCTGGGCCAATAAACTCGCAAAGATCCTGCAAAGAGCGATTACCAATATTCGCCATCCACCAAACTTCTGTCGGGAGCTTGAGAAAGGCAGCATAGTAGGCGAGGATTATGAGAGCACGAGGGCGCAAGTCGCGTACGAACTGCACAAAATTTCGAGGAACAAACGTGAACCAAGTAATAATCCGCAGCATCATGACAGGACCAAAGCCATTGTGCAAGTTCTGATACAGAGAGCCCAAAAATTGAAGCGTCCCATAGTAGGTCTCGACATCAAGATAGTCTGGGTCACCAGGCTCTATAGAGTTGAGCATCAGAAGAAGAACAGCGGGGATGTGTTCTGAAGCTTGCTCTATATCAATAGAAGGCCGGTTGAAGAGAGGGTAGAGACCTGAGTCAATAAGCTTCTCGACACCCATCAGGTCGATAACGAGGCCGATACCTCGCCATACAATCATCCAATCTATTATGTAAAGCTTTTTGGCGTCTTCGTCTCGGAAGTTTTGAGACGAGAGGGCAGTGAGAAGTAGGGAATTTGCAAGAAGAGCAGGAAACGTCTCTGGGCGTGCTTGTTCCACAGCCCTGCGATAACCTTCGAATGAACGAGCACGATATGTGAGTGCGCGGGCAGCATCAGGCTTCAAATCAAGACTTTGCATGTGAAGACTTGCCAGACCGAACAATGAGTCCATAAGAAAGGGATTATCAAAGGCGACCTGGACCAACTTATTCCTCAAAACATCGTTGATGGGGTTTAGGGGGCCCTCATCAACAGAGAAAGACGTGCACGTCGAGCTGGTGTAAAACCAGAGTAGCTTCATATCCATCCTGTCCATCGGGGTAGGGCGAAAGAGTGGCTGTACCGTCAGGGAACCAACCTCTTCGAGGATCTCCTCGCTGATAGATTCCACATCGGGTGAAGAAGCTTTTTGGGGCGCCGGCGAGTATTCTGCAGAGGCGCGAGGTGGAGTGTTTGTAGCGCTCCCATTTGATGAGGATGAAGTAGAGGTAGAGGTTGCGGGAGTCGTGTATACGCAATCAGCCTTGCGCAGTCTGCAAGACTTACAGACTGGCCGGGCCTCATCACATTTGACCTTGCGAGCTTTACAGTTGCGACATCCAGCACGCGACTTTTTGTGAGGTCGTTTTGAGTGGTAAGGCTTATCAGAGTTAGGCGGCGATCCTTCTGGACTGGTGGACTGGCGCTGTTCTGATGATGGTTGGGGGTTGTCCATGGCCGAGATGACGAGCAACAGTGAAGCGCGCTCTGGGGCTATGACATAGAGTTCGAGAGAGTTTAGTTTCCCAACTGTTGGATATAAAATGAATAAGAAGCAAGCGAAAGCGCAATTCAAATCAGGTGGGATAGAGGTCAAGATACTGTGAGTTGTAGTGTTGATGACAGACAAAGTGATAAGCCGTCGCCAAACAGTGGAAACCCCGCGTGTGCGTTTCAGCACTAACAAGGCTTAGCAGCAGTCTAATTAAAGCTGCCCGTGAGTGGATGACGACTATAATCGATGATGACAGTAACTCTCGAGCAAGACTGGCATGGTCAATTCTGGCAGAATGCTACCTTATAGATAAGAGACGCGGATAAACACGTCTTTGACTGGAATGTATCATATCCAACGGCCGGTTGTCTAAATTGATTTTCACATAGTTAACTTTAGCAGCATAGTAACTTGAGTACCTGGAGTCGAACCTGAGCAATTAGTATTCATCATCTCTAGAAGCAAGTCTTTCAATCAAGACCAGGCCTCTCTACTCGTTCGGCCACAAGGTGTCAAGAAAATTTCTTATTGACTCGGAGCTGGTTCAGAGGAAGGCCAGGTGTAGCCAACGTCCAGGGGGCTGTTTTTGCGCACACTTCAGCCCAGTTTGTGGAGTCTGGCTCGTGGTATTGAATGACAGGGGTTCGTTACATAGAAGTTAGGTACTGATGTTGTCAAGATGCATTTAAGAGCGTACTGTAGTGGAGTGATTGCTATTGTATCAAAGTAATTTCAAGTATTTACTATCTCATTCGGCATTATGGAAGTCTTGTTTGCGAACGCAGACAGTAGAATCGCAGGTATACTTCAAAGTGTCGAAAGAGCTGGTCGCTGGAAGCATAAGAGACGAAATAATTCAGTCACTTTATTACAGTTTAGACCGGCATTTAGGCTACTTTATTTTGTTAGGCCGAACCTTGGAGGATATTTAAGGTGCCTACGAGACGAGGTACTTACCCTGCACGACTTGGGGAAAGAAAGAAAGTTGATATCCCGCTGCAGTTTTACAAAAGAACAGCGATCGAAATAAAATACTTCCGGGACCTATTTTTATTCCAGGTCACCGATACATGGGTGTATAGTAATTACTGCAATCCCATGTTGTTATTAAAACGACTGTAGTTGAGAGTCGGACCCGGACTTGGACCGGGATTCGGCCGACTCGACTTTGATAAATCCGTTCCCGTTTTTTTGACGCAACGCCCATGGAAACTTTAGGGAAATTTGTTAGTCAGGACAGGGCCTTGCCAACAACCCTGCGATATTGAAGTTGAATCCTCCCTAGATTTTACCCAAGTCCTCGACTTCATCCTCTCGATCCCAACCGACAAGCACTCGCCCGGATGCAATCGACAGGGCTTCGCGCCCTTCTCCATCCTGCCATCGCCGCTGCCCGGTTCCAACCCCGATCTCGAATCCTTTGTCGATCATTCCAGACATCTTCGACCTGGAGAAATGCAGGCGCAGGCGCAGGCGCAGGCGCAAACAATGGCGACAAGCCTCCGAACCAATCAACAGCTGTAGAGGATGAGGATATACAACCACAAAATGGCACAGAAAACTTGTCAGGTCGTTCGCGAGTTCGAGCATCAAGTTCTTTAAAAAGTAGAATCGCTCGCAAACAGGCCGCTCCCGCACTGCCTCCTGTCAAGCTACCACAAGCCTTCCTCGACAACAATGTTACCTTGCATCATGCTTGGAGGAGACCGCAGCTCCCAATTGCTCTTTTTGAAGACGCTAAACAGCCCAAGACATCATCAATTTTTGTCGACCCTCAATCCGCCGAGAAAAACACCCGAGTAACGGAATCCAACAAGGCACTTGAAGACTACTTCGATACAACATTCAGTGCCTTGGTCGAGAAAATCACAGACCGCGCCAATGAAATACTCACAATCAAGCCCGAATCCTGCGAAACAGAGGAACTTGTCCATAAGCTGACAAGCCTGACCCGTGTCTATGATATGTTACTCGACTCTGCATGGCATTTGGCCGATTCACTTTACCCTGCTCGCCATGCGGAATACACGTATACTTCAAGACCATTCTGGTGGTGGCATTACTACAAGGATTTTGACCGACAAACCCAAGAGTTTCGCGACCAGTTCTTGTCGGTTCAGACCAGCCTCGACAGCATTCTTGACTATGACTGGAGACTTGACCACTCTTTATCTCAAGCCATTGCCGACCTCCCCGTTCTCACATTCTCCTCCGTGCGATCCGCTCTCCGTCGCGAACTGACGACACCACCCCCGCCTGATTCGGATTCCAAAAATCTCAAGCGTCAGATAACTGTCCTGTCCATGTCGGGTTACAGTGGGCAAGCCATATCAGCAGCAGTTGCGGATCATGTCGCATATTTCAACGACGCCGATTTGATCAAACTCAATGCCCAAGATCTGTCCGTGGTAGTTGGGGATTATCTTGAACAGGACTGGGCTTACTCGCGAGGTTCGCTATCTCATGTGGGCTTTCGTGCCGCAGAGATGAATGGCAAGCTATACAAGGACCCTGATGTTGTAGCACGACCAGAAGAGGAGGATAATGACCCTGATACCGGTGTGATTAACATTCGTACAGCATCAGGTAGTCTTGAAGACGAACTTTCAAAAATTAAACAGGGTGGCTACGACCCTTTTGGGAAATGGGAGAACCTCAAGATTGATAAAGTTCTGAGTCAGATCTTAGAAGCCGCTGAGTTGAAGCAGGGCTCACCCCGAGAAAAGCCCCTTATCATCCATATCCATGACTTTGTGGAATTGAGCATGACTCTCGAGGGTGCAATGCTGATAACACGGCTGAGAAGTCTGGTGGATGTAGCGTGGCGGCAAGGCTCCAAGATTGCCATTCTAGGAACATCATCGAGCGAACAACCTTCAGAGGAGTACCAGAGTATGCTTCGAGACATCTCTGCCAGCGACTTTGTGATCTCTCGACATATCCATCCTCAGCGCACTCTGAGGCAACCCAAGCCATCCGGCGGCACACACACGTCAGAGAACCCCTTTCCCCTACAAGAAACAGATATCTTTGTGGAGAATGTGCAAAACATCAACCGAATGTTGAAGGCATTGGGCAGCCATCAATTTCTTGACTTTTCTGATGCGCACATGAAAATCTTTATGCATGCCACTGACACACGGGCTCAAATGCTTAAGAAATCCATACTTCCTTTACCAGAGGTATACAATATTGCGAGCGCAGCTAAGCGTCACGAAGAAGAGGCAGCTGGTGCTGCTCCGGGAGGCGTATATGAGCGTCTTCTCATGGGCCCCTTACGGCAAAAACCTGGCCAGCGATACCTCGATGAGTCAGAACAAGATGGAAAGTCGGACGGGGAGGATTCACAGAAGAAGGCGGAAGATTCACAATCAGGCAGCCGAGCCGCTCTGAAATTGAACGAGTATGAGAAGCGGATATCCTCTGGGCACATCAACCGTCAGAATTTAAGAACGACGTTTGAAGATGTTCACGTGCCCAAGGAAACTATATCCGCGCTCAAGCTGCTTACAACTCTGGCTTTAGTACGACCTGACGCTTTTTCGTATGGAGTGTTGGCCCAGGACAAGATTCCGGGGTGTCTGTTGTACGGACCCCCAGGTACAGGCAAGACGCTGCTTGCAAAGGCCGTTGCTAAAGAGAGTGGCGCAAACATGCTTGAGATCAGCGGTGCTACTATCAATGACAAGTGGGTTGGTGAGAGCGAAAAGCTTATCCGTGCTGTTTTCACACTCGCGAAGAAGATTTCCCCTTGCGTCGTCTTTATCGACGAAGCCGATTCCCTGTTAGCCAACCGTAGCATGCTTGGTGCTCGCGCATCGCATCGCTCTCACATCAATCAGTTTCTCAAGGAATGGGACGGTCTTGAAGAGACAGAAGCCTTTATCATGGTTGCTACAAACCGTCCCTTTGATCTTGACGACGCTGTCCTTCGCCGTCTGCCCCGCCGTCTGCTTGTTGACTTACCCCTGCAGTCCGACCGTACTGCCATTTTCAAGATTCTTCTCAAAGGCGAAACTCTTGATTCTGCCGTGTCGCTCGAAGATCTTGCCAAGCGTACTCCCTACTACTCAGGGTCTGATCTCAAGAACGCCTGCGTTGCCGCTGCTATGGCTGCTGTGGAAGAAGAAAACGAGGCCGCCGCGAGACACACCGGCCCTGAACCTTATGAATACCCCAAGAAGCGCACATTGCGCCAGGAGCACTTCGACAAGGCACTGCGCCAGATCCCGGCCAGCATCAGCGAAGACATGCAGTCGCTAAAGCAGATTCGCAAATTTGACGAGGAGTATGGGGCTAAGAAGAAGGGTGCCAAGAAGATGATGGGTTTCGGCGTGGGCGCAGAGAAGAAGTTCGCCGATGCTGATGAGGTCCGCATACGTCGCGGTCCATGAGCTTCTATTGGAATTTGGTTTCGTATATGTGCACTTCATGGCGCTGGGGATTGGTTTTTGTATAACATCCATACATACTTACATAGACTTTGCCAGATTTGAGAGGCACTTGTAGTGAACGAAAGAGTAAAACTGTTATGACGCCTGGGAATAAGTACCTAAACGTTGGAGACTGCAGATAGCTTAAATTTCAACCCTTTACCTCTATACAGCTTCCATGTCCAAGTAAAGAACTTATTATTCACCGGCTCCAGTCCTACAATAACATCAGAACAAAAAGGGGCCCGCAGCTACAGGTTGGTGTCGGCATAAGCAGAAGCATCCATAACATGTACAGTGCCAAAGTCGAGCAAGCTCCACTCATCAAGGGGTGCATTATTAGGCACTAGGGAATCAATCACATGGCTTGAAGTTTATGAGATGAAGGACTTGATACTGTATTTCGTGGATGTCGCAATCTAATCCCATAAACGCATCGGCATACAATTCTAATTCATTGTATTTCTTCCCTCAGATTAGCTGGATATTGGATGGAAGGTGCATTCTCTTAAGCAAGTTGCCTTAGGTAATCGATAAATCAGTGACCGCATGTGGGTCTGATGCCTGAACAAAGCATCTCTCCATTGACTTGTGTAGAGCATTCATTCTCATATTCGTCTTAACTACCTACTTGCCTACCTAGGTATCATAATAATTAATTCTTTGACACCAACACATCAATATGGCTATTCCAGTGGGAAGAACCCTCTTCAAGAAGAAGGAGGGTATCCTGACTCTCACGACTGACCATCAGCTGGTCACTTGGACTCCAAATTCTGGAGGCCCTCCCACCGTCACCCTCAGTATTAACAACATCACGAGTAGGTGGAATCTTTCATAAACGCGTTTCGAGAACTGACACCGATAAGATCTTCAACAAACCCCCGATAATGCAGCAAAGGTGATGCTCAAGATCTTTGAAAAGGTTGGAGATGCCGATCCTGCTACATATCTCTTTCATTTCAATACTGCCGAAGCCAAGGAGGAGGCAAAGGCTGTCAAAGATCTCCTGTCCAGTCTATTAGCCTCATCGCGTGGCGGTGATGTCGCCGTCCCTAAACCTTCCGGCGCCAGCGGCGGCTCCTCAACACCAAACCCAAGCGCTGGAGGCACTGGTAGTGGTTCAGCATCCATGGCCTTTGCCAGCGCCGTCAATTCGCAGCAGGCCTCGTCCTCGCGCTGGTTCGATGACTCACAGCTCAAGAATGATATTGAGCTACAGCAGTCCCTAATGAGAAACGATACTAGCCTACATCAAACTTACGTTGAAGCAATGCAAACAAAGCCCGAGTCATTATCAGGAGCCGCCTTCAATTCACAGTTCTGGTCAACGCGTACAAATCTTCTCCGAGCTCATGCCATTGAGACAAACCAGAAGAAAGGAGCATACAATGTTCTCTCCACAGTCAAACCAAAGACCGTTGACGGTGAGCTAAAACTAAACATCAGCGTAGAACAGGTGCAGATGATTTTCGCACAGCATCCCCTGATCAAGCGTGTTTACAACGAGAATGTCCCAAAATTATCCGAGGCAGAATTCTGGTCACGTTTCTTCCTCAGCAGACTCTCCAAAATGCTGCGAGGTGAACGAGTCGTAGAAAACGACCCTACAGATCCTTTATTCGACAAATACGACCCAAGCGAGAATACTGTGGCCTTCCAGAGCAAGATCATGGCCCAGCAGGTGCCACATATCATCGACATAGAGGCCAACGAGGAGAACCAAGGAGGCTTCAGAAGTGGCAATGCAAAGGATGTTGAGATGCGTCCTAGGGGGGATATACCCATTGTCAAGACACTTAACAGTCTTAGTGAGAAGATCATGGCTAACGTGGCGCCATCCGATGTCAGCACGGACGATCCCGATGGCGCTTACAATGCTTATGTCCAATTGGCATTGCGCGATCTCAAGGGTGATGCTCAAGAGCATCGCATCATGCTCAATGTGAAGGAGCAGAACAAGTTCTTCTCCAAACACGACTCAGCACCCTCTAAGCAGGCTGCTGTCTTCGAAAAACAAGTGCCGAGTGATGTACTCTTCGATATTTTGGGAGATCTCGAGACATTAGAGAGTGATGGAGCTGGCGGTATCAACATTCAAACTGCGATGGGATTTGATGAACAGAGCGAAAGCGACGACGACGCACCCAAAAGATCACATGTTGGCTCACGTTCTGCTCTTCAGGCCGCTGACAAGGATATCATGAAGGGTGTACGCCAGCAACGTGCCCAGCAATATGGTCATGATACAGACACTGCTGAGCCCATGGGCCTACCTGCTGAAATCTCCCGCAAGTGCAGTCTCACTCATGCTACGACTATTGAGTTTTTGCACCAATTCTGGAATGCGTTCCTTTCAGGTGATCCAGACCGTGCTGGGGAACTACAGTATTTAGCCGAATCCTTGGGTCGCTCTCTTGCACGAATCAACGCTGTTGCGGAGGAAGCGGATAAGGAGCGAGAAGAAATTGTTCGCAGCCGCAAGAAAGAAATTCGTGATCATTTCGAGCGCACGGGCAAGAAGATTCGATGGAGATCTGAGAATGTAGGAGGTGGAAAGACTGCAGTGATTGCCTTGATGCAACCGACAATGAATGCGTTGGAGAAGGCCCAGGCCGATTACTCGAGAGCTCTGGCAGCCGAAGGTATTCAGATATCGACTGAGGCATGATTGTTGCAAGACTAAGTGGTCATATTTGTCGATACAAGTATATATACGGTGCAGTGTTTTGGCCTTGAAGGTTGCATAGCAGTATCCGAAGGTATTCAAGATGGATTCACGAATGTTTGATCCTTGGTCTGTACGTCAGAAATACGTACTGACACAGCTCAGCTCAGCTCAGCTCAGCTCAACCCAGCCCAGACATCTACCCCAACTGCCATGTCCCTGTGGCTGGTGAAAACGGATATCAATTCAACGGCCCCTGTCCACCTCCAAACACTATCCAAAACGTGAAATGCATGTGGCCTCTGTTGCATTACAGTTACAGTTACAGTTTCAGTTGCAGGGCCAGGGTTAGGACTTGTCTAATATACAGAGTACGGTACTGTATGTACATGTGGCGTCGGCTGTTGACCCTGTTTCAACCACGTAAAACTTGACGATGGTTACTCCGCAATTTCAGTCTTTTCCCGTTTGCCCCGCGGGAATGGATACGATCCATGAATAACTGACACTTAGCAGACTAGACCGTGCGAAGACCATGTTCCCCTTTCTACGATCGATGTCTTTTGTGTGTGTGTGTCGAATCCACAAATGCACCACCCACCATCATGACAACGACAACTGAGGTTATCACCGCCAGAACTGTTTGAACATTCATAGTCAACCTCTCGAGATTGTGGGGAATGCAAGTAGCAGTCCGGCTCAACGGGGTGTATAAGTGTTTCCGGGAATCAATTCCTCCACGGTCAAGCATTACGGTGATCCTCGGTAAACAACCCTCAAGTCTCCGAACAAGAAGTCAGGAACCCCAAAGCCCCAAAAATAAATGCGACGTGCCCCAATGGCAGTTGGCACAAAAGCCCACGATGACCTCCAAAACAGTGTGTCATGTGGGCTTCCGGACAATCAAGACCGGTCACCTTTCACCTTGGGATTCTAGCTGTAAACCCCCTACAGTGGCTGGAACGCACCGTGTGTCGCACGGAGTTTTTTCGGTGACCGTAGCGCTACGGGTGTCCTTGACCAATGAAAGCCCTGATCCCTGGCGGCCAGAACCGGGTTTGCCGGGGCGTCATAGCATTTTTAACCTGCAGCAGGAGATCAAAGGCCAGCCAGCCAGGCCATAGGTAGGCAAGCCCGCAGCCCAGTCCAGCCCAGCCCAGCAGTTCCATTACCTAGCGATTTGAGCTCCAGCCAGTCCCAGCAGTACCTAAACAATTTCTTCTTCTTCGTGTTCCTCCCATCCATCCTCCCATCCAATTCCAATTCCTCTCCTCAGTCTCAACTGGGAATTTCCTCCTCAGTCGACTTACTCCGCGTTTCTTTCGTGTTGCGATCAAGTTCGCCGAGGGATGCTTCCCATCCATATCATCTAGTTTCTCTACCTATCTGTATTCTTCAGTTTCTTCACATACGCAAATCGCCCATCATGTTGAGGAATTCGCTCTGCAGAGCTAGCTCGCAGCTCCTTCGCGGTGCTCGATGCTCTGCTGCCTCTTCTACCGCCTCCATCTCGACCGTCTCGGCCCGTACCTCCTCATGGAAGCTCGCTGCCTCCCGTCGCCCTCTAGCTGTTGCTGGTCGTCGCAACTATGCGACCAGCGCGACCTCAGCACCTCCCGACCCTAACGATAACTTCCTCTCTGGAAGCACCGCCAGCTACATCGATGAGATGTACATGCAGTGGAGACAAGACCCTGAGAGCGTCCATGTCTCTTGGCAGATCTACTTCAAGAACATGGAGGGCGGCGAGATGCCCATCTCTCAGGCCTTCCAGCCTCCCCCTAACCTGGTTCCTGCCATGACCGGCGGTGTCCCTCGTCTGTCTGGCAACCTGGCCATGGAGGATGGTTCTGATGTTACCAACCATCTCAAGGTCCAGCTTCTCGTCCGCGCTTACCAGTCTCGTGGCCACCATACTGCCAAGATTGACCCTCTCGGTATCCGAGGTACCAATGACGCAAAGGGTTTCGCCAACATTAAGCCTAAGGAATTGACTCTCGAGCACTACGGATTCACTGAGAAGGATATGGACACCGAGTACACTCTCGGTCCCGGTATTTTGCCTCGCTTCAAGCGTGATGGCCGTGAGAAGATGACTCTCCGTGAGATTGTTGATGCTTGTGAGAGAATCTACTGTGGTTCTTTCGGCGTTGAGTTCATTCACATCCCTGACCGTGACAAGTGCGACTGGCTTCGTGAGCGCCTTGAGGTTCCTACCCCTTTCAAGTACTCTGTCGATGAGAAGCGCCGTGTTCTTGACCGTCTTATCTGGAGTTCCAGCTTTGAGTCTTTCCTGGCCACCAAGTACCCTAACGACAAGCGATTCGGTCTTGAGGGTTGTGAAACCCTTGTCCCCGGTATGAAGGCTCTTATTGATCGCAGTGTTGACTACGGTGTCAAGGATATCGTTATCGGTATGCCCCACCGTGGTCGTCTCAACGTTCTCTCCAACGTCGTCCGAAAGCCCAACGAATCTATTTTCAGCGAGTTCGCCGGTACAGCTGGTGGTGAGGATGAGGGTTCTGGTGACGTCAAGTACCATCTTGGTATGAACTTTGAGCGTCCTACACCTTCTGGCAAGCGTGTTCAGCTTTCTCTGGTCGCCAACCCTTCGCATCTTGAGGCCGAGGACCCCGTCGTCCTGGGCAAAACCCGTGCTATCCAGCACTACAACAACGATGAGAAGACTCACCGTACTGCCATGAGTGTTCTCCTCCATGGTGATGCTGCCTTCGCTGCTCAGGGTATCGTCTACGAGTGTCTCGGCTTCCACTCTCTCCCTGCTTTCTCCACCGGAGGTACCATTCACCTGGTTGTCAACAACCAGATTGGTTTCACCACCGATCCTCGTTTCGCCCGATCCACCGCCTACTGTACCGATATCGCCAAGGCTATTGACGCCCCTGTCTTCCACGTTAACGCCGACGATGTCGAGGCCGTCAACTTCGTTTGCCAGCTTGCTGCCGACTGGCGTGCCGAGTTCCAGCACGATGTTGTCATTGATCTCAACTGTTACCGAAAGTACGGTCACAACGAGACCGACCAGCCTTCTTTCACCCAGCCTCTCATGTACAAGCGCATCAACGCCAAGGACCCCCAAATTGACATCTACGTCAACAAGCTTATCGAAGAGGGCTCCTTCTCCAAGGAGGATGTTGAAGAACACAAGCAGTGGGTGTGGGGCATGCTCGAAGAGAGCTTCACCAAGTCCAAGGAGTACACCCCCACCTCCAAGGAGTGGACTACCTCCGCCTGGAACGGCTTCAAGTCCCCCAAGGAGCTGGCCACCGAGGTTCTTGCCACCAACGAGACCAATGTCAAGAGCACTACTCTTGAGCACATTGGTAACGCCATTGGCAGCGTTCCCGAAAACTTCCACGTTCACCGTAACTTGAAGCGTATCCTAACCAACCGAACCAAGTCTGTTGTCGAGGGTAAGAACATCGACTTCCCTACCGCTGAGGCTCTGGCTTTTGGCTCTCTCGTGACTGAGGGATACCACGTCCGTGTCTCCGGTCAGGATGTTGAGCGTGGTACCTTCTCTCAGCGCCACGCTGTCTTCCACGACCAGGAGACTGAGGACACTTACACTCCCCTCCAGCACCTGAGTCAAGACCAGGGCAAGTTCGTCATCTCCAACTCTTCTTTGAGTGAGTTCGGTGCACTTGGTTTCGAGTACGGTTACTCTCTGTCTTCTCCTCATGCTCTGGTCATGTGGGAGGCTCAGTTTGGTGACTTTGCCAACAACGCCCAATGTATCATCGACCAGTTCATCGCCTCTGGTGAGGTCAAGTGGATGCAGCGAACAGGTCTTGTTATGTCTCTGCCCCACGGTTACGATGGTCAGGGTCCTGAGCACTCTTCCGGACGTCTTGAGCGATACCTCCAGCTCAGCAACGAGGACCCCCGGGAGTTCCCTACTGGCGAGAAGCTTGTCCGTCAACACCAGGACTGCAACATGCAGATTGCCTACTTCACTTCTCCTGCCAACCTGTTCCACGCTCTCCGCCGACAGATGCACCGCCAGTACCGCAAGCGTAAGTGATTCCTGCTACTTTTGACTGTGTTGATACTAATTTACTCTTAGCTCTCATCATCTTCTTCTCCAAGTCTCTCCTCCGCCATCCTCTTGCTCGCAGCGACATCGAGGCTTTCACTGGTGAGAATGCCGGATTCCAATGGATCATCCCCGACCCTGCGCACGAGACTGGTGTTATCAAGTCTCCTGACCAGATTGAGCGTGTTATTCTCTGCACTGGTCAGGTGTGGGCCGCCCTCGAGAAGTACCGATCTGAGAACAACATCGACAATGTCGCTTTCACCCGCATTGAGCAGCTGAACCCCTTCCCTTGGCAACAACTCAAGGAGAACCTCGACATGTACCCTAACGCCAAGACCATCGTCTGGTGCCAGGAGGAGCCTCTCAACGCCGGTGCTTGGAGCTTCACTCAGCCCCGTATCGAGACTCTGCTCAACAACACTGAGCACCACACCCGCAAGCACGTCATGTACGCTGGCCGAAACCCCAGTGCCTCTGTCGCCACTGGTCTCAAGCACGTCCACACCAAGGAGGAGAAGGAACTCCTCGAGATGGCTTTCACTGTCAAGCAGGACAAGCTTAAGGGCGAGTAAGCGGGCTATCAGTTGATGAATAAGATTTATTAGGGGACGCAACATGGACGGGATAGTAAGGTAATTGCACAGCTACTAACGTTTGGGGGGGAAGAAGTCTAAGAGAAGCCACTGGATTTGGGGAGCAACTAGGCTTCTCATGTAAACCACTTTGTATCATACCCCTCCTAGACAAAGGACACTTTTGCCTTGCATTGGCATGGGCTTGGGAACGACATAGCATGATTTTTTATTGTTTAAAGGTTTACACTGCTTATTGGTTCTCTTGACTGTAGATGACAATTTAACATAAAGATATTGAGTCTTGATATGCTGACATTAGTCCTTGACCCCATGGAACTGAGATTTCGATTATTGTTACAACAGTACCATTGCTATTTAATTGGGATGAAATGCTACCTAGGTGCATCGATCTCGACTTGCCACGGCCGTACAATTCCGTCGTCGCCCGTTGTGACAAGCATCTCTTCCTCTCCTCTTCGTTCCGAGCCGGCATCATATCTCCGGCACCACGTAATGTGATTGACTTCATAGGGCCCGTGAGCTCCGGGTTGAGTAGTGACAACTCTCCATGTAGCATCCTTGCTTTCCTCAGTATTGCCCATACTATGGTCTTGGTCACTTGTATGTTGCTCAGCATCCTCAGCATCCTCAGCGTACAGGGCAACGATTCCATCACTGCCAGTGCTTGCTACCATCCCTGTCTGCCCACTCCAAGCCACGGAGTAGATATCGCGGGTATGTACTTTGGGCAAGACAGCTGTGCATGTCCAATCCTCTCGGAGAGATCTTCGCATCGTGTTGGGGATGCCGCCCAGAGCTCTCACTGTACCTCCTGTAGAGGTTTCTTCTACTTCATCATCCTGCTTCAATGTCCATACACGGATGGTGTTATCAGCCGAGAAGGTGAGTAGCCGTGGGAAGAGATCTCCCTCACGTGGTCGTGGTTCCCATTGCAATCCCCAGACAGTACCTTCGTGGCCCTCGAGGACGGCAACGCAAACCCATTCGGCGTCGCCATCTTCGCGCCAGATGCGCACCGTGTTATCGTAGCTTGCACTGGCAAGAACATCAGACGAGTAGCTGCGGCGGGCATTGCGCCCAGGGACATCAGGACACCAAGCAACGGCCTTGACATCGCCCTCATGTTCATTCAGTACGGCAATGGTTTCCCACTCATCGTCCTCCTCGGATGCACCGATATCTTCCCATATCCAGACTGACTTATCGCGCGAGCACGTAGCTAGGTAAGAACCTGAAGGATTGAAAGCACAAGACTTAATTTCCGAGTCGTGGCCTTCAAGAACAAGCGTAAACTCCCACTCTTTATTGGCGGCATCGCCGTCGTCGTCGCTGTCATCGTTGTTATTGTTGCGCAGAGTCTGTTGCGTCACCTCTACTTCCAGCCCGCTTTCCTCCTGTTCTTGACCCTCCCATCGCCATATTCCAGCTGTAGAATCAAAACTTCCAGTAACAAGACATAAATTGCCGGGTCGTAGATGAGGCTTCCATGCGACGGAACGGACGGAGCGGTTGTGGCCGCCGGTGAGGACGCTGTGAGCAGAGGCAGTCGAAAGAGAATACACAGTAACCGCCTTTGCATGCGCGGTTGCAATTAAAGGGAGTGTCGGATGAGGGACCGAGGCCCAGGCGCGTTCATGAAGGTCGGGCTTGAAGGGCGTGAGGGCTGTGATGCGGGCCGAAGTCGGCGCCATGATGGATGGATAGAGTCGTCAGGCAATGAATGATATATCGAGCGATTCGTGATGATTGGGCCGAGGATGCGCTGAATTAAACCTTCTGATTGGTAGGCCAGACTCGTTGTAGCAGGCGCTGTGGTGATGTGACGGTAGAAAGTTCAGTTCATTTCATTTGAGAATTGGTAGTTTCCCCTCCTTCAGTCAAAAGTTCAGAATGGGGTTGAGTTGATAAGATAGCGCGAGAACCCCTCCATCCCCATGGATCTCAGTGGGTGACGTACACAGAGGCGCATGCTAGGTATGCTTCAATCTTGACTTTCAGTATAATTGTTTTTAAGCCCGAGCAAGAGACGAAATAATTTGGTCACTATGTGCCAGCTTAGGTAGGTAGAAAAGCACTTAGGCCATTTTATTATAATAGCCTAAGCCTTATAGGACAAGTGAATTCTTCTCTTTCCTACCTGTTATCTGATATCCTATCTGTTCATACTCTTCACTTTATCCTTTATCCAGGACCAAGCTTCTTTGACATCTCCTCCCGGCTTCAGTTTCAATTCCCTGGCCCTTTCCAAACCACCCTTCTTGAACCCCCCTGGTAACAGAAGCCAAACCATGGTGATTGCCCCTAGAAGTCCAACTATTATAGGCTGCAAAACTTGCACACCAGTATGTTGAGCAATAGCTCCAACCGCAAATGGTCCCACAGCAGCGCCTCCTCCCCCGACTGCAGCTGCAAATCCAATAGCACTCACATGATAGTCAGCAGGCAGAAGCTTGGTTGCTGCGACCATTGAAGCAGGAAACAAAGGGCCGAGGAAGAACCCCAAGAGCATGACAAAGATGATAGATGCAATGAAGTTGGGTACGAGCCAATACAGCAGTTCTAGCCCAATCGAGAGCATAAGGTATACCATGATGGCCGTCTTTTCACCAATTCTCTCTGTGAAAAATCCCAGAACAACTCTACCCAACGTTAAGCCAAGCCAGAACAATGTGACGGTCAGGCCTGCAAGGAAAGGCTTCGCATGCCGTACCCGAAGCATAAAGGTGACGATCCAGCCTCCAAGACTGACTTCAGCTGCCACATATCCTAGAAGGAAGACAGCGACTATCCAAGTGATTGGTTTCTTGACGGCCATGCGAGTTGTTGCACGGTCTTTGCCTTGTTCGAAACGTACTCTTCGTCGGTATTCTTGACCAGTTGCGCCCCAGAATGCAACAGTTCCAACCATGAACTCGAGCACAACAAGGCCTGCCATGATATAAAAGAAAGTGGACCAGTCAAGGTTACCCTCAGTCACCATAGCAGAAGCTACCAGCGGACCAATAGTGCCACCAAGACCATACGCGCCGTGCAAAAGTCCCAATAGCTCGTTGGCGCGCTGCATGTTGCCAATCCAGGCATTGTAGCTACTGTCCTGTATACCGTTGCCGAAGCCTGTGAAAAGCATGACACAGGGAAGTGCTGGGAAGGGAGGATGAAGTGCCACTGGAACATAGGCGACGAGACGGCAGAGAGGCCCAAGGATGGCAACTCCTCGTTGACCCAGGGTGTAGTGTATCCAGTTATTGGTGAGTGCAGCAAGGACGTAGCCCGCAACAGGTACGAGGAACATGGTTGAGACAGTGGTATAGTTGATGTCGTAATACGTTTCGATCTAGTAAAATAGTTAGATATATTGACTTGTCTGCCATTATCAACTTTGGCGTACATATGGTAAAAGAGCCTGTAGACAGGCAGTTAGTCAATAAAGCCAGTACAACGGGCAAGATCTATGATTTTCACCTACGCCCAAAGAGGCATCATTCATGCCCATTATGAGAAACGAGAGATTGGTAGCATAAAAGCGATATGAGTTGATTCGAGGACTGTTCCAACGTTCAAGCTCGTTGATCGAATCTGCACTGTCGGTGTTCTCGGGTTGCTGTATAGCCTCGACAGCGTCTGGCTTCTTTTTCGACTTTTCAACATCTTGTCTGTTGACTTCTAGATCAGCAGATATCAAGTTCATGACATCAGACTTGTTGTAGAGTTTTGATTGTGATGAGAATTTAAGTAATGGATATCATGGATGGTAGGAAAAGCACTATATAAAGAGTAGAACGGGTAAATTTCTCGCTAGAAAATGAAAGTTGCATGCTTGCATCTCCTCTGCAATGGATACTACCTAAGTTAGCGGATACGGTAATAATGACTAGGATTTGAGATGGTCCAATATGCGGTAGAATTTATCGATCAATAAGGTACTGTGGAATGAATGTCGGCTAACGGGACGACAATCCGCGAATGCCTCTAGTAAAAGGGTATTGACTGTACTAATCTTTTCGATCCAATTTCGGGATACTGTATTAAAATTAGTATCCAAAAGAATCTGATCGCTGCCCTGCTAACAAGTAATCTACTATATTACATCTTAATACCTCTGCTTTTTCTTCTGTCTATTATACCTGCAAATTATATCTAAAAATACTGGAATTTTGTCTATTATTGCTGCTAAACGTAGGTGTAATTAGGATCTTAGTAATATTAAATGCACCCTTATTATGTAGAAAATAGAGATTGGTAGTACTTTGCGTACTATTGCAGTAGAGGTAAAGTATTTACTTACTACTATCTTTAATATTTACTAACGCTAGAAAAATAACTAAACCTTAGATAAAAAACCTAAATTTAGGTATTCTAGGAAACTTATAGTTTAGGAGATTTAGTATATATTAGTATCTCTTAAGTATAACTATTAAATTATATATAAATTACTTCTTAATTATCTAGGTATAAATATTTTATAAACTATAATATACTAAGTTATTTAATTCTATTATAGTTATAAATAGAGGGCTATATAGTAGATTCTGCTATCTAAAGAAACTACTTGTTAGAGATTATTATAGTATTAAGCTTAGAGAGATAATATTAAAGAATTATTGCTAGTATATTAGTTTAAAGTTTATATTTAAATGTAAGGTAGGAATTATTTACTAACTTTATAATAACTTTAAACTATTTTCTCTAATAAATTATTAGTTTAGTTTTAATTAAACTATACATATAGCTAGATCTTTTAGAAGCCTTATAAGAAGTTTATAAAGAAATTAGTTAATATTATAGTTTATAGGAAGTTTAAGTTATTAATTATAGTCTAGGTAGTAATTTAGAAAGGTAGGAAATTTAATATAGTTATTATAATAAGGGACTAGACTGCTAAATGTAAGGGATATACTTTTAGAAGTTATTAAGAAGTATTATCTAAAGGTTTACTTCCTATATATAATAGAATATAGTAATTTTAATAGGATAATGCCTATATATATATATTAGAAGTAATAGTAGAGTAGATACTTTAGTATAGGATATAGTAGATTAACTAGCCTGCTTATAGTCCTAATCTTAACCTAATTAAGTATATTTAGAAGTAATTAAAGTTAAATATCTAGAAGATATTCTCTTAATTAGACCTTCTTAAAAATAATAAAGTTAATTAAGTAAAATTAGTAGAATATATTAAGGTTATATAGGCTACTATTACAACTGCTTAGATCAATACCCTTATTAACTTATTGCCCTAAAGACTTAATGTATGTATTTGTGCCTAGGGTTAGTATATAAAATATTAAAGAGGAAAATTTGCACTATAAAATAATATACATCTTAATTTAATTGGATTTTAATTAACTAATATTTCTATAAGTAAAGTTATTGTGGTCTAAGTTAGTTGGTTGCTCTAGGGTGGGTGATCAGATTCTTTTGGATACTAATTTTATCAGCACTGAAGACCAAGTACTGAGCCTAGCCTCTCATCAGGGGGTCAGAAGGATTGACCGCTGAGAGCCTGAGACGAAATAATTAGATCACTTTAGACCAGCAACTTGGCTACTTTATTTTTGTAGCCTAAGCCTTAAAGGACATTTCCTGTACCTCCCTGGCGGTCGATAGACGGGCCAGGAGCCCACTAAACTTAATTTACTTAGTATAAATACAGGGCAATGATTGGCTCCCAAGTCTGGGGTCAAAAACTGCCCCGGATCGTCCGCCAAGAATTAGGTACTGTAGGTACCTAACGCCTACATCCGTACGTACATTATCCATAACCTAAACATCAAACAAAGCACAAAGCCAATGCTGTAGGTGCCAAGAACAAGTAAGTTAGCGCTTTTCTGGCCGTTTCCGAGAAAGAATCTCGAGGTTTTTCTCTTATCTTCTAACAAGGGCAGGTTGCATTGAAAGTACAGTAACTGTAACCTACTAAGGTAGAAACGAGGCTGTGCAACAGCAATTGCTTCGCCACAAGCACAAGCACGCGGGGTCTTTTCAGTGCAGTAAAATACAACGTCATCGGGCGTTCCGAGCATCTTTTGGCTACTGGAGGCGGCTTAAAGGACCGGTAGTGTGCAGTACTGTACCACGTAGGAAACGCCCAACGGGAATTTGCTGGTGAACCTCGTGGTCTGTTCCATGTGGCCTAAAAACCCTGTCGTCATCCTTTCTCTGTGTGAGGTACTGAGATAGACCAGTACCAAGGCAGCTTACACAACCTCAACAACATAGGTCATTCATTACCAGCATCTATCGTCCCTTTCTCCATTGCGCCAAGATAACCTTTTATTGTTGCTGCGCCACTATATCACTTCGGCTTTCGTATCTGAGCTGCAGGGTCTGCCTTATTGCTGCTACCTAGGCATCTAGTATCCATAAGGCTGACGTTCACCCTCTTATAGCTGAATATCTACGCTACCACTTCTTCTCGTCGTTTCCCACCCCCACCGTCTACCATCCATTTTCCCTCGCCTCCAACTCAGTACAACACACACGCATAGCGTCACTGTTCACAATGTCAAAAGACTACTACGAGTATGAAGAGTACTCTCGCCGCCGCCGTGATTTCTCCCCGGATAACTACTCTGGCGGCACCCCAAACTCTCAACAGCAGGGCCCTCCGCCTCCTGGAGCTCCTCCATATGCCTCAACATCTCGTCTCGATGACCCCTACTACGGTGGTGCGCCTCCTCCCCAGCGAGAGCGCATGACTCTTGAGCCTCCTGAGCACCAGAACCGCCCGCGCTCTGTCCCGCCCAACACCGCCATGGTCCGGCGCAGCCGGTCTCGCTCCCGTGCTCCTTCTGACGATGAAGATTACGACGATAGACGTAGCTCCCGCAACCGTTCCCCGAGCCCCATCACCCGCGCTCGTAACGTGGTTGATGAGAACTTCTCTCACTCTGCGTCTGGCATTGGCGCTGGCCTGCTGGGTGCCGTTGTCGGCGGTCTTGTGGCTCGCGAAGCCACCGAGGCTGCGACACGCCGTAAGCACAAAACACGCGGCTACGAGGATGACAACGAGGACCGCACTCGTCTTGTCTCTACTATTCTTGGCGCTGTAGCCGGCGGTCTTGGGGCTAATGCCCTTGCCAATCGTGTAGAGGATTCGAGGGAGCGTGATCGACGTCGTCAACTCGAATGGGAGCGTGAGCGCAGCTACGTGCGGGAAGAAGAGATGCCTCGGTACGAGCGAAGGAGGTCCGGTGAAAGGGAGAGAGATAGGGAAGACAGTCGTCAGGATCGTGAGCGCTACGACCGGAGCAGAGCGCTTGCGCAAAAAGATGATGATGATTATGACTTTGTTTATGACGATCCACGATATGAAGAAAGGGAACCTCGGCAACGCAGAAGTGAAGACGGCTATCGGTATCGCCAATAACAGCTACGCTTCTGATGGCCCTGTTCTTGCTTGAGACCTTTCATGATCTGCCGCTTTTGTCTTGCGATTGCCAGTTTTAAAACATGGGTTGAAGACGGGATATTATGGATAATGTCATCTATGAGTGGAAGAAACTTAACGAGGAATGAATTGGCGTACTTTGGATATATAATCAAAAACATTCATAATGTCAGGTGTATCACTTTCGAATGCACCGCTTTGCCTGATGGTACCACAATTGATCGTACGAGCTACTGAGATACATGAGCCATTCCTCTGCCATTTAAGCAGGGAGTTAGAAAGCGACAGTATAGCACTTTGATTAACACCTTTCCCCCTGGACCGTCCATTGTCGCTCCCTATGGGACTGCTTTCCATGCCCAACGTTATGGTTTCGCTGTTCTCGACTGTCCAGTTCCCTCTCGACAATCACTTTGAAAAATTGAGCAATCTCGGCAAGAGCAACCTGCTGCTCATCGGGAACACCAAGCATCTTGAAAGTTGACTGCGCATCAACTAACTGCTTCGCAATCACCGAGTCTGGCTGGCAGAGAGTTCGAACACCCATGGCTCTAGCATTGACCTTCATAGCATGCAGAAGTCCGCCAATTTCGGCAGGATCAGCTTGTCGGCGGCCGTAGAAGCGGAAGTCGTCTATATGCAGGTTGACTAGCTCGAGCTGCGTCTCCAGGTCGTATCGAAAGCCAACCACCTTGGGACGACCCTTGCTCTGCCACACATCTGCCACCTTCTTGAGTTTGTCTGGCACAAGACGACCCTTGTCCAACTGCACCGCGATGTAGTCGTTCAACGCTGTGCTCAGGTTGAATTCGAGTTCGCAGTAGAGGAGACTTTGCTCTCTTGCGTTCAGCGAAATGGTAATATGAGATGCTGGACGAGGACGAACAACAGGCTGAGCTCGTCGAGAAGTGTGAATCTCTGCCTGAGACTGAGTTAGACAGTACCGAACCTTTGGGGTGTTCCAACTTACCACATCTTTGGCCATCTTCTTGATACTGTCCAAAATTCCAGTTTTCTTGTGAGGAGCTTTTGCGACGTGCTCAACGACGCCCCGGTCCGTACGCTCTAACCACCCATTATCACCGATCATCGTTTTTTCGCCCTTCTTTGCACTGGGGTAGTCGGTCCCTCTGAAATAGAATTGCAGCGGCGAGAAAAGAGGTGTGTTCTGAACAATTTGGTCGTTAGTGGTAGTACGATTGTTGTTCGTGTGCACTGTTACGATCTGAGGAGATGTCGGCGAGTGTAGTTCCATGGCATGGGCCTTTCGCAATCCATCAGCTGAACTCTTGGAGCGCCGAGGTCTATTGGCCAGTCCCCCCGTATGGGCTTCGGATTCTTTGATTATAGACGGATCCTGACTCAGAAGCCACTGCTTGTATGATTTATTTCCAGTTTCGTCCACGTTGGAGTGTGACCGAACGTGGCTTAGACGGAGTGGTGAGGGACGAGCTGTAGGTTGAACAGAGTAGACTGAAGAAGAGTTATCTTCGAACATTGAAGCACGCTCGAACCGGCCTTCCCCAAGGGGAGAGACTGCATCAGGGATGTCCTCTAGGTCGGTTGATCGAGATGCAACCCCATGGAGGCGGCCAGTCGCGAGTTGCAGTGGAGAAGGTGGGTTTCTTTGACGACGCTCTGCTATAGAGAATACGTCTCTGGAAGAATCTGAGTGACGACCGGGCATGAGCTCAGAGAAAGTTGGGGAATCTGCTCCCAAGCTGTTCTCTGGAGTGGTCCACATATAAGAGCCTCGAGTTTGAGGACTTTGGTGTTTACTCTTCCGTGGCGTTGATCTTGGTGTTGACATTGCAGACTTCTTCTTCCTCGGTTTTATTGATTTGTTCGGGCTACTGTTCACGTTTTGACTGAATCTGCAGGAAAGTTAGCACGAGTTCAGACTTGTGTTACCAACATACGCTTCTGTTATCTTGTCAACTTGGCTCTCAGTCAAGTCCATACGGATACGGAGCGGTTGAGATAGTGAACGTGCTCTTGATTCTGTATCCAAGGGCGCCATCACTGCAGCCACTTGATGGCGGCTCTTGAGTGAGTGATCAGATGCAGGACCATCCGTCAACTACCTTGGAACAGATATACTGTTTTGAAAAAACAAAGCAGCCTGAGGTTTTTAAAAGATTCCCATAGGTTGCCCCGGGTGAGGTGGCGGGTTACATGTGTTGCTAGTGTTGCCAGTGTTGCCAGTGCCAGTGATGTGACAGCGCGAGAGCCTTAGACTACCTACCTAGTAGGTAGAAGCTTTAGGTCAGCCAGCCTCGGGGTATCAGAAGAATTGATCCTTGAAAGCCTACCTACCTGAGAGACGAAATGGTTTTGTAAATTTATGCCAGATTAGACAAGCACTTAGGCTACTTTATTGTGGTAGTCTGCGCCTCAGAGGACGATTCTTCTGTTGCGTACCCGCTAGGCTGTTTGATACTGGCTTCAAAAAGCTTCAGGGGATAATGTGGTAGCTTCTCAATCGTATTTGTTGTCATTCACATCTAAAGGGAGAGCGCTCTCGGTGTAAGGATCGTTTGATGACACCAAAAACTCGGCAACAAAGGAATCATTTCTGTCTTTCGATGTCTATAGAAGAAATGACTCAAGAGCGTGATATATTCCCATCATCTGCTTGAGTTTGATGTAACATACACATATCGCATTATAGGTAACCAACGCCGCGAAGATTCAACATGAACTATGCTTCCACCGGTAATCAATGCCACTATCGAACCAAAGCTGGGGTGTAAAGGGTCCTTGAAAACTCCTTGTGTACACCAATTCCTTCGGTTGGTATCCTGAGGCTATTCCCATTGCAATATCTTCGGCAACTGGTAGTTCTCTTATGAATGGTGGCAAAGGCCTGTTATCTTTGAACAAGCCAAATTTCCGCGCAAAGTTTGCGTTGGGGATTTCACAGTCTCTGACACAGATGTCCAGCCGAGGCTCGAGCATGCCATGGACCACGAAGGTTGAGTGCTCGTCGTGTTCCAATGCAGCTCTAGGTGAATTGTCCGTTGCATTATTCTTTTCGGCCAAATGGAATCTGTGTATTATTTCAGTTATCATCTCATACCTCATGAGCCTTGTGCTTAGGGAACGGTGATGACCATGCTTGGCTCGCTCGCTTTGTCTAGATAGTCTTTCTGGAATTTCCCTCCGCGATAGCTCTGCTAGATCGGCGGACTTTTCGCCTACAAGTCTGCCTCTGTGTCCCATGTTCTGGCTCCATTGCATTTCGTGAAATTCTCTGGCTTTGAGTTGTCGAAACGCCCGCGTGCCTCCGCTGCGTGACGAGACGTACATAGTATGTTCTATCATCCAAGTCTTCCGTGTCCCAATTCCACTTGGATACAACGATGATCTCATTGTTACAGGCGAATAATCAGAAAGGCGTGTGCTGTATCTTTGCGGATGAGTATGTCTCCACTGAACGAGTGCAGCAGTCGGTGTGATGCTGGATGTGACGGTGGTCAGGTGCGGAATATGAGGGAGCTCTAGGTCTGACTATAGTTTGTGTCAGCCAGCTCAACGATATTTAATGCAATGTTTCTCACATGTCTGTTTAGGTGATCGTGTCTCCAACGCTGAAATGCTGCGCCAGGATCATCTGAATAGTGGCAATCGACTTCGATCAGCTCGTAAAGCACACCTCCTGCAAGTCCAAGCAGTTCATCACCGAGGTGGTCTCGTAGCACCAGAAAAACCTACACCTTGTCAGACAGCAGTCCTCCTCGGCATGCAAGTCACCTAACAAGTCGAATACCGTCACGGTACTGGTAGTTGCGAGGGACGTGAGCGCAGTATCGAACGAGAACGTTACGGCATTCTAACAATTTCTTAGCTAGTGGCCGCAGGGTCTGTCTTTTCGTGTACTGACTGTCTTCGTCAAAACCCTTGGTGTGGTCGACAGACTCGTCTCTGGCGAGATGCGTAGAATGTAACGACGTATCATCCATTCCTGTACTACAGGACTCCGAGTGGTTGGTTTTCTGAATGTATGGGGCAAGAGCTGGAAGCGCCTGGCACCGCGCTATATAGACCAGCTCGAGACCATATGGCTTGTAAAAGATGGAGTTCTAAATAATGTGTCGGGTAAGGACGCTCCATCGAGATGGTGATGATGGATTCAAGTTGCTACCTACCTAGGTACGTTAGCATCTACGAGAAGAAGAATCCTTTTAAATCTAGCAAGAAGAAACGACAATAGTAGGTAGGTACAAGCGACACCTGAGAACAGGAAGGTTCCTTCCATTCTGGTATCTGCGCTCACGATGGAGCGACTTCCGTTTTCGTTTTGTCTCAGCTCACCATTACACTGAAGGTCCGGGCCTATCTATCACCTTTCGTATAACCGCTCCGGGGTATCACCCATGAGCGCGTAGGAAAAGAAAAATATAACTAATTCATGCTCGGCTAGAACAGTAGCTTGGCTGGTTTGCCATTGCATCTCAAGCCTACATCCTTATTGTCTGCCTCGCCATAGGGTAAGTATCACCATTTTGGGGGCAGTTCTGTTTTTGCTGGACAGGATCTCACGAAGCATCGTATAAGCCTTGGCCATCCAATCACTGAAGCCAGGTCTTTGATTGTCAGACTTGTCATGTTAGGGATCTTGGGAAAATGAGATCTTCGGTTTGCTGCCCGGCATTCGTGAGGCCCACAATGGTTCCCCCCGTGGATGGCAGGTTAATCATGCAGTTAAGATTTGTTAAGATCTCCTGATAGAACAGTAGGCGACACTATCTAAAACCATCTTACTGCATCACCCTTGCAGCCGAGACAGAAGCCGGACCCGGTCACGGCTTCCCGAAATCAACTCCCGATTTCCCAAAAAGGCAGTCAGTCTAGACTTCCTGCCTCCTCTTTGCCCCAGAACCCCACATTCAAGACATCTGAACCCCCATGACGACAAGCAATTATCTGTGACTTGGCTCACCAAAAATTTACGGGGCACATCTTTGGGGACCCAGACCCAGACCCAGACCATTCACATTCAGCCTCTCCGATACCACGCCAAAGAAAGAGCCAAGACGCTCTCCACAACCCGTACCGAATCTGATGCCGTTAATTTTCCTCGGGTTCTAACTCTCTCAATCTGAGCCGCACGCTGACCGAGTCCTTACTCCCCCGGCCGAGCCCCCCGGCATCTCTGGTCATCATGTCGTCTTCGCATATAAGACGCGACCCCCCATCGACATGACTTGACCTGACTTGACTTCTCCAGATTGACTACACTTGGTTGTCCACACTAACAGATACCCAAATCGTCTCTTTTACTGTCACACACCATGTCTCAATCACAAACTGATCGCTCACCTTACTATGACATTGGTAAGTTTTTATATATTCATGGGAATTGTACGGATGTCTGACATGGGCTCTTATAGTCATTGTCGGCGCTGGACCAGTTGGTCTAATGCTGTCAACCTGCCTTGCGCGTTGGGGATACAAAATCAAGCACATTGATAACAGAGCTGAGCCAACACCGACTGGTCGAGCTGATGGAATCCAGCCGCGTTCTCTGGATCTTCTTCGCAACATGGGCCTCAAGTCTGCTATAATGGCACATAAACCAGCTCGAGTTTACGAAGTTGCCTTCTGGGATCCTGCTTCATCAGGCAATGGTATTGCCCGGACTGGAACATGGGCCAGCTGCCCCGACTTTATCGATGCCCGTTATCCATTCACAACCCTGCTGCACCAGGGCTTGATTGAACGTGTTTTCATCTCGGATCTGGAGAAGAACGGCGCGCAGGTCCAACGTCCATGGTCCATCAAGAGCTTTACTTCTGATGAGAAGTCCAACCCTGACTACCCCGTTACTGTCGAGCTGGAGCACGTCGACGGCACAGCCCAAGAGACTCTGCACGCCAAGTACCTATTTGGTGGTGAGGGTGCAAGATCGTTTATCCGCAACCAGCTTGGTATCGCTGTTCATCATAAGGACCCTATTGCACACGTTTGGGGCGTCATGGACGGTGTAGTGAGAACTGACTTTCCTGATATCAAGGTGAGTTCTTCGTCCTAGTAATGCCTTGGTTCTGTTTACTGACTACAGGTAGATGAAATGCACCATTCACAGTGAACATGGTTCTATCATGGTTATTCCACGTGAGAGCAACATGGTCCGTCTCTACATTCAGATTGCATCCTCGACAGACCCAGACTGGAATCCTAGACGTACAGCCACCGAGGAGCAAGTGCAGGAATCGGCCAAAAAGATCCTGCAGCCATACTCTATTGAGTGGGAGCGCGTCGAATGGTACTCCGTCTACCCTATCGGACAAGGCATTTCTGAGAAATACACATTGGACCAGCGAGTTTTCCTTGGCGGTGATGCTTGTCACACCCACAGTGTAAGTCATTCTAAACGGATAGAAACATCATGTGCTGACAAAATCGCAGCCCAAAGCAGGACAGGGAATGAACACAGCGTTCCTTGATGCCCAGAACCTTGCCTGGAAGATACATGCCGTCGAATCCGGCTTTGCTAACAGGGAGATTCTAAAGACTTACGAGACAGAGAGAAAACACGTTGCTGAATCTCTTCTTGACTTTGACAACCGATATGCCAAGCTGTTCTCGCAACGACCCCCCGCAGCTGCTGAGGTACAGGCTGCGTCGGCGGATCATGGCAACAACGCGAGTCAAGAGAACGAATTCATCAACACTTTTAAGGAGTCTTGCGAATTCACCAGTGGATACGGTGTTTACTACAAGCCAAACGTTTTCAACTGGTCTCCCGACCACGCCGCACAGTCGCCTCTTATTCACCCTCAAGGAACGAAGTTACGGACGGGCCGCATTTTCATCAACTCAAACGTAACACGAGTCGTGGATGCCAATGTCGTCCATCTTGAGCAAGAAGTACCATTGAACGGCGCTTTCCGACTATTCGCCTTCGCGGGCGCTCCATCAAAAACTCGCCAGGCCCTCAAGGATTTTGCCAACCATCTGGGCAGCCAACGATCCTTCTACGCCACGTACCAGCGATCTGATCTGGACAAGGTCTCGTACCATGAAAAGCACCTCCCTCATAGCCGTTTCTTCACCCTGTCTACAATTTTTGCTGCTAGACGACCCGATATCGAGATATCTCGCGACGTGCCAGGTGTCCTCGCTCGATACAGGGACCACGTGTACGCCGATGATCGTTCCGACGCTCGGTTTGCGCAGGCGAAGGCTGTGGCTCATGCCAAGATGGGCTTGGATGAGGATCTCGGTGGAGTAGTTGTAGTTCGACCAGACGGATATGTTGGTATTGTCGTCAGTCTTGTTGAAGGCAGTGGCACAGTGGATGCGCTGAATGAGTATTTCTCAAGTTTCTGTACGAAGAAGCTGGGAGCTACCATGGCACAACTATAAGCCGATGATGGATTTCGGAGCAGGTTGTTATGAAATAAAGGGAAGATGTTGGTTTGATGTAAATGAACTCTTTAGCGAACATGAACACAAAAGCATTAGACAATATTGGGACTGTTACGTCGTGATATTGGATGCCTGATAGTCATTCACTGTAAGAGAATAATTATCCTCCAAATTGAAGGCAGTAAGATAAAGCAGCGCCAGTGCTTGTCTTAAGTTAGGTAGCATAAATAAGATGACCAAATGATTTCATCCCTGACGGCTAGCTTTTCTAACACCATGACTGTAAGCGAATTCAATGGCCTTACTTACCTAGATATGCAAATATGTATTTTGGATGTTCCTGCCTATCCGACTGTACCAGAAGATTAGTGATATATCAATGCAGTCGAGCTATATACTTATAATACCGTAGTGAATTGGTTAGATATCTATACCGTTGTACGCAGGCTACCCAGTAACGCTATCGTGGGGGAACATAGCTTCAAGGCACAGATGTGGACTGGAACAGCTGTTTGAGCAAACAGATTGATCGCTTTGTGCATTCGTCCGGTTTGGCTTTAGACTTCATCATGGTTGAGGAATTCCAGCCACGTCGAAAAGGAAGTTCTACTCCGTTAGAGTAAGCTGTCTAACTCGGCAGGCTTGTTACATTCTTGTCACCAGTGGCGTTCGATCAGCCTCGATATGAAATTCCTCCCCTACAGTTGGCGCATCAGGCGATCCACAAATCAAACAGAAACAGTGATCGTTAGGACAATGGTAAATGTTTATGTAAAATAGTTTTTGTTAGGCATTACGTCTAGGTTCCCTCCCATGCATGGTGGAAGGGGGGTATCATGGCTAACTAGACACATGAGTCCATCTCTTTCTTTTCTTTGACCCGTTCATATTAAACCATAAAAAAAGGGCAAGCCGTTATCGTCATCATCAGACCGGCCGTCAGGGGCATCTTTTAGCGCCCTCCCAGTCCTTTATCGCCTCGTTAAATGCAATCTCAACATCCAGGAATACTTGGATGAGCGGCCGGATGCGTACATCAGAGCCAGACAATCTCGCAAATGAATAGCAAACCCTCCCACAACCCCGATGATGTAGTTTAAACAAGAAATCAAATCATGTCGCCATAAACGCCTTGCCTGCCTCGTATGACCATTTTCATCAATGATGGTCTGTGATAAATCCATGTATGCAAGTCATCAAGCTCAACTGAAAAACAAAATTCAAAGAAGGAGGAAAGCGGAGGGGGGAATCCCGCCTCGCCTCTGTCATCCTAAATAGTGGTTTCCATCTTAACCATGGAGGAAGAGGAACCAACTCGGAAGACGCGTTGTAGCAAACTATGCTTGCTACCGTTTGCTCGCCTGTAACTGAGGGCAAAGTCGCAACCCTCAGTCGAGCTCATCGAAGTCCGACTTGGTGATCGGCGGCGATCGAGCTCTGCATCCCACCCGTACATATCGTCTACAGGGGACGCAAAACGAAACGCTTGGTGATCTGAAGTGGTTGAAGGGCAAACCATGTCCTCACTGCTAGAAGCAGGTGTAGGTAGGTAATTGGACACATCAGCCATTGGAACTGCGTTGACGTTTTCGTGGCCTCCAGAGCATACAGGTGATATTGATAGAAGTGGTGGATCAGTGCAGTGGGAAGATGATGAAGCATCGCTTGACTGAGCAGCATGGTTATTCGTCGGTGACTGCATACTAGTAACGAGCTCGGATGGCTTGTTCAATCGTCTTCTCATGCGTATATTCTTCTGTACGAGAGACGTCTTCACACCATTTCGAGTGGTGTCAAATTTTGCGGCCGTGCCATTCCCAAAACCGCCGCCTTGTCGGAGGTCAGGATTGTGGTACCAACCATCGTCAGCTGCATGCAAAGTGCCATGCAGAGGAGGACCAAGACAAACGCTGTCCGTCTCACGAGAGATATCATGAGCCCAGTCGGCTTCGTTGGACGATTCAGGTAATGACGCGACCTGTGACCCTCATAAGGAGTCATGGTGCATATGGAACCCTTCGGCAGGATGGGATGAGGTGGGGGCAGAGCGTGTTCTTGAGCTCTTGCGGTTGAAACCCAGCTTGGCGCCCATCTTCTTCCAGCCCTTGTTGTGAGCAGCCACAGCACGTTGGAGACCACCAGGAGAAGTAGTGAAAGCCCATTCCGAAGTGGGCGGCGTAGTTGGGGGAGTCATGGGTTCCATCCCCGGAGTTGAGTTACAATCGCTGTCGTCTGTCAAGGACTCGGGCTCGGCATGGTGCATCGAATTCATCGATCGGACAGGAGCACCCATACGATTGTTGCTGTTTGAGGACCGGCGAGATCCACGGCCTTGCTCCTCTGCGGGTGCATCAACGTGCATGGGGGCGACGGATTGGAGGAATGGGACGAGCAGAGAATCATTCATCAGTTCGTAGAGAATTCGACCAGCCTCGTCCAATTGTGCGGGGTGGGGAGGAGAAGGGCCGCAAGGGAGACCGAGCAGCTGATCGCGAATGCGAGCCGGGAGGTTGACCTCTCGAGGAGCACAAGGGATGATGTAAACCTGCATAAGCTTTTCCCATAACACACAAACGCGGTCATTATCATCTTGGGTGCGGTTCGGGTTGTTGGTGATGATTTCGTTATAGAAGGCGGCGTATCGTTGCGAGTCGAGAGTAAATTCGAGGCTTTCCATACAGTGATTTTGAGAAAGATAGGCCATGAAGGCACTGAGAGTCCATGGTGGCGAGGCTACATCGAGTAGGATTTCGGTTAGGGAAGGCGGGCGAGAATTGGCTGTGCCATTCGGTGTGGAAGTTCCGGACATGAAGGCCTCGCTAACGGGTCTTGAGATGGGTGAATCGACGTCGAAAATGTCCTCGAAAGCGGAGGATGGTTGAGGTGATGGCGGAGGTATGTTACATCCATGGCAATCGATAGACTGCCTCCGTGAGCGCGACACACCCATCATTCTAGGGTCAGGCGCTTCGAACGTCCTAGGCAAGTGATGGATAGTAAATAATCAAACAAGGAAACAGATCCTAGACTTGAAGCGTTTCGAAGGGAGGGGACAAGATCAGGTAATAAGAGCGAAACCAAGTGGAGTCGTGGTAAACCGAAGCGGATAGTGGAAATCTGACACAGAAACTAACGCAGATGTCCTTATAGTGGAGGCAGGAAGAGGCGTCGAGTCTAGATGTAAGGCTACCGCAGGAACGATGAGGCCATCAAGGTCAAAGTATACTGTGAGCCTGTCCAAAAGTATCAGAAGGAAACACTGGAAGAACGGCCGCAGTGTGGATTGAAGATATGCAGAGGCCGGTAGGTGGCTTGTTATGGGGCCAATCTGCACCACGAGAGGAGTCGAGCAGGCAAGATTGGGTTCAGGGATTGCCAAGATGGCAAGATTGAGGTCTGAGATCGTGCGGTACTGCAGACGCGGAACGAAAGTAAGAAATGTCACAACGGACAAGACGGGTAGGGTAACTGATGATCGGACGTGATAACAAAGAAGTCCGCCCCAAAGTTGGTCCAAGTGACGTTTTGAGGTCAATCAATCCCAAAGCGGAGATGGCGCAAAGAGGGTCGAGGCCGTCCGGTGGGAGCGTAGAGGTTGCTGGGTAGTTCCCAAGGGATTGGAATGCGAGGGTCGTGGGAGCCGCGAGCCGGCGAATGTCGTCGTGGACGGATTGCGGATGGTGGCTCTACCAGAGGGCTTGGCGAAGGCCGGGCAGAGAGGAACAGAAGTCTGAGACGGACGAAGACGACGAGAGTTCGACGGCGTGCAGCCGACCGCGAGTTTATCGACAAGATAGCAGATCGTCTAGAGCGAGAGGGTTGGTTTGATTTGGTTTGGGCGAGAGACAGGTCGAATCGCAGGAATGCGGACCTGGGGGGATCCAAAGTGTAATAAGAGGTCCAGAGCCCAGACCCCAGTTGCAGAGCAGGTAGGCTGTGGAGGTGGAAGGGCGAAAGAGCGTGGGTGCCGACGGGCGTATAGTACAGTATGAGCGGCGTTGGAGAGCAGCGCTAAATTTGCGTCGAGGCGGCAGATCTGCTAGTTGGTTGGCTACTGAGGTACAGGCTTGGGTCTGGCGGTACGTATTGGGTTTTGGGGGGATCTTTGTCAAGAAAGGAAAGGAGGGGGGAAGGAGTTTACAGTTGAAACAGGACAGGCCCTGGTATGCTAACGCAGTTGTTTATAGGAGGATTGTGTCCGGGATTTGATTTGGAGGAATGGGCGAGAGAAGAGAGAGAGCGCTTTTGGAAGTCTTTGAGATGAACAGAGTAGAGTAATGTGATGTATCGTACTTTTGAGCTGGTTGAAGGAGTGAATAATTGAATCGAGTGTGTATCGTCACTTTGTGATGTGCGAAAACAACACCAAAAAAAGGAAGGCGACCAGAAGCGGGTGATGGGCGAACGGGGCTGGGTCGAGCTTGATTTTAAAGAGAAACCTCGCTGATGAGATTTTGCTGTTTCCCCCCCTTGGCTTTCTCGTTTTTCGGTCACTTTTTTTTTTCTTGTCTTGTAACCTGGACTGCTAGTGTGCTGTAGAGGGGCCCGGACGGAGACACAAAACAACACAGGGTGGGGAGGTTGATGTGGAGATGAAGAGGACAAGAAAGAAAGAAGCCGGGATGGAAGGAAAAGTGGGTAAGCAGGGGGTGGGCTTAGTATTTACGACGTCAATAACATAACACTGCATCTGTTACAAGCGGAGGGAGCGAAACAAACCAAACCAAACCAAACCAAACCAAACCAAACGATCGGGAGACCTCCATACCACCTGTTGGACATGAACATCAGACAAGCCCTACCCTACCCTGCGCTGCCCGAAAGACTCATTGAGAATTAGAGCAAAGTAAATATGGAACCCAAAGGGATCAAGTTTGTGCTGTATCATTTTGCCTTGTCTCTGACAGGGGCAGCTATGGATGCTATGCTGTGTTGTACTGTATCGTGCAGTACAGTACATACAATACAGTCGGGTCCCTGCTGCTGTCTTAGCACTAAGTAAAACCTGACAGCTGACCGGGAACATGTTCAGCCAAAGAAAAGTCAAAACCAGCAAGGGGCGGGGCCGGGAGGCGACGACAGGCTCGAAAGCACCAGAGGTGGCGGCGTCAATAACGACAACGACGGGCTTACAGAGGGTCGGGCACTGGAAGTACAGTAATTAGGTACTGTTCTGGCCTAATCTAAGCGATGCCTTCAGGGAAACCAATAGCGTTCTGTAACCCTACCTAGACTCCTGCCTCCACCAAGATCAATCAGTCAATGGGATCTTCACTCGGATACCCCTGTGTAGCATCTTTGTCTACAGTATCCGTACCGCACCCAGACAAAATGCTTGGCTAACAAGGGGTCGGACACGGATGCTCACATATTCACGAGGGTAAGGTGTTTTCAGCCTGGCGTTGAGGCGAAGAAGCCTTTTGGAAGCTCTCCCTTCTTTCATTGTAAACAGGGGTTCAGAGTGCCCTTTTGATTGGCGGTGTCGTGTATCCGTATATCAAGGTGTTTTGTTTTGTTTTCCGTTGATAATGATGGCCTTTTGTCTGCACGTTTCTCGAATACCTAGTTCTGCATCGCCCTGCAATCCCTCCCTCCTTGATCCATTTGTTCATTCGTCGAGAGAAGGCTAAACTCTACCAGTACAAACCACTATGGACCGGTATCGAAAGTTTGTCCTCATCAACTTCCCAAAGCATCATTGTAGGTCCACTGCACATGACAAATGCCACCGTACGGTCAAATACCTACCTTACATAAAGAATCAGACCCCTTAAACAAACTGACACGTGGAGGGCGTGAAAAAGGAGCCACCCTGATTCAAGGTCATCACGGTTGAAAAGAAAAGAAAATTCATAAACCAAGGCACGAAAAAGAACCGACTCTGCTAACTCAGGCACGGACAACGCCGAAGGCTACCTGAGCTGAGATCAGAATTATGTAAGTTATCTAACCAAGTAGGGCGAGAAACGGAGCGGGATAGCTGAGTGTGGCAAATTTCCCACAAGCGTACAGTAGTCGGCAGACAGTGACGCAGTGGCACCGGTAATAGCAAGTTTGTGCAATCCAATAGCCGGAGCTTGGTATTGCAAACGGAACGGGCATAATATGTATGTGTTGTGTTGTATTAACTACAGTAGGTACCTACCAATAAGACGGTAATGTTAGCAGATTATTGGCTGGAGTTTCTTCGAATTCAAGGATAAAAACGTACACACTGTAGATAGTTTCCCACCGTGCAATATCAACCTGATATGCCATTGCCAGTTAAATTTTATCGACAACATTGCACAGTAAACGAACCACGCTAGAAGATTACAGCTGTGACCACAAGTGGAGGAGGCTCTGGTCTCAAGCCATGTTTCGGTTGGGGTCTTTGCTAGGTTCTGCTTCTTAAGCGCTGTATTCTGACCCATCCTCCTATTTTGAATACCTACACTCACTGCCTTTATCATCTCGATCTCTCATCCCGAATGCACCGTTGAGGTGCACGGTTAGTCTAAGGTATGGATTTACATGATACAGCAGGTACTGTAGTGTAGTCAATGCAATGCAATGTAGTGATCGAATTGTGCCGCGGGGGGTATCAATATGACGAACCAATTGTGGCTGGCTTCCCCGCACGGCTCTCACTCCAATTGCCCTTTGAAGTTGTGTGTGGGAAAGGACCCTTACATCATGGATCATGGCAGCTCTCTTAGATCCAGATTACAGTCGGGTACTTATAAACTGCTGTAGTAGAAAGGCGTATCCAAAAACAAGAGACCTACCTCTGCCAGACAGGCTACCATAGGTAAGAATGAGGTTAAGTACAATACAGGCTCAATTTCACAGCGGAAACTTTTCCGCAACTTAGAGGAGGATCCGTGATCTTCACGCGATAACGGGAGATTTTCACCCCCAAGATTAACATCGGGATGATCTTTGTAACTTGTCTAGAGCCGGATTCTCGCAGCAGGAGGGCAACTTGACCAGCCGGATCGTCACCGACAGTCAACGCTGCATATCCTCAATTACTAATTCCAAATCCCAAGTTCAGTGATGTTGCAATATTTAACGGTTCGAGTATTTCCAAATGGATCATACTTCTCAAAGCAAGTGCAAATGATTGACATATACCTGCTAACCTAGATAACCGTCAAGCCTCGTCCAAATGTGGATGGACTGTTATTAGAATGTCTCCTGCCTACGCCTACTTCCATAGGTGAAGATGGGTCTTTTTCGTCGTCTCAATTACCAACCTCTTGGCGCCGACTCGTAGCATTGTTGCTACCCTCGGCTCTTCTCGTCCCAACCATCAAATGCCGTCTTTGAATCCCACGATCGTTGTAGCACACCTAACTGGGTCCACGAAACCCCTGCAAAAAGGAGACAGACGGCATGGCTTACAAGGCCCTATGACTGGGCACTCGATCCTCAAATGCAGCTTGGCTTTGCCGCTAAAGAGCGATAGCGCGGTCGATCGCGATGGGCGTCTACAATGATGCTGATTGGCTTCGACTGTACAGTGCTGCACTGTACGTAGGGCGCAGGCCTCCCTCCTCTCAGGCTCAAGCGCCAAGGAACAGTCGATCTTCAGACACAAGGGTCAAGGGACCACTTCGGTTGTCCTGCGGCAGTTACCGACAGCATCATCGCCTAATATACTGTGCTCTCTATTTGGAAACTGTAGGTAGATCATGCTGAATGATTACCTAGTAGTCGGATAGTTTAACGGGATGACGGAGCTGGAAAAGTTGTTGGTTCCTGAAGGAAAACGGCTCAAAGGTTAATCCTCACTCCCATCGCATTTGTGCCGGGGATAAGAAAGCCAGAATTTGAGTAAGGGCCTCAGCCAGACGACACGCCAATCCTTTTCTCCACAGGTCCATAAAGTTAATTATTGTCCCGTTTGCAGCGTTGCCGTACCTTGGAAGAAGACAGGAACGCCGCGATTAGTTGTGTAGCGAGCGTGGCTTTGAACATATGTGGCACTGAATATTCATTGAATATCGACATCAAAACGCCATTCTTGCTTACTTCTTCTGAGACTGAGAGTATTCTATCGATCCCTCTCTGCAGCCTGACTTCAGGAGGTCCAAATATATCGGCCATCGAGCCCGCAGCATTTGGAGCGTCCAATGTTGTATAGAGAAATATCACAAGCTAATAGTATGTACGTCTGATTGTAATGGTGCCAGGTTGAATAGAACATGTGCCCGCTATGTTGGTCGTTTTTAGATTATCTGACAACGGCGTAGAAACACATCATAAGCAGTCCATCATCACATATGACCAAACCTGGCTCCAGATTCGATTTTGTAATAATGTTCAAATCAAAATTGAGCCCGATTTGACATGTACCATCTGGTAAATTCTGGAACCGTACGCAGATTGCTGATTAGTCACACAAGCTGATGCAAGAAAGGATCAGCCATCGTGAACAATCATGATGATACTGATCAACATCCACATACCGGTATCTGTGATTACACAATGTGTCTTTTTCGTCACTATTGGTATTTGATATGGGATATCTCCAAGGGGAGTCAAATAATGGAGACACACGCACATCTTAAGGAATGCTGATGCCGTCATTATCGCCCTGCAAGAAACGGTCTTTGGCCACCCCCGTAGGACTGATCAAAGTACAGGGCTGAAGCCAAGTTTGCAAACGGAGACTCAGGGCAGGGCTCGCTGGGGATCAACCAACATGATGTTATTTGGTTTCCGTTTGTGTGCACGATCCCCAACTGACTCATCTCAACCCAGTCATCATAAAGGTGTGACTCCCTTCTGGAAACCAACATCTAACCTAAGCTAACACCTGCTGCGTTAGGATCCTATCTGGAAGACCTAACAAAGGACTCCTCTTTCTATAGTAGCCTGAGGTGCACACGCTCATATATCGACTGTAATTGACATCGGTTGGCAGAAGTTAGGTACCTACCACAGCTACCCGCAACGACCTGCAGCTGTATGTAAGGTAGAGGCAATGCAGCCAAGCAAGTAGCCGCCGTTTAGACCAGGCATTTGAATCTCAACGGTTGTGATGCTGGAAAGTAAACCGACAGGTGCACGGCGATTGTATCCGACATCCATGCTCGCGAGGATCGGGATTTGCTGTGCAGCCCTAGATACGTAGGTAGGTACCAATCTGGGCAATAGTCCAGTCAGAGTTTGTTCTGTATCCCTAATGCAAGGACCTGTATTCCCAGCATTAATCCTCTGTCTTAGACGAATTATCGATTCCTGGTTGAAGGGCGACTAGGCTATCAACGTCACATAATGGGGCACAAGCCACGTCAACAATAACAAACAGGACAGCCCATGCTTCTGAGAGTTGAGTCAATGCTTCTCTTGGCCGTGCTGAGGACTGCTCGTGGCTTATTCTGGAAGTCTGGCGGGAAACTAACGGAAGACATAACAGAGCATCGTGATGGAATCTTTCTAGAAACAAACTACAATACTGCTGCTAACGTTGGAGATTGTTCTGGAAGCCTTCCAAATCGAGTAGCTGAACGGCCCAGTCCACACCACCCTTGCTTAGCTCATACTGTAGAGGTGAAGTGACACCACACTCAACACCAACCGGCCTCGCCGTGTCTCCATCTCTCACCACCACCAATTGTAACTTGCTATACCCCCGACAAGGTAGGCAAAAACCCTCAAAAAGACACGATTTTTATTGTCGCTCCGGCAATTCTCTCGGTCTCCCTACCGTACCAATACCCGACCTGAGATCCAGCCTTTTCCGCGGCCTCCCTTCTTGGTGCGTTCTAGAAGAACTTTTTGCGAAGCCATGGGCTGGGCTGGGCTGACTTTCCTTTGTTCTTTAATTGGAACTATCGATTTTCGCTTTCTCGGGACACCCATACTGGCGGTGTCCAAATGTCTCCAGTTTTGCAGCAACACCATCCACGTCAGGAAGCTTCTGCCGCTGCAACGGCCCGGGTCTTGACACATACACCTGGCATATAGCAGGCAACATGAATCGGGTCGAGCCCCCAGACGGACGTCAGAAGAGGATACCGTCTAAATGGCGTCCTTTGGAACCCTCGTCTAGTCTTGTTAGCATGGCGTACTGCTGTTGACGACGCCGCCGAGTTTGCGACATTTAATCCAACACCATATTGTCGGCATCCTAGATTCCTATCACGATCGGCGTCCATCGGTGAAAGACCTCTACAATCGACGATGACCGTACGGACGAACTCCGTTTTCTCCTCATGGTCAGTAGCGACTCAAGTTAGGCACCTTACTGCGTAGTAAGGCTGTTATCGCAAACCGACACACACGTACAAGAGGCGGTAAGGTCGGCTAGGGTCACATTGCCTCGCACGCCCCATGAAGGCCTATCGTTTGGCTGCCTTGATATTTGTGACAACGTTTTCGCTTGTCTACGCGTACTGTTACGAACCGAAAATATGCGCAGGGTAAACAGGGTCGTCTATGCAGGGTCATTGCGGTTGCAATTGGAGGCATACTTTTGTTTACGGAGTTCGTCGGGTACCTCACACAATTCGTTGTGGCAAAATGCACTTCCCTATACCGAATAGTGGCCTGCGGCTGAAGACCCTTGATCACCACGAACGTCTAGTCTCGGCGAACTCGAACCGCGGCTATGGATACCTTTATATCAACGACCTGGCTAGGAAGGTAAGCTGACGGTTGGGTCTAACTCAACCCAACAAGCAAGCGTACAAAACGAATGCTGGTTCAACTTTGACATGGATGTGGAATATATTAGAGTTTACAGCCTGGCTAGGATGGGAGCTAACAGTTTCAGTTGCAAGCCTCGATCCCAGATCCTTTCTGTTGCAACATGTTTGCCAATGTACTAGTCGTGAGCAGCCGCCCTCCGCCTCAGCCCTTTGTGCAACTTTCTATCCGCTTGCTGGCGAAGCGAAGGAACCACCAACAAGTGCCAAGCCTTCCCTGAGCTTTCGCCTCCGTAAACAAAACCAATGGTGATTGAGCGGATAGCATCTCATCTGCAGAGAAGCCTTTCAGGTGGAACCAGACCTACCTTGCCAGCTGCGCTACTGCGGATAGTTGAACCGTGCTATGGACCTTTTAGATCTATCGACGTTATACTATTCCTTATCACACCCTTCACCTAACAAGCAAGTTCAATTTTCTTTGTCTTTAACGGAATCCACGTACCCAACAGTAGCGTCGCGCAAACCCAACCCCTTGGTACTGGTTCCTATTGTGTCCGCATCGCAAACAAGTGTGAGCTTGGAAGGCAAGCTGACCAACATGTCGTTTTGGTCCAAGAGTCCACCCCCACGCTTCGCGTCCATGAACTCCAACCTGAAGCTCATTGTTGTGGCCGTATACACAGCATGTGAACTGTTGTAGCACATCACTGACTCGGAAATGGCTATGGCGGCTGGAACTCCCGTGGCTTACGCCTCAATTTCGAGATCGCGCCTCAAGAATAAGGGATTTCTCGGGTAGAGTTTTCTGAAGGTCACTATCCTGGAGCAGAAAACCTCTTGTGCATATGGTGAGTCTAGTAGCATGCAAAGCAAACCGTGCAGTTTGCTACCGTGTGTTCTGGTTCGAAATTCAAGGGTAAGATATGGACAAAGTGTTACTACAACTATCGATCTGGAACTTGAGCGTATCACCTCAAGATGATAGTAGACAAATATCACGAATGAGTGCTAGATGACATAGTATCTTTTTCAATCATAGTAGCAAATTAGACTATCAGCAGTCGTTGGAAAAGTCCTTATACCGCAACTCACTGACTTGACGACAAGCTTGACTCGAACATCTACATCCCGCGGGCGATTTATCCTTCAAACTCGTAACAATGTGGTACATCTATGATATTCCATCTTCATAGAGTTTTTGAAGGAATTCGAGTAAGGTGGGTGAGATGGTGTTTGCCATAGGACAAACATGCAAAAGGTTGACACGATGTTCCCGTTCTCCGCATGCTGCTGGCTCTTTTTAAGGCTCGGGATGCCCACGCAAAGTGTATACGACTGAATAGAATTCATAAATACCTAACTAAGTAGCTTGATAAAACGAGTTTCTACCAGCATACGCATACCTAGTCAATAGAAGCGGGTGACGGAATTAGTGAGCCGGTTTATACGATTCTAGAGTGGATATTTGTCACTATATTTCTGTCAGCGGGGTTTCCTTTGTCAGCACACCATTAACCAATGATGTCTGTCATCACGGGTCCACCTCAGCTGTCAGTGCACGCGTACCTGCCGCTGCAGTTTTGAGCTGCCCAAAGCAATAATTTGACTTCATTCACATAACCGTAGCTGGACGAACGATCCCAACCGCAACCTTGGATTCGAAAAGGCTGACGCTTTCGCGATGGCCCCAATGCAAAAACTGACATAACAAATCACGAATGGGGCTTGGGCTGTTTGCGCGACTGTTGTTGGACCAGGTACCATTCACCGCACCTAAACCGAGTCATCACCTTTGATGTTGCCGAACTGCGCCGACCGTTCCAACTTTCTTTGTTTGCGCGTTAACAATCTTCAACGAAATAGCTGGCCAACACGGCTATGTGCGTCCATTAATTTCGTGTCTTCGCGCCGTCAAATTTATTGACCTACCTTCGCAGACATCAAACCGCATGCTTGGAATTGCATCGAGCGCCAAATCCGTTACCAGGATGATAACAAGCATTTACACCGCCGTCACTGGCCTTGGTGAGGCACTCGGCCGAATAAGTATGACTTTCGACTTGAACTTGGGGTTTGCATTAACGCTCGACCAGTACGTCCTCAATCCTACCAAGTCGCCGAGGTCCGTTCATATTTGAGCGGAATTCAAGTTAGCAACAAGCGCATCAAGACCAGACCCAACCACGATGACACCGTATCGAGGAATGCCGACGCCGCGGATAATAATGGATTGTGCTGGATTGACCGAGATGGCCTCATGGCGTTAATCGAAAGCTACAATAGCTTCTCAAAGTCCTTGGCAAAAGTTTGGGACTGCCTTGAGCGGGAGACTCGAGAAGAGGCGAACAAGGACCTGGCCCCCCTGATCAGCGAATTAATCGACAGTGATGACCGCAGCACATTGCACGATGGTCAGGCTCGCGACTTTACGGAAGTTTTCGGGTTGCGACTCAGGCGGATGTTCCAATTCCTGGACAGAATATATCAGATTCGCACAATTGTCAGAATTCGTGATAGCAATGAATTTGTCCCTCCAGTTCTCGAATATGGACTCTCTCACGACTTTGCTGGGAACTTGGAGTCAATTCAACGTTTTATATCGGATCCAACACTACCCACGGTTTGTAAGAGCATCTTGCAAAAGCATGGAGAGCACGACTGCGAGGTTCCGTGGGCGTTTCTGGACCGGATTGCGCTCGACATTACGGCCATCCTGCGCAGCCTGCCAGCACCAAGCTATGTTGACTCGCAAGAGTATCGCGACAGACTACAGAATATGTTCTCCTCGGTACGGCCCACCAGCCTAAACACAAAACTTTCACTCCCGGGATCATTCCCCGAGTTCGACGAGCCCAAGGAACTCATCGAACAACAGCCTGCTCAAAATAAAGCCACCCCACCTCTCATAAATGGGGCATCGAGAGACCTGGATCTATCATCATCATCATCATGGGTGGCCTCCTACCAGTCAGGCTGTTTCAAAACAAATCTTCCTGGTGCTGATCTAGCTCAGACGAGTACCAATCTGTCGACATTTGCAGATTACCGCCGAACATATGAAAAAGGCGATGCGCATCACGGCGTCAGAAACAAGTATATCACGGATTTCGAAGCTAAGGTTCCTCTTGACACAGATCAAGTAGGATCTGTCAGGTCTATTCTCAGGAGTCGCCGCAAGCATCTCTCCAGGGCTACCCCTAAGCGCCTAGGCACAACACGCCGACCTAAAGCTGTGCGCTTTACCGAAGATACCGTAAGCCCGAGGCCGCGAACCCATACGGGTCTTGATCTACCCAGAAGTATCAACTACAACAGACCCAAACAACATTCAGCCTCTACTACCCAGGACCAGCAGCCTCGCTGGACCCGCCAACTATTCAACATCCCAATAGTCCCAGTTCAAGAGCCACCCAGAGACAGCATATTCGCTTCGTCCAATCGAAAAAGCAGTTCTCATCGTCGGGATGAAGCAGGGGATGGATATGACCCCAGTATTCGCATCAAGGAACTGTTGGCTCTCCCTTCATTACAGCTTCCATTAAGCGACGATTCAAGAGTGGGAATAGAACTGCAAATCGAACAGGCTGCTCGGAAAGCTGCCGAAGAGGCTCGCCTGATTGCCGAGGCTGCAAAACGCGAGGCCGATGAGAAGGCCCGGCGAGAGCTCGAGGCGCGTCTCGCTCGGTCTGGTGGGCTGCGTATGCCCAACCAGGATTTTGTCACGCCTGTCTCGTCAGAATGGCACCAAAAGGCTATGTCCACACTCCGCGCAACCCCTGCAACCCCTCTTGCAAAGTCTGCTGAAGGTGTTGATTTGCGGCGGCACGACTTTGCCAAGGTAGTTTCGGCGAGTGAGTGGCTCAACGATGAGATCGTCAATGCATCCCTTTTGTGGCTTGATCGAGCCATCAACTCAGCTGCCGGCATTAAGGATGTCAAGCGGAACACGCGCAAATGCTTTACCCTGGGCTCCTTCTTTTTCAAGCGACTTCAAGATCAAGGGGTCCAGTCCACCCAACGAACCCTCCGACGTTATGGTGTCGAGAAGAGGAACTTCCTTGACATCGATACCATTCTGTTGCCAATCTGCGAGCACTCTCATTGGACTCTGCTCGTTATTCGCCCGTCAAAACGAACGATTGCACATATGGATTCGATCAATGCGGGTGGCAACTCGGCCTACACCAACCGCGCTATGGCGTGGATCAAAGATGTTCTGGAGGACAAGTTTGTCCAGGATGAATGGAAAGTTATACTCCACGATGCCCCTTTGCAAAACAACGGACACGATTGTGGTGTGCATACCATCACCAATGCAATGTGCATCTCTCTGGGCCTCAGTCCTATTGACTCGTACACCGCAAGCGATATGCCGACACAGCGAATTCGCATCGCCTGCATACTCCTTAATGGCGGCTTTACCGGAGATTTCGATCTACGGGTATATTAATCGCATGAGAACAAGACGTTGCTCGTTGAGTTGCAGGCAAGGCATGAATTTTTGTACAAGGCGTTTAAGGCAGAGTTGGCATAGCTCTCTGGAGGAAGGGTTAAAAGGTGTTATCGGGCAAGCAAGGAGATACCATACGAAAACAGTTACGTGCATTCCAAGGAGTTACGTGTTCGAATTTTGGATTTCAGATGATTTACACTCCAACATTGAGGTGCAAAAAAGAAAATAGTTCAAGCTGATCTAGCATAGACCAACTAAAGTGTCTTCATCTCTAGAGCTAAGTTGTCTGCAATAACGAGAATGTTATAGCTCGCCTTGATCTGAGAAATAAGTATGGCTAAACGACCTGTCTAAGGGAAATACCTTTCCATTTTGTCTGATCTTTCACCTGACAACAACTGGGATAACCGGATGGGCTACAATACTGTTTCTAGTTAGTAGCACGAACTTCAAGTTTATTGAATTTGTTCTTGACATTCATAACAGTATTGTTCATCGATAGGCAGAGTTGTTGCAGTGGTGATATCTTACCAAGAGACATAAGTCGAATGTAAGAATATTATGGGACGTCTGAAGATTCATATGATACAGACAAAGCCCTTTAGACAGGCACAATGTGAACGTATGTATAAGGCCTATTATGTATACTGTACGGAAGCACCCTTGGTATTTATTCTTTTCATGTCCAACCACCCCATTCCTTGGGAAACCAAACCAAACCAAACCAAACCAAACGCCATGCATGGATGTCATTAACGACTCTCCACAGTCTTTGCAAACAAAACATCAACAAAACATGTCACATAACTGTGGCCCCCTCTGCCCGCCTCAATATCATTGGACAACTGCGTGCCGACATCGTTGGTGCCAAAATGGCCCATGGACTGTAACTCGATACCTACAGGTGGCAGGTGCTTGGAGATGGTCTTCTCAATCGTGAGCGTATCAGCGTCAGAACTGTTACTGGGCTTCCTCGAAGCGGTTTCGTTCCCCTCTTGCACATCGACAGTGATCTCTTGAAACACCATGATGCCACCGTACGACGGCGCGGTCTGCAGAGGCTCTTGTCGAGGCATGTAGGGTCCTGGTGCCTCTGTCGAATCAATCGACTGCGTGCGGATATTGTTCCCTGGGGAGCAAAGATTGATGGTCGAGCTGGATCGTGTCGAGTCAACCAAAGAAGTTGGCCTTCCAGAAATATGTGAAATGGATTTGCTTCTGTTCCGACTATTTCGAGCTGCATCTAACCGTCCGAATGTCCAACGACTAGAGGCGGAAGGAGTCACGCTGCCTCGAGATCCTTGGTGGCGATCTGCAGATTTTGCAATATGACCAAACTCTTGATGTAGCCCTCGTGTGAACTCTTGGTAGGATTGTGTTGATACCTGGCGCATCCTGAAGAAGCTCAAGGGTACAAACTCGCAGTTAGGACTCGACAAGACAGAGTGAATCGGAATGACAAGCCGCAATGCGATCATGGTTGCCTCTGAACGCTTCTCTTCTCCACGACAGGGGATCCGAAACGTTGTCGATGTGAGCAGTGCATCTTCGAGCAAAGGTTCCTGAGTCCATTCACGCAGGGCCTTTATGGTATCTGCGATTTGTCCAGCGAACTCAGCCTCTCGGTCACTTCGCTGGGAATCCTCTTTGCATTTCTCTATGATCTTGGACACGGGCATGTTCTCAAATCTTCTGAGATAGTGCATGTGCCAATCTTCCAGGTTCTTGAAGGGAAAGGGCATAGTTGGTAGCAAATGGCGTGCGCCCTTTCTCACCAGAACTTCGAAGCTGGAACTGACGCGAGCGCGAACGGCAAAGAAGCCAAGATGAACGCCTTGGCGAATGTGATTGTGTTCACTCGTGTAACTCGCCATCTCTCTAAGCTTGTTTTCGAATTCGGGGGTTTGGATCTGCATATTAGATTTGATGAGATCGCTGACCTGACGCAACTCGGCGAAACGATAGCCAGCTGAGATCAACCGTTCGGTATCACGATCAGACTCGCAACGACGTACGAGGAACATCAACGAACCTCGACCATAACTGTCGTCTGCTGTATGGAGGCCTTTCTCGGTCATGTCCAGGCTGTTGTGCGCCTCTTCGCTGGCATCATTACCTTCCAAACCAGTCCCAACCACGGTCACAGATGGTTTTCGTCCCTGAGTAGTCCGAGGTCTTCGACCACCGGCACCTGTTGGCAAGATTTGATCCCACAACACTCCGATCGATGTGAGATCTTGGCGAAACCGATCGGCGAGGGCAGCGGCAGCGAGACAGAAAAGCTCTCTGAAGATCATGTCGTAACTGTCAATGGTTTCGCCATGATCACTCACAAGCTGGATTCCTCGACGACCATCCTTGTGGGTGCGCGAGTGCGGCAACTGTGACAGATGCTGTCTCATGCCTCCTATAAGACTCCAGATCATGTTCCAGTTCCTTGACGCTTGATACATCCAATGGAATAGAGAGTGGCCAGTGTTGAATCCTTCCTTTGCGTCCTATTTTGCTTAGCACAAACACTACAGCTTGGCTTGAGAAGCCTTACCTTTTCCAAAAAGGAGTCGGTCACCACCGTGTTTGGAATGTATCCATCAGGATCTACCAGAATCCTCCCGCCCTTATCGAAGATTGCTGCTGCGAGTGTGATTTGCTGGGCACGTAGGGCCAATCTTCTCATATTCCTTGCTCGGAGAATCGCTGAGATGGCAATGACAAAGCATGCACCTAGGGACTGATCTCCATTAGCAGGGACCTCTAAGCTCATCGTATTGTATACATACCAAGCAGATAACGACGACGACTGTACCTGTTCTGGAAGGTTCATTGCCATTAGGCTTGATACTCTTCAGTCGGTAACGAGTTCCAACAGAAGCACACCAATGCATTCCTGAAACGGCCCCGGCCAGCACAACAGCTGAGATGCCTCGCTTCCACCATGCGTTCGCCCACATGGCTCGGAAGACAAAGAACATGGCCAAGGCAACGTTACTTGCCACTATGGCAATGATGGCTGATCCTATAACGTACGCCGGCTGATACACGCACGTGTAGTTGTTGATAGAGGCATTGCCGAGATAGTGCATTCCACACACAGCAGTTCCACAAAGGACACCGCCAGCTACGAGTCTCCACCACGAGACGACGTTGTTGGTGCCGACAGCCATGAAAGCAGCGAGAAGAACCAGGATTGGGACGAAGAAGGATATCGCGGTGAAGCCGCTAGAGTAGGCAACTTGCAGTTCAGGCTGTCCATCAGCGAGATCGATGGCTCTGTTACCGATAAAGTGCTATGAAAACAGAATACTGATCAGTACATGTCGAGAGCCGAACGAGACATGCAGTCCAACAAGACTCACCATACACCAGATGGACACTCCACCCATGGTAATTGCTGAACCCATTAGCAAAAGACTGTTTCGATTATGTCAGCTTTGCTACGGTAGACATCTGGCTGGACAGTTGAAGACATACTGGTTGAAGAGACCTCTGAGACCGGTTCTACGGTTGATGAGCTCGAGAGTCGAGCCAGCACCGACCAGGCTGACCACGTAGCTCAGGGCGACGAAGCCTGCATTGTAGCTTTGCGGCACGATGTGGCCTTGATACTGTTGCAGCAATGCTTGGGTCGACATGTCGGGTCGGTGAATGTACCGAGACGCAACCAAGAGTTACTTCCGCTGTAGATGGTGATAGCAAGGGTCTTGGAGGAGATGTCAAAGACATAGACTATGGGACATCAGAGGTCTTTAACTGGCAACCACCAAGCTACATTGTGTGGTAGGGACGGACCCGAAAAGGACATCTGCGGGCGATTTGTGCCTACTACAGACACGACCTAACGTGAGGTCAACACCCACTCAGCCCAGAGCTGGACTGAACTGTACTCTACTGGGCTGTACTCAGCGCAAGGGAGAAGCAAGTGCAGTATGGTACACCACTAGACTAGCAGACGGGACAGAGACATTCAAGAGCCAAGCAAGGATATGCTTGGCGCTGAATCCAAGGGCTATTCTAACCGCTAAGTGCCATCTACATCAAAAGCCCCGAGTCTTGAACCAATGGAGGATGGCGGCCGGGCAGTTGTGGCTTCAGAGCCTCTCTGGACCATTAGAGTGACGGCGCTAACAAAGCCATGGCTCTAGCCTCTCGAATTGGTACAACGGGCATGGGGATTAGTGTCGTGCCGGAGGGCTGTCAAGTTCTGTACTTATCTCGCCAAAGTCTTTAGCGTGATCGACTTGGCTCCCTCGGGGATGACGAGAGGTTGAACAAGAGATGAAAGTGTTTAAACTAAGGCATTGATTGTATCAGCAGATAAACCAGGCTGCTGGGACCAGGGCTCTCTCTGCCTTCCTGTAATGGTAAAGGAAGCCAACAGGTAGTGAGCTGAGATCGGGGTGGTCCAGGACCAGGACCAGGATCTGGATCAGAGCTGCAGGGAGGCGGGGAACACGGCATCTACGTACCGTACAGGAGCCAACTGTCTGTCTAGTCTACCTGATTGACCTTGAGACATGAGACTTGAGAGACAGTCTAGCGGATTGTTCGGGATTTGGAAAAGATGCAGACTTGGCTGCAGCTTGTCTTATACAAACTTTCAGCTAACATGAATCCCGATAGAAAAACGACATGTCACTAATTAAACCTAAAAGCCAGCAAACACAAGAAAGGGAAAAAGAAAACAAGAATTGATGCGATCTTGTCTGCAGTGTACAGTACATACGATACGATACGATATGATACAATACACAGCATCGAGTCTTTTCTTTTGCTTTGTTGTCTTTGTCTTACCATAATACCGCCTCGTCAATGGCCAAACTCTGAGATAATACGACGTGTCTGATACAGAGATGCTACCGTACATACTGCGGTGAGTGAATTTGTGTAGCCACTCACTTTAAACAACAGTCAAGATAGAGAAGAGACATGTTCGTGAAATTGCAACAACTCTTTGGTCAACAAACAAATGTATCCAATCTCCCATGTTTGGTTAATTCGCCGATCTACTCTACTCCGCTGTGCTCTACGGTTGCAACCCGGGGTGATCTGATCTGATCCGATCTGACCTGACCCTCTTTTATTACCAGAGATCAGGTTACAGAAGCAATTTAAGCCATGATCTACAAGCCCGTGGCTTGCGCAATGCCTGCAAGACCTGATACTGGACACAACACTAGCATAACACAGCTACTGTAGCCTTAGTAGCTAGTCTAGCCTATCCTAGATAATGGCCGATGAATGAATGATAACTGCCCGCCACAGCCTAGATACTCTACTGTACTGCATGTACTGTACATAATCCAACAAGGGCAAACTTGGGAAAACTTCTATTGGCAGACAACATTTGCAGAGTCTCCATGTCATGCTATCAACTCCTTCTGCTTACAACAGATCCTTACAGTCTCGGCATTGCCAGACATAGGCGTCTACCTATCTATACCTTGACTTTAGGGTTTCTTCGTTTGCTGCAGCATCGTCACAGCAACACAGCCCCGAGCCATGGTCTCGCTCCCCGATGGACACAAGACATGCATCTCCCTGAAGAAAAGAAGCATCCTCGGTACTCGGTACAGTATCTACGTAATATGTATCCAAAGTAGTGTACTGTACTGTAGTCTAACGTTAGTCTAGTGTCTACTCTAGGCCTGGATCCCAAGCTGGAATGCAGCTTGACAAGCAGTAGAAACGCCAAACTTGTCTCGAAAAGGGAAATCCCTTTGCCTCCCTTCTTGTTCTGCTCTCCCTTTTGGTTGACTACCAAGCGCCATTCCGTCACGCCTCAACCTTCAAGTTCGAAAGTACAAAGAAAGCATTGACAGCCATACCAAGGTTATGATCATAATCAATGACCTCAGCTCTGCCCTTGCTTTTCCTACAAGACTGGTTGCTATTACTGCAATTGACTATACCAAAGCCATTGCCACTATCTCAAATGTGATTGTGCATTGCATACTCGGTGCAATATAACACAATATGACCCGCTGTAACAGCATGTTTTACTTTTTCGCTATGCTGACGAAAGACAGCTTGTAAATCTGCCATGTGGTGACTCTGCAACGCTAAGTCTATACATACAGTACATATGTACATACACTCTCCAGCCTAGAACCTCGTGGTTTTCCGGATCGCTGCCTTGTACGCCATTTTTAAATCCACGTCCGCAACGATGGCGTTGACCGGCTCGAGTGAGGAGGAAGAACCGGTATCAATCCTGCCTGCTGGCCAATTTACTGCCCGTCGTGGCGTAGATCATGGCTTGTCCAAGATCCGTGGGATAAGCGCACGATCCAAGGGAACATTAGATGTGGATCTGGGAATTAATCACTTGCTTCAGCTCGTATAGATGGGTAATAACCGACGCTTCTGCAAGGGGCAGAGGAGACGAATGGACGGACAGACGGACGGACAGACGGACGGACAGGGAGCAACCCTCCATCCTATCTGAGAGACACGTCCGTGATATATGCAAGCACAAGCGTAACCATGATGTTTAGTGCGCTCTGACCTCGAAATTGGCCCAATATCAGTACGTAAGAGTTGGTGGGTGCGGTATATAAAGTAAAATTTTAATCGCGGCCCCGCCATTGTACTGTACAGTACCGTACCCATTGACTTTAGCCACAGAGCCGTCGTCCCATTGGATTCAAGTTAATCGCGAGCTTTGACTTCACCCGCAAAGTTCTCGGTAAATCTAGAGACAGCCTGGCGTCTGAGCAGAACACGGTACAATGGTGCAGTGTATGGTAGAGTAGGAAGGCCAGGGTCCTTTACTTCACTCCACAGATAGCGTTTGGTTGAGTGAAACGTAGCGCCATGAGCCATAAAATCGCAAAGTTTCTTCCCCTCCGTCTCGACCTTCCGTTTCCATTTGCTACTCTATCCCTTCAGAGTTGCTGGTGTAGCAGCTCATCTGCAAGCCTTTTGAGGTAGAATTGGCGTATTTCAGGAGGCAACCGGTCGAAGCTCTTGACAATCCGGCCGATGTCCTGTCGTCCTTTTTCGTATGCTGCCAGGTCTCGGTTTCCGTACACATCTCGACCTGTTGAGTAGCCACTTTCGAGATCCCTGAAAAAGACGTTAATGGCAACGCTGAGGTCTGTGATTGGGCTGGCAGTATGGAACCACATGGCAGGGATGAACAGGAGATCGCCTGGGTTCAGGCAGGCCTCGTGTGGGTTGGTTGATGCCAGTTGATGAGCATATAAGGCTGAAAAGACATCAAGACTTGAGCTTGAGGCACCCGGTGCAAATGCCAGATGGTTAACGTCTGTTGGCGGAAAGAGGATCATGCGCTTTGATCCTTGGACTTGAGTATAAACGTTGGCCATAACCTAGAATCACCAGTTGGTCAGCCAAACGGGACAGCTCAATAGTCTCCAACATTTGCTTACATCGTAGTGTAGCCACATGTTTGCTCGACCACTTATTCTCAGTACGGAACTGAACATCCGATCCTTGACCAAGCCGAGTTCTTCTGGTAACCGAAAGTCATCGGCCAGGGCCGGGAAGTCATCTGCAAGGTTTGCAGGGTTCTCTGTAGGCTTTTCCTCTGAGAGAGCGCGCAAGTACAACGCTTCTCCTTTGGCGACCTTGGTCATGAATGTCGGGAATGATTCAGTGACATAGCGGAAGTTTTTGGAGTTAAAATCCATTTTGCCTGTTGGAGTTTGACATTCATGAACAACAACCTGATGATCCAGATTAGTGAATGCCTCTGGGCTTGAAAACTCCAACCTGACCAACATTTTTAGACTCGCCCACACTTTGAACCAGATACTCTGCATTCCATTTCTCTACGCAGCCACCCAAGTCCAGACTTTCGATGATTACTGGCTCTCGATTCTGGACCAGCTTGTCGAAGTCCGACCTCGATTGCAATTTGATCCTTGGAATCGCAGTGATACTAGCACTGGATCGAGGCACTGGCTGGCCACTGTCTGACGATGTTTGTATAAGCTTGGGTGAATCCTGATATCTGACTGTTACCGGCTCATTGTGCATTCTTCGATTGGGTATAACCTCCGAGACAGCATTTGAAAAGTCGATTGTGTAAACGCCGGCATCCCAAAATGTCCCCATAGAAAAACATGTAGCTCCTCCGCCCACAAGGACTAGTTGAGCATTGTAAGAAACGGCTGCGGATCCCACCATGAAAGGCAATTGCCCAACCTTTTCTCCTAGATCTACGAGATATGCCTCTAGAGATTCGTTCTTCATCGCAAGGCAAGCCATGGATTGGCCTTGTGCAGAAGGATCCTGGCCGACACCACCGCACACAAGAGTCAACGATTCGATAGTAGCAGTCTGAGCGCCGAAGATTGACAGGACCCAAGATTTTTGGTCATAGTTTGGTACAGGTTCAAAGTGAATGTGCGGCTGTGTTCCGTCAGTATAGTCAAGCTTGGCGCGGATGCAAGTTACTTCTCGCTGTTTCGCCGGGGATGAGATCGAGATGAACATACCTCGTTAGTTGTAGTGTTGACTGTCCAGAAATACGCCTGGTTGCTTATTGTTCCATCACCACCTATACCACCTGCCAGCAAACCTTCAAAATGTCCAAGCTTGCCAACGAGTTTTGTTGAAGCAACAGAAAATGCCCCAAAGGTCGAGTTTGGTACCAGACCAAAGACCAGACATTTGAGCCATCCTTTGACAGGATGAAAGACAAAATAATCTGATGATATTTGAGATGGCCCAGTCTTACCACCCAATACCAGAACCAGCGACGATCCTGGCAATTGGACAGCCGAGTGTCTGAACAAAGGAACAGGCAGTTCAAACGTTTTTTCCCAGCTGTTCGAGTTTTTCTTTAAGATCCAACAATCGATTAGAGCCTTCGAAGGAGAGGCACGACCTCCAGCAAGAAGGAAGTCCCCTTGTCCTAGATCCGTGATCGTGTGGCAGATCCTTGCAGAAGGCCCATTGGACGACATCGCGAAAGGAGGGTTGCTTTCTTGAAGAGAATAAACATCGCAGGAATCAAGTCTTGCATTAGACCCCATGCCCAAAGCGTGGACCAGGTATTTGCCTCCCTCTGGATTGGAGGCTGCCAATGCTGCACCAAATCGTCGTTTGGGCGCACCCAGAGACTTGGTCGCGATCGTGTTTGCTTTGACATGCATGTCAGGAGAAGAGGCTCGCATATTTTGCCCAGCACCCTTCTCACTCTTTTGGTAAGACGTCGCATGTAAAACAATGTAATGTCTTGCAAAGAGGATGAATTCCTCCCACTCGTCGAAGGGCTCTACGTCATCCAGAGCAGCCCTCTCGGACGAGTTGAGGAAGACTTGACTGTTCCAAGCCTCCCACAGGTCCCAGACATCAACACTAGCCCATCCCCGCTTCTCGAATCGAATGCGCTGGCTTTCAATGGTTGGGTACTGATTTACAGATTTGAGGGACGTGTTGAGTTTGTCAAAGTGCTTCAGCATGGTGCTGGCAAAGGGGTGTTCTGGCCCATGAGGTAAAATTTGCTCCAAAAGACAGAATTCAGCTGAGGGCGGTTAGCTCTACAGATACTATGCATGCCAACATGGAAATCAAATTACCTTGCCCTATGGTACTTGCCCATTGAATAAGAGCATCTGCTGGTACTGTGTCCATATAAGTCACCGAGACTTCGGCAACGAATAACACTGAACATTCGGATAAGGGCAGAAACGACTCGAGACACCTGCGAAGACTTTCCAATTCCCTAAGATCGCAGCCCACCTGGCAGTATTTATCGCTGCGAAGAAGGAGGGGATCTGTATCCTTTTCGCTGATGTAAGGGTCATTGCCAAGCAATTCACGGAGTTGCTGCGTGCCTAGAACAATAGCTCTTTTCTTCCGCATGAGATCCGGGTAGTCAACGTCTATGAACAGTGTGTTCTCACAAGAATCGCCATATCGATGGTATGACTGCCAGGGGAGGACATCACTTCAGACTTGCGATGAGCGCTTGGAATCTACGGGCTGAAGTGGTAAATTACTCACCTTCCTGCTCCAAGATTGATGACGACCTTTCTTCGGCCGGGCTTCGGTGCAGTGATGAACTGGCGAACTATCACATCAATAGCCCTGAGCCTCAGCCAGTATCCACGGTTTATGAGAGGGGCTCTTCGTTGAAACTTGTTAACAAAGTATCGGAAGAAGTGCAGCTCATTGGGGTAGTAAAGTCGTTCGACACTCCTTTTTGACACAATGCTGCTGCTATTTGTCTGCAAGTGGTATTAGTTACCATTGGAAGTAAAAGTGAGTTTGACTTACTCCCATGATCAGGTCATCGAGAGCCTGTGTCTTGGCCATCCTCGAGGACGAAATCTTTTGTTTAGCCATGACAGGCGTTGTATGTTGTATACATGCACGTCAAGCAGATATCGCCAGAATACTTTCTCGGTTAGTGAGAATTTGCACGAGGTTTGAAGCCCGTTGCGTATGTCGAAAGAATTGTTAGTGAATTGTGCCCGTCTAAGCACTATTTGAGGTTTAGCGTGCAAGGTAGGGTCCATCATGAGTACCTTAGTACTACTGTACTTTCCCATCTCGTTAGGCACTACCAACCTTATCTTGATAAGATAAAGAGGTACTCACACGTAAACAGCGTGATGCCGACGTCACCCGATCTAGGTCATATGGTAGGTACTTAGGCACTAGGAAGGTAGGTAGACTCAGTAAGCTTGTGGAGAAAGAGCCTGCCTGATAGGTACCTGCCCGCCTTTAGAGATCTATCTTATCTCACCTGACAGTAATGCATTGGGATACCTAATGGCTTTTAATGAACACAGTCTCCAATCTGTGAGATCAAATAGAAATGGAAAGCAGACTTATGTCCTAATCGCGTCCTGGTAGTCCAGAAGATGTCACCTTACCATGGTAGCTTCAAGTAGGTGATGTATATATACCGCGGTTGATTTCCCCTCCTCCCCACCAAGAAGGTTCCGCTTGGGTACCTGGTAGACCGTAGACCAGACCTAGGTGCGTGACACAGGTTGTTGGAAAGGCTAACCTTGGGGTTCTTCTAAAAAGAAAAACAAAAATAGTTCAAGACCGAGTTCCAAAGAACCTTAAAGGTTTCATTATTTCTTCTGATGCAGTTGATTCTGTTGTCCAGTGAATCATTGTACCTACCTACCTCTTACCTACCTAGGTAGGTACCTGGATTCCAGCACTAGTCTGGTAGACCGACCCGGTGAACAAGGTACGACCAACCTTGAAGCTTCCAAAGGCGCGCTCCACGAAAGCTCTCCATCCATCCATTCACTCAATCAGTCACCCAACCTCTCCACCACCACCAAAGCTGCTTCACCAGGTCATGTTGAACGTTCAAGGTTAACACATGCTGCAAATCAGTACCCGTTCAGTCTACTGATAATCCAGCTCCGCCGCTTCCCTCCCGATAACATATTCGTGCCTGCAACATCGACCCCCAAGAGCACCTCTTCTGCGCCGAGCTCAAGCCTTTGATCGGCTAGGATATCATAATGGCTAACCCAGCGCTCAATTTCATCACATTTAATCAAGACCATAGCTGTCTTGCTGTCGGTATGGCCGCATCCTCGCTTCTTTGTGTCTTGTGCCGTGGGACTGACTGCGGTTCTCTTGATAGGCACTTCCAAAGGCTTTCGTATCTACCACACCGATCCCTTCTCTCGAATCTTCAGCAGCGATGATGGTAACATTGCTATCATCGAGATGTTATTCTCGACATCCCTCGTCGCTCTTATACTATCTCCTCGGCATCTCATCATTCAAAATACCAAGGTACCAAAGCTCAACCTTCGTAAAAATGGTAGCATTGCTTACACGCGCACCAGAGGGCATCCGTCATTTGCGAACTCACCTTCCCTTCGGCCGTACTAGCCGTCCGACTCAATCGAAAGCGCCTGGCAGTTGTACTTGAGGAGGAAATATATTTATACGACATTAGCAATATGAGCCTTCTCCATACGATTGCGACTTCGCCAAATCCCTCTGCTATATGCGCGCTCTCGCCATCTTCCGAGAACTGCTTTATCGCATACCCGTTACCAAAACCTCGAGAAGACCCAGATGCGAATCGACCAGCTCATGCTCCTCCTCAGTCCACTTTCGTTGCGCCTACGTCAGGCGAAGTCTTGATCTTCGATACCCTTACACTCAAAGCTGTCAACGTTATCGAGGCGCATCGATCGCCACTGTGCTGCATATGTCTAAACAATGAAGGAACATTGCTGGCCACAGCTAGTGAGACGGGCACGATCATTCGCGTCTTCTCCGTGCCCAAGGGTCAAAAGTTATATCAATTCCGGCGTGGTACCTACCCCTCCACCATATACAGTATGTCCTTTAACCTCAGTTCGACTTTACTGTGCGTCTCTTCAACTTCGGACACAATCCATATTTTCCGACTTGGATCACCACCCGGAAATACCACTCCAGCTGGTGCGCCCATCGAACCACCCGCCTCACAACGTCAAGATCGTTGGTCTCGAGCAAGAAGCTTCGATGACCCTGAGTCTCCTGGTACTAGTACCGCAGCAGACTCGCCGAAGAACGAGCCAGCAGATCTCAACGGCCCAGGGGTTGGAGTGGGCAACAACAATCAAGGCCATACACGGCAGAGCGGCTCTTTTAGCAGTATGCTTCGCCGCTCTTCACAGATAATGGGACGCGGCGTTGCGGGAGTTATGGGATCGTACTTGCCACAGTCCGTAACAGAGATGTGGGAACCATTGCGAGATTTTGCCTACATCAAGATACCTAAATCTACTGCTCCTTCGGGGGCGTCGCGAGCTTTGCGGGAGGCCCCAGGTGGTCCTCTGCGCAGCGTTGTAGCCATGAGTAGTAGCAGCCCACAAGTCATGGTCGTAACAAGCGACGGAGGCTTTTACGTCTACAATATCGACATGGAACAGGGCGGAGAAGGTTACCTTGTAAAACAATTTTCGTGAGTATTTCGCCTTGTAAATGTATATCACAAATATGCTAACCGAATATTACAGTGTCTTGGAAGGCGACGACAAGAGTGACGCTTCGGGGTATGGGAGCTAGGATTCCCAGGAAGTAACGAGCGGTTCCTTGCTTGCGACGAGGCAGCGTGCTTGATCATATAATGCGTGAGGTCAATATAGCGGAAGCATTGCTATGGGCGTTTGTCGGGATCAGGAGTCTCGCTTTCAGCATGAAATTAATAGTTCTAACAGAAACTACGATTTCCCTCTCGATTTTCTATTTTGATGGATTTGTTACTACCATGACGACCTATAATCGGAATGACCACATGTTGGATTAGTGGTCATCATAAGGGAATGGGATTCTAATGGGTATTCCAAGATCAAAATCGCAATGGTCGAGCGTTATAGCAATACACATGCATGTTCAGTAGAGAAGTTGGACTGATCCAGCCAGACGCCATTGTGTAGTAATCATTCATTCCTAAAATAACAGTCCCTAATATCGATTCCACATAGCCAAACATAAAAACCAAGACATATGCCCGAGATAGATGAACAGAACAAGTAGTCTGGTCTGCCAAAAACGCCAAATACGAAAGCCCTTTAGAGGGATATTCCCAACCGTCCGGTATCAACAATGCGCCTATCCAACTACAAAAACAGACCCTACATTTCCGCTTTCTTAATATTTCAGTGGCCAATACGTCCCACAATCATTCAAAGTAAAACACCTTCACGAGTAATCCAACTTTGTATGGATATGGTCAAAAACACAAGCGAGGCCTGGGGATCTAGTTCTCGTGGTTCTGTAAGCCGCTGGCCCTTCAGATCTGCTGAGAAGCATGACAATACGCTTGGTGCCGTTGTCGTTTCAACGTGAGTATGGCCGATTCATAAGCGCGATTTCTCGTGCAATTTCAGCCCACTCCAAGGTTCTCTGAATCTCGGCATGAGGGTCACCATCCTGCTGGAGCGCCTCTTCGTACTTCAGCAGCTCATAAGCAAACCGAAGATGAGGTTGGATGATGACGTTCAGACGGCGGGCTCTAACATAACAGTATGCGTGGGGGAATGACATGTGCTTTGCTCGCATAACCTCAGCGATACAAATTGTTGCACTGCGGGATACTCCCACACGGCAATGTACTAGTGTTGCAGTGCCATTCCGTCGACCACGATCTAATTCCACAGTTAGCTTTTGCATGTTCAATGACCATGTCCTAATATCTTTTACTGACCGATAAATTCAAGACATCGAGCGAATTCCTCAGTCAACGGGTCGATACCGTTGTCTTGAACCCCTTGCACCACGCATACGTTCTCCTTACCCCATTTTTCCAGGTCACCCTCTCGCCACATGGCTATCTCGCCGACGCTGAGAATCTGAGTAATCCCGAGCGCTCGCAGGAGCTCCGGGTTGTTTGCATGGCCCAAGTTGCCCAAGTACATATAATCCAGAACGCGACTCGGGAATGACCCATCCAGCGCAGCGAACCAGCTTGGTTCGTCTCTTGTCAAATGAGTTATATCTGTTAAGCTGAGTCCTTTGCAAACAGGTGACTCCCGGAGCAATCTAGGGGTGATAGATGTCAACAGCGCAACATCCGTCGGGTATGCGAAGAAGTTCCGCTTCTTGTCTGTGTGAAGTTGCAGCCATGCGTCAGGAACAGGCCGTCCGGTACTGTAGCTGAAGTACGCAATGCTCAACATTGTTGACTCGGTGTATCCGTCAGCGCAGTGAAGTAAGATCTTACGAGGTCTAACCTCAAAAGTAGACTCGTGATCAGAGGGCATGGGCGAATCTCCCTCTGCGTCCACAACATCGTTGGCCATAGCTGGGTCAGACTCCGGGTACAACCCATGTGCCAGATGATAGATCCATTTACAGGTTTCGAGAATACCATCCGCTTCTGAGTGCGACCACGTTGGTGGCAGGATACTGCCGGAAGATGGAAAGTCGAGAAAATGCTGCTTGCGATCATCGTCAGGACTTTCAGCAATCAGTTGAAGAGCCAGGGGGTTCAGTCGCCCCAAATCACTACACTCGATTAGAATGTCGTACTTTTGCTCTTCAGGGCTTCCTTGTTCGGGAGTAGGGCCCATGAAAACGTTCTCGGAGAATTCAGAGGCTTCGGTCATTGCCCACATCTCCCGCCTCTCCTGACTAAAGAAATCGAGGACATTGCCAGTCAAATGACTGGCCTCATCGACAGCCACGATCTCGGGATGATTTTCCTCGAAACTTGAAAACGGACTTGTGCAGATAAACGTGTGATATTCTGGCATCCATTCGCCTTGGTCCTCGTGTTTTTCACGCCAAAGCTTCTGCGCACCTGCAATGTCCCACGCCACTTTGCGAGTCTTATTCAAGTCCCGACCATAAACAATTATGTCCGAAAGCACCGCCGTTTTCACTGTTTGGATCTGAAAATTCCGTACAGAAAAGCCCTCCCTTGGGTCTGCCTCAATGAACCTGGCAGCGTTGTTGGCCTGAATGATTTCATTGGGAGCAACAGCGCCCTTCAGTCGCGCGCAGTTCAGGTCTCCATCAGCTTTGACGAGAGTGAGAGATCGAATACACGAGGGAGTTGGTCTCGAAGCACGTCGCCGGGCAGCAAAAAAGGACTGTTGAACATGGTTTTGGGGATGAAGGCCATGGAACCACGGGAAGACGAGTCCAGGGTCAGGCAACGGCTGGCGTGAAGCAACATCAACAGCCTCTGCAACTTTGGGTCCGTCAATCTCATAGATGGAGAGCTCGTCTGAATCGATGCGCTTGAACCCATCGAGAGGGTATAGAGCTGAAGTTTGTTGCAACTGGTCCTGGGAGGGTGGTGATGGAGGCGGAGTATCGATTTCGTCGGGACAGGCGGGTCCAGTGGGACATATAGGGAGGTGTTTATTAGGAATTGGGACGGAGCATGGCGAAGAGCTGGAGCTGGAGCTGGACTCGAGAGACAGTGGTGGGGTGATGGTAGATGAGGGACGATGAGGCGGGATTGGTCGAGCGAGCGCAACGGTAGTCATAGCAGCAATTGTATTGTAGAGATTGCGAAAAGTATTGAATGTGATGCTGCCGAGTGGCAGGCAAACTGGAATAGAGAAAAGATATGGACGAGGTTTATATGCGGTATGTTGCACAAGAATCTGACCCAAGCCTAAGTAAGACAGGTGTCTTTCAAATCGGTCGGACGATCAGACAAAATTTCAAACTAAACAGCAAATGTACTGTAATATGCTATTGCCCTCAGCCACAAATGACACTGAAGGAACAAGAATCAGAGCCTTGGATGGTGATGCAAGAATAATACAGATTTGGGACGCACGAGATGGATGTCGTTGTTGCTGTAAGCGGACTACTGTTGCACACACATGCCTAAGCTCAGAATAAGAGACAAGGCACCATGGAGCCAGCCACAGAGTTCGCTGGATGATGGATGTTGGATGGAATGAGGGGAGATGATGAGAGAGAGAAGATGGATTTCCAGCCAAAAGATATGACCCCTAGTTGAAGGAAGGGGAGGTGACAGTATTTGTAGAACCGACAACGCGAGGTTTGTCTCAGATTCTACTATTCCAAATTGACGAATTGATTGAACCCTAATAAAGACCAACGATACTGTCTGTCGTTTGCGGGCGATGAGATGAACCTGACGTGGGCTAGACTGTGGAGATGGTCACTGCTTGCTTGCTTGCTTGCTTGCTTAAATGATGTAGTCGATCAAAGAGGCGCATGCGAATGAATTGAGATGAGGACAAGTAAACGATGGATAGTCGAGAATAGGTGAATGGAATGGAATGAAATGGATAAGTTAGGTGTAGCCAAGAAGATGAAGGAGTAGAGAAGAGAAAGAGGGGAAACAGATCACGGCCGGCAGTCGGATGGACTAAGGTAGCAGGTAGGTACTAACTGTACTGTAGACTTCAGTACAGCAGTTTGTTATTGACAACCTACTACCTTATGGAAGGGATGGGATGGAATGATGGAGGGTGGTCTGTACAGTATCGGTACAGTACAGTACGTACCTACCTACAATTGTTGACGGGAAGTTGATTGTTGGTTGACGGATGAGATTGGATGGTTTAGAAATGCAGTTGGTGGTTGGCGGATGGCGAATGGCGAATCTGGGTATCCATCTTGTTTGATAAGGGAACCTAGGTAGGCAAGGGTGGTCCGGTCCCGGGGGGTTTTTTGTTCTCCATCTTCCCAACCAAGATACAGTAACCTAGATGTCTGGAAGAAATGAACGGTCATCATGATCCACTTTGACAAAACAGACAAACGGGTCTTTGCTTGATTATTCTGTCTTGTCCAACTTCATGGCTGTCTTTGCCATCTGTCAATCAATGCCTGCAGCCGTTGACAAGCATGGAAATCAATCTAGCGGGCGCGTTTGCATTTGGGGGTTCATGATAGTGGTCGACACCCGCCGAGGTGGACGACCTACAGTGGACACTAAGACATGGGGTTCTCCATAGAATATAGCTTATGGCGGGGATCTGGCGCTGCATGGCCACTATAATTGGTGGGGAGCTGCATGCAGGAGCGGGGAAGCAGGACGCTACTGCACGGGGCTTCTGCAGGCTTTGAATCACAGCCCGTTGAAGGAGAATCAACAGATAACGTATCTTGACTCTGTAGGTATTGCACTGCACCAGGCCTGCTCTGCTGTACAGTACTTTCGAATCGATTCTGGTGAGTCTCGTTTGCAACGGAAAGGTAATTGGTCACCAGAATGGACGATTAAACCACTTGGAGGGGAACAAGGTGAGGTGAGAAGTGAGGTGAGGTGACATGACCATCCATCTCGGATCAGAGCAAGACAAAGCCGGTGCATTAGCGCCTAAGCTCAAGCTCCCTTGGATCTTCCCCACCGACCTTAAAACCTCCATCGGATTACTGTATGTACGCTATCTTGAGCTTGATAGCCATGAAACATCACGGGATCGGCATCTCGAACGGGTCCTGGTATTATACGGTACTACATTGTACAAACAAGGATTGATGGCTGGACTATGCATCTTTCTAGCTAAACTCCACCCGTTGCTATCCATTTCCTCACATACATAGACATAGAACCGTCACGTCATGTCATGTCACGTTGAACTACCGGCATTGGTGCTCTTTACACTTTCTGTAGACGCTAAACTCCATCATAGAGGATGATTACCTGTGATGCTGTATAGTAGTCCAGTTCAAGTAAGTGAAACCACAGACAAGGTGACACACGCCCCTGAATTCTCTCATCTAGGCAAACAAGCCTACGCGACTTGTTGACTTGCAATCATGTTAATGATTGTTTTTACTGCATATGTTTCTTGTTCAACAAGTATTCTCGTCCAATCACTACCTAGTAGCCATGTTTTGCAAGTTGAGGCTCTATTTCTCATATTCGAATAACTACAGGGTATGTACCTAAGGTAAGCTTCTGTGGAGTTTTCCTCGGTGTGTTGAACAGGGGTGGGTCTCTCTTCACCGAGAGAATGCCTATTGAAGGCGACATGCTTTGACACGTGACCTCGCGATGCTCGCTTTGATCTCAACGTTCACGTCACGTCTCACGCTTTTTGTCAATCTGCCTTGGTACTAAACAATTCAGCCACCATGAAGTTCAACATTGAGTACGGTCTCTCTCTCATTACCTTTGGAGGGTTCAATTACTTACACGACTTAGCGATCTACCTGTGCTATTTCCTTACCCTAGGATATATCCAGGTAAGCCTCAATAATCACGGTTGACGATCGCTTGACACGATGAGACTGACCTTTTTTAGAACAATATGCGTGAGTCCCGAGGAATCAATGTGTTCTATACATCGGAAGGCTGACTATGAGCTTCGTTAAGATATATGTGCGACCTCAAAAGTAGGTATCATCTACCTTATTCCACGACGAGTCTTGTTTGCTAATAGCGTGCTTTTATTAGAAACTCTGGATGCAGGAGGTCACTGTGTGCTAGAAATGCCTTCGGGCACAGGCAAAACGGTGTCTCTACTGTCTCTCATTGTCGCATACCAGCAATACATGCCCGAGAAGCGAAAGTTGATCTATTGCTCCCGTACGCCACATGTTCCCAACCAAGCATTTGTTTACTGACACAACGCTATCAAGGTACCATGTCTGAGATCGAGAAAGCTTTAGTCGAGTTGAAGTCTCTCATGAAGTACCGTGCTGAGGAGCTTGGGTACGAAGAAGAATTCCGTGGCCTCGGCCTGACAAGTCGAAAGAATTTGTGCCTCCATCCTTCTGTGAAGCGGGAAAAGAGTGGCGCCATTGTCGATGCCCGCTGCAGAAGCCTTACCGCCGGCTTTGTCAAGGAGAAAAAGGAACGTGGCGAAAACGTTGATGTTTGCGTCTACCACGATGTGAGTCTTGTGAAACGTTCCCTCTCATGGCAGCAACGTTGCTGAGTAACGAAACAGAACCTCGATCTTCTAGAGCCTCACAATCTCATCCCCAACGGTGTCTGGTCTTTTGACGACATCATTCGATATGGCGAGGACCATAAGCAGTGTCCATATTTCACTGCAAGGCGAATGGTAAGCGCATATCAGTCTTGGGGAACGTTCATCAGAATCGCTAATCTTTCTTCCAGATGCAATATTGCAATGTTGTCATCTTCTCTTACCATTACCTCCTTGACCCCAAAATTGCCGAAAGGGTGTCTAAGGATTTTTCAAAGGACTGCATTGTTGTATTCGATGAAGCTCACAACATCGACAACGTATGTATCGAGTCTCTCAGTACAGACATCACCGAAGACTCGTTGCGAAAAGCAACTCGGGGCGCCCAGAACCTGGAGAACAAGATATCACAGATGCGCGACACAGATCAGGAGCAACTTCAGAATGAGTATCAGAAGCTAGTACAGGGTTTACGTGATGCTGATGAGGCACGCCAAGAAGATGCCTTCATGGCAAACCCTGGTAGGTTCTCGATAGTGGCCCGCCCAGTGGGTAATGTAGTGCTGACCAGTTCACAGCGCTTCCTGAAGACTTGCTCAAGGAGGCTGTACCGGGAAACATCAGGAGAGCAGAGCATTTTATTGCTTTCCTAAAACGATTTATCGAGTATCTGAAAACAAGGATGAAAGTCCGACAAGTCATCTCTGAAACACCCCCTTCATTCCTTGCTCACCTGAGAGAACACACCTTCATCGAGAAGAAGCCACTGAGATTTTGCGCTGAGCGATTAACATCATTGGTTCGGACCCTCGAACTGACCAATATTGAGGACTATCAACCTCTCCAAGAAGTCGCCACTTTCGCAACTTTGGTTGCTACCTACGAGAAGGGTTTCCTTCTCATCCTGGAGCCTTTCGAATCAGATACTGCTGAAGTTCCAAACCCGGTTCTTCATTTCACCTGTCTCGATGCTGCCATCGCTATCAAGCCCGTGTTCGATAGGTTCTACTCTGTCATCATCACCTCTGGTACCATTTCTCCGCTAGAGATTTATCCCAAGATGCTGGATTTCTCAACAGTAATCCAAGAGTCGTATGCTATGACCTTGGCTCGAAGATCATTTATGCCTATGATTGTCACGAGAGGAAGCGACCAGGCTTCGGTATCGACCAGTTTTCAAGTCCGAAACGAACCAAGTGTGGTCAGGAACTACGGCAATCTGCTCACGGAATTCGCCAAGATCACGCCCGACGGTATGGTTGTTTTCTTCCCCTCGTATCTCTACATGGAATCGATCATCAGCATGTGGCAAGGAATGGGCGTGCTTGACGAGGTCTGGAAATACAAGCTTATCCTAGTGGAGACACCCGATGCGCAAGAAACCTCGCTTGCCCTTGAAACGTACCGTACAGCGTGCTGTAATGGCAGAGGCGCGGTGCTGCTTTGCGTCGCCCGAGGAAAGGTTTCTGAAGGAATCGATTTCGACCACCAATATGGCCGTACTGTGCTGTGTATTGGAGTGCCGTTTCAGTACACCGAGTCACGTATCCTTAAAGCAAGGCTTCAGTTCTTGAGAGAGACATATCGCATCAAGGAAAACGATTTCTTATCTTTCGACGCAATGCGGCATGCTGCCCAGTGTCTTGGGCGAGTCCTGCGAGGGAAGGACGACTATGGAATTATGGTTCTCGCCGACCGCCGTTTCCAGAAGAAGCGTACACAATTGCCCAAGTGGATTAACCAAGGCCTGCAAGAATCGGACGTCAATCTGAGTACCGATATGGCAGTCAGTAGCGCAAGACGGTTCCTTCGAACCATGGCACAACCATTTCGAGCTAAGGACCAAGAAGGTATCAGCACATGGGGATACAAGGACTTGATGGAACACAAGGAGAAGATGGACTTGGAGAGAATTAAAGAGCTCGAAGAGGAGGCGCAGCGACCACAGCCAGTTGCCCAACAAAACGATTTCGAGTACGATGATGACGAGTTAGATCAGGATATGATGGAGATGGACGGCTTCTAGATCTCCGAAGGGGAATTCGGCGGTGCCACAGAGACCGCCAGCCCAAAAGTAATTGAACTATAATTAGAGGATTTCAAGGGATTATCTACGGACATTAATCTCAAAGGGAATCTAAACAAATCAAAACTTGTGCGGAATCTACAAGGTAAACGTTAACATGTCGCTGAAACTCGTTTGCTCCCGTACGCACTGCTCTTTCTGGAAACAAAACAAACGCAAAGCGAGCAAGATAAATATTCCGGGATGGATACCGAATAATCCAGGTAAAAGTAAAGCAGCCGCTCAGTCTGCCAGTAGTCGCTTCGCTGCCTTCACTGCCCGCAGGGCGGGAATGGAATGGGCTCGGCCAGGTGTCCTCCCGATCTCAATGCACAGCATTCTGATAAAGTCATGGTTGGTCCAATAACTGGAGTGCGCACTGAGCATGTTTAGATACTGGATCTCCAATGGCCCTCCCCCTGAACGTAGGTACCAATCAATTTGTCCATTGTCGTTTAGCAGGAACGCCTTTCTTTCAGCAGTTTCTTCGCGGGTGAAATCATGAACCTCAAGCTCTAATTGAGAAGGCAGTCGAATCGTCGCTGGCCGCTCCGGTTCTGGTATGAGTGGATTTGGTGCTGGTGCCATACCTGGAACTACTCCACGCATGGCGGCACCAACAGATTTCCAGAGAGACCCAGAAATGCTAGGCACATACGCCTTCTTTAGGCTAGCTGCGTAAATGGGATCAACAGCACCGTTGAGAAGATATGCAATAGGATCCTCCTTGGCAAGGATATTGTAGATGTTGTCAACAGCCAAACAACCAAAAGTGCCAGCCTCTGCCACTACGTCCTTCGAGACGATGTCGTTCGAGTCAGCTCCAGGTTTCATACGGCCATGGCGAGGCATAAGCACCCCTCGTTCAAGAAGGAGGAAGAAACCCGCGGGACTACCTGCTAGGAAAAGATTCTTCGTGTCAAACTCAAAAAACTTTGTTTCTGGTTCCTTCTTTGTCAAGTCCAGTCTAGGAACTTCAGTCGGTTGATTTGAGAGAACCTCGAGAGCCATGGCGCTGCCGAGCGAATGCCCAATCATATGGACACGTCCGTGTTCAGCAAATCCCGGGTTATTACGACACCACAGTCGATAGACACGATTTGCTTCTGACACAAGTGCCTTGATCATCTTGCCTTTGTGGTGAGACATATAGAACGGGATATCGAACATGATATCCGATATCATGCTGCGGACAGCAGGGATTGTGTCGGGCTCGATATCTTTAAGCCCAAAACCTTCTGGGGTGTATTCGTCTTTGTCTTCTTCTCTCATAGGTCCTCCATCCTCGAATGAAAGGCCCATTCTCCAATTCAGGGGTAGAATCATCAACCCATTCTGATCTTCGCGCAAGACCTGCTTTACCAAAGGACTCTGAAGCTCCATGTTAACCGCTCGACGGAAGCCATTGATGGCATGGGTGAAGTGGAAACTCTCCACCCTTTCGGCAAACTTTTGGCCGATGCCGTGAGCTACTAAGACCAGATCTGTGACCTGGTACTTTTCTTTGTCCGCTTTGCAAGCTGTACATACATCCTGCCCTGTGCTTTCATGCGACTCGTCCGCGGCAGAGGCACCCGCCTTGTTAGGTGTCTGCTTCTTATGATGAAGACGTTCCCATGCAGCGCGATCGAATCCCCGGACCACCGGAATTCCAATTGTAACACCCTTCATGACTTTCAACACTGGTCTTCGGCCATAGTACGCCGACGGCTTCAGGCTTGGTTTTAGCAGAAACGCTTCTTTAGCGTTCCTATATAAGACGTGGTAGTTGGAATAAGGTCGTGTCTGATGATGTTGCTCTTCCGCCGCGGCTTTGGTAACTGGGTTCGCATTAACGGTACCCTCGGCAGATGCTTCACCACGAAAGCAACGAGCTGCGCAAAACGGATCATTTGGTATAGTTGGCTCCGGAAAATCGTCATCAGCACCGATCTCTAGCTCTTTAGACCAGAGTCTATGCGATACCTTCTCTTCTCCCAGGGGCCCGACGTCGATGGCACACCGGAGCTCGTCACTCCAGGTTTCGGTCCAGGGCCGCAGGTCATGATATCCGGCCTCAAGTTGATTCGCTACTGCGGGTGGTACTGGAAGCATCGTGTCTCTTCGTGAATCTGTCAGTGATCTTTGTTTTCTGGCAAGAGTGCTAGAGCCTACCTATAAAACCATGTTGCTCGAGATACGACTGCGACATCGTTGATAGGGGACCAGTATATTGGTTTCATTTGAAGCATTGGCAAGGCAACCATATGCAATCTTGATATTCCTACTGCAACCTCGGCAACGCTGGGCTGGATCGCCTCCACTGCCTTTGTTCCTTCTCGATTGGTGGCTTGTGTAGAGTCCTCTTGGCCAACAGTCGTTTGAGATTGACCTTTTGTCTGGGGAAGATTGCAGGCCAGAACACTTACGCCAGGTAATGGGAGAGACCCAGGTTCTGATTGTGTTTCTGGGCTTCCTACACGTAGGAATGGTCTGCCAGATATTCCGTCATCAAGGACCGGAGGCCGCGCATGACCCAAACTTCCAAAAGGTGTCTGGGATCGAGGTTGTTGCCCGATGGGTTGAGCCATTGAGAGGCTGTTCGTCCTGGTTCTCGGTTCACTTATGGTCGATCGGCGTTTAGAGCTGTTGGAGTCAGTTGTCGTCTTGGGCATACGAGCAATCGGGTGATTCGTGTTAGTGGTAGAAGCCGTCCCTGGACGGCTAAATGGTGGGCTCCCTGGCAACTGCTGAGTCTCGAGGTCGTGGCTGGCTTGTTTTCTCAGTCTTTCAAGAGCAAGCACGACTTGCTGCACGACTCGGTCAATACTCAAAGCTGTGTTGCGCTTCCTAATGAGTGCACAGAAGCCTCGTTCCAATTCCTCGGCGACGTCAATGACCAGCTCGGAACAACAGGCGGCCACAGGTGTTGTGGGCAGAATATCGCCGGTGGGTGCTGCTACGTCTTGTGGCTGATAACCTTTACGATGCCTTTCCCAATGTTTTGCGGTGATGGCTTGTATGATCGATGCCAATCGATCTGAGTCGAATTTAGGAACACGCCCTTGACTCTCCAGTGCCTCCTGATGGGCACGACGAGCAGACTCGGACATGAGACCCAACCAAGCCTTTTCCAACGCATTGTTATCCCCTCTTGCAAAAGGTCGCACTTGACCCTTGTTTGTCTTGGTATCGGCGCCAACAGTTGAAGACGTCGAGAGAGGGTCGTCGATAGGAATGATAGACGAATAGAAGAATTGAGCCCGAACTGGAGGAACCTCATCTTCGCGTTCAATTCGAGTAGCAGGTGCCAAGCGACACTTGGCACCGTAAGTGTGGTGATCGTCCGTCATGACGATGGGTGCTATCTCCACACGCGGCTCCGTAGAAATCGGTTTCGTGCGACTTGAACGGACGAGCCTCTCGAAACAGATGGATTCGATACAAGTATTGGATGTGCCATAGGGCAAGTCGCTCACAGACCCATGTGAGTTGCAGTAGGTTTCTACTATTGAACGGGTGGACAGGTACTGTAGGTGTTGTTGACGATAGGCAGAAACCCCCGAGTCTTGGGGTAGAAGCTTCACCACGGATCGATGGGAAAGTTATTATGGATTCCGATTCCAGGGCGCGATGACGTGGGGATGTACTGGACAGAACGTCTGCCTTTAAATTGTGGGTCTCAACTGTAGGTACCGAATCTTAGGATACGCGTATTCTTCCTGTCGAGATCGACAGAATGTACTTTGGTAGGATCAGAAGAAACTTGTATTTATGTGGTCGATTTTCTAGAACATCCTGTCGCGACGCTAAATGACCTACCACCTTATCCACATCACATGCATTCGTTCCATGTCTCCATGTCAAGTAGTCGACCAGTAAGCTACAGTAAAGTATGTCACTGTTGTTTGTAGTAGGCATCTAGGTAGTCCCTATTAGGTTAAGTACCTAGCAAGTACTAGTAGGCACCAATGGAACTTCAACTACTAGGTACTAACCATGAGCCTCATGGATCTGATACACAAGGGGTAAATCTAGAAGTCAACGAATCAAACATGGTTCATAGCGACAGCTTCAAATAGGTCTGTAGGTAATTTTGGAAACTATCCAACTTATTTTACACATCTGATTCGGCAAAAGTACCCTAAATAAACAGCTATTCAGTTCATCCTGGGCGATCTAGTGCCCTTAACAGTCAACTTCCATCGCGCTGCCGGTCGTCATTCGAAAGCGAGGAATAAAGAGACTGAATGAGTGTCCTGTAGATGGATTCGCAAGCAGTCTTGTCTTTCTAAGTACCTTAGTAATTAGGTGCCTATGAAAGCAAACAATTGCATAAATTTGCTCACTTGGGAGGATACCACCAAAAGATTTCCTCATAATGAGCTTCCCAATCGAGTTAACGACTGTCATGATTTGCATATGCCGAGGCGACTGTCTTCGAAACGCTGTCCTGGCGAAGCAAGATACATGGCGTAATTCGTTGGCATGTGAAATGTTGACCAAATAGTTTCCTCGTTTCTCCTCATAGTTACGATTCAGAGTTTGAACGTAGCTATGTCGTGTTCACCGAGGTTTCTAGTCACGAGCCTTCTATAAGCGCAGCTGAATTCCCGAGTTGGCAAATGCAGATACACGATGTGAAACTTCCATACTTCCATCTATTTGGTAGACAGTGACGTTTCTAGATCATATCAATTAGTTGCTGAACGTAATACAAACTGGGTTTCACGTTGTGTTTGAGTGCATAATCGACCTACCTCGAGTATTCCTGTGTCAAGCTTTAAGACCACTTTGAGTTTGCAGATGTCCGTATACTGTTGGAGGTCATGTCCACAGCACGCCGTGCCTTGGAGTATCTCATCTCCGATAGATCAAGAATACATGCATGTCTTCGGGTTGTTTTCAAGCACTATGTAAGCAAATTATTCGGGAAGTCTACCCAGGACGGTGAGAATCTAAACCGGATGGTCTAGGTGGGCTAACGATACCCAACCCCGTAAACCCAGGCCCTTGTAGGTTCAGCGTGCCGATATCAAATCGCTTTGCACAGCCGTCTTCCATGTGTCTGAGTGGTCGGTCAATACTGGCATTTGCAGACTCAGGTCAAGAATCAGTGGGCTTACCTCCGCAAAGTATCTTTTCGAGCAAAGAGACGTCCACAGTAATCGCATTTATGGTTGCGTTCCTTCATATGTACACTCTGGTGATGGCGTTGGAGATCTGTTTTGCGTACAAATTTCTTGGTGCACCCATCAACAGTACATGGGAAAGGATATTCGCGCTTCTCATCGTGGGTTTCCAGATGGGATTTGTAGTTGTAGCTGCGACTGAAGAACTTGCCGCAACCCTTGACTTCGCACTGGAAGTTGGCCTCCTCCTTTGACGTGTGTTTCCTGGTGGGTCTCTTGACCTTTGCTGTTTTCAACAACCTCCTCTCCTGGCCAAGATCTGGGAGTTGACTCTGCGGGGTAGGGTAGAATGGCGTCACTTCATATTCTTGCTTAGGCCATGCTGTTGAACTATTGGCGCTGAGGCTTGGGGGCAGGTTCGAGGTGAAGGCGGCTCCGTCGGTCTGATAGGTGGTAGCTGGCGGTCCTGGAGCCGAATATGGTTGCGGTTCATATCCCTGGCCATAGGTGCTGACAGAACCTTCTACTCTGAATCTTGAGCTTGCTGGGTCCTGCAAGTACCCATATGACGGCCTCGCTCCTAGTGTTGGCGCCCGCGTAGATTGGCTAGTAGAAGGTAGTGAAGGTTCATGAACTGATGGGTTGCGGCCCGCTGGCATATAAGCATCATGAGGTTGGTACGGTGCAGGTAAACATGAGTCGTATGCCGCAAATGCATTGAAGTCAGCATGCAGGGCATCGGGTTCTACGGAACTCGAAGATGCTGTACTTGTGCCCGCGACCAATCCATCCGGGGTTACCCAGGCAGTACTACCGTGGTCCATGGGAGGCGGTGATAAAAGCTCAGTTTGATGTACTGAGTACCAGCGAGTGTGATGGGAATATGGATCCGATTCCAAGTCTGATCGGGAAACGCCAGTAGAAACGGCTTGCTGAAAGGGAGACTCGTAGCAAGACGACAAGCGATTCGCAGAACAAGAAGGATCAGGACTGGGTGAAGCCGCTTCGAAAAATTGTGAATACTGCGATACTGGAGAGTTCGAGGTCGAGGGAGGTGTAAGGTACATATTTGAGGTCGTTGGAAAAAGGATGCGAGGGTCGGGTTAGAATGCGTGGGGAGCTAAATGCTAGGGTCTCATGAGCCATGCACTTCCGGTAGGCAGGTAGGTAGGTAGATAGATGGGTTTGGTTTGGTATGGTATGGTATGGTTTAGATTAGGTACTGCAGTGAGCAGAGATTCATCGACCAAGTTGGCAAGCCCCATGACGGGGTACGAGTTGGATAAATACAACGAGAGCTCGACCAACAGAGGATGGGATCAAGTCAAGGTCAAGGTCAAGGTCAAGAGCAGTAGAGAGAGTGGCAACACGGACAAGTATCAACAAGCATACATAGGTAGGTGATTAGGTAGCTGTATTGTCTTGTCCTGTCCTGTCCTGTCTTGGGCGACATACAGGGAATGTCGATTACTTAGATCCTCTTTGACGAAGCCACTGTTGATGGATGAATTACCTAGACCCAGACAAGACCAGAACAGAACAGACGAGGATTGTTGAAGGATCAGACTCCGCCTGCATGGCATGGATTCCAGGGTGGGGAGACGGGTAAGGTAGGTAAAGAGCCACTGGGAAGGTGTCGAGAAGCGGGTGACGGGGCCGGGAAGAGAGCGAAATGAGGTCTAGGCCAGGATGTCGTTCGCCAACCAGACGGCTGGGCCATCTTGGCCCATGACAGATCTCGCGGATAGCAAAAGGCCAGACAGATAACGGTATCGCTAGAATAACCTACTCAATCGAGGTCAGAGCTTAAAGGCTCGAGCTTGATCGCCCAAATTAGAGTCTACAGTCAAGTCAACCAACGCAAGCTAAAGGTACAAAGGGCCGCATTCCGCTAAGACCAGGGTTCGGTTACCAAGAAGAACCGTATAGTATTAACTAACAGTACGTAATTGGACGTTGTTGGACCAAATCAGATAGGGTGGTGCAACGACGACGACGAACAAAGTCACAGAGTAAAAGGACATGTCCAATCCTGGATTCCCATCGTCCCATCACGCACCTAGCTTCTGAACGACACTTGACATGATTCTCCACCTCTGAGAACTAAGGACCAACAGCCTCGGAAGACTTATTGCACTGAAGCATGCGCACAGCCCCCGTTTAGCAGGCTGGCCCATGCAGTTTACCTACCTAAGTCCTGTACTGACTGGAGCACCGTCTTTTGTATGTCCAAACTTGGATGGTGGCATCTAAGTGGATAGATGCAGTTACCATTGGTCTGCTCTCCTCTCCTGTCTGTCCTAGATTATAGCATCTTGGTAGATCGCGATGACCTCGCTATTACAGCATCATTGACGCCATTTCTGGCTATCTTGACTCTGTTCTGCTTGGTTCTGCCGCTGCATATTGCGCAATCCCTTGATTTGTGGAGGATAACCGATGGTTTATAACCCTGCATTTCCTTGAGGGAGGTTTTATGGCTAGAGAGATACTCACCAAGCACAGCAGAGAAGGGCACAGGGCAAGGCAAAGCATCTTCCATCAAGGTAAACTGGGCGGCTTTTTTCCCCATTATCTGTTTTGAAGAGACGGATCAGGTGGTGCGACTCGTGCGAGTCCGGCTCAGTGTAATCTGCAATCTGCAAAGTGCAAGGTGCAAGTAAGCCAGGGGGACAAGAGCCAAGACAGGAGCCGGGCTTGATCCGAACAGCCGATACGGTAATGTACGAGGAAGGTAACGGTTCGAGGCCGAGGAATCCCCAGAGGATGATGGATAATAGGGAAGACAACCCTTGTCGTACCGGTCAAGTGCTCTTCGTTTGGGACAGGGCCGAGTCTCCGGCCTGGAGATGGGCCATGGGTCATGGATCATGGATCAACCATCCATCTATCCATCCAATGTAACCGGCTGCAGACTGCAAGTGCACTCGTTCACTCGCTCGCTCGCACATCTGGTCTTGCTTATCCCCAATTTATCCTCGTGTCGTGTCGTCCAAACGGAATAATAATTGAGTGGGCGCGGTCAGGAACTTGTGGAGTGAGTGAAGAAACGATGTAACACAAAGACAGTGCCAGAATCGCATCGAAACGGTCTTGCACGGCCCCATTTGCGACCTAACGGCCTCTATTGCTCACAGTGTTTGTCGCCTTACCCAAAGTGGAAGTAGACATCTCGGCATGTTCCTGGCCCCAATCTCAACGGTCGGTGGCGCCCCGCAAAACAAAAAACACCTACAGTACAGTACCTTAGTAGCCAGCTCAGCTCAGCCCGGGCAGCTTGAAGAACTTTTACATCCATTACTTACTGGGTGCATACTACACAGCAATAGGTAAAATTAGTTGTAAATAGCCTCAATAATGAGCGCAACCGAGTCGAATCAGAAGGCACATTGGTCTCCTAATGTCTGCACAACAATGGAAGCGAAGCCCTACGAACGGCGGCCCGGTCCTTCTAATGGTCCGTTCTTCCCTTAGTACATTGTGCCCGGAGCATTACATTACATCTTCACATTCTCATCAAAGTGTGTGTTTATGTCTAGGCAGAATATTTCTGTATAGACCCAAAAATATAGTTGAGAAACAACCGTATGATGACTGTTCTGTAGCCAAGGTAGTCTAATAGTAAGTTTTTGAACGAGTATATGTATGCTGAATGTAATAAGATGCTTATAATTAATCGATCACCCGGATTGTTTATTGATAATGAGCTCTTACTACTCAGGCGACGCAGGCCTTCTTTTTTTTTTTCTTTCTTTTCCTTTTAGACACGTTAATTATTTCATGTCTTTCCTCAACTATCCTAGGTAGGTTTTCGTAGTCTACTACTACTATAGAAGGTAAAGTTGCGATGAGTTTGCCCGAGTGGGCGAGGCCAAGACGGACGTCCGAGTGCTTCTGGGGTCCCTGGCCTCTAGACCTAGACCTTGTCCTTGTCCTTGTCCTTGTCACAATCTTGACAGTCAACTGAACAGGCAGGCACAGGCTGGCTTAATAGGCGCGCCAAATTTTCTTTTTTCTTTAGGCTCTTTTTTCCATCCTTTCTTTTGCCGCCGAGACGCCATCCACATACGGTATGTAACCCAGTCTAGCCTAGTACAACTAAAAAAGACCGAGAAATTTGTTCCCAGTAAGTCATCTACTCTACGGACATGAATGCATATTATGTTATACGTGCTCGTTAATTGGCCATGAACTATGGGTAGACTTCCATGCTTCACGATACTGTAAAGCAGTGAGTAGACTACTAAGTTATAGATACAGTATAGTGAATCTGCACCAAGATCAACATTTTAATCTAGTATTCCTCTCATTGTCTTCAGATTTTCGTATTCATCCATTGCTAGACAAACAGGCAGGCAGGCACCTGCATATCACTCAATAGACTAGTACAATCTACTTCTTCTTTCACGATTACCCAGGTGACAAGATAGATAAGCTTAAACTCAACCTGGTCAGACGTAAGGATATTTATGTGTTGAATCCAGAGCTCTATTGTCCAAGATGGGTACGGATAATACACTGAATACTACCTATACCCTGATAACCAGCCATTCTATAAAGGTCAATCGCTACTTTGGCCTGATACAGAAACTGCAGCACAGGTACTCTGTAGGTACTGAAGAGCTGAGAGCTTGGCTACAATCAGTGATTTGACGCCTACCTTGCGATCGTATTCGACTTGGAAATGATGGCTCAATCAAGTCCTAAAACTGCAATCACCGATTGATTGATTGATGTATGAGCTTACTGGCTCCAAGGTCCAGGCCCAGGCCCAGTCATTGGAAAGAGGTGCAACAACTTGTCTGACATTCCGATTCCCCTGGCTCTGTCACCTGCAGATAGTTCTGCATTGGGAATGCCATGGGCCGTAGTCACGTAGTGCAAGCAATAGGCTTCCACCGTCGTTGCCAATACTGCGCTTATACGGAGACCATCAACTCTGCATCCTGGCAGGGTCCCAGGATGGCATTGCCCACCATGTTGGTCGATTAACAAAGCCTGTTCTGTAAAGTACCGTCACGTTGAGCTATATCTTGAAGGTGATGAAGAATCTTGCAAATACTTATTCTATCAGTCAGTATTCGAGGAACATATGTATGGCTTCTCTGACCCTCGTGTGCACTTCTGTCGATAGTCTAAAGGATACATTAATTCCATTCGGAAAACCAGTCTTTTACCCACCCCCGAGCTTGACATATACGCACGTACCTAGAGGCATGGCAATTCTAGCCTTCAAAGCTTGATCACCGTTCCAATACATTCAGTAAAAGCCTCCTTAGCGAACTCCAACCGTTCCAGCCCTGCCGTGACCAGACCCTGGAATTGGACCTGGACCTGGATCTGGACAAGGTCATCATCGGTCCCCGGTTTGTCTCTTTCTTCTCGGTCAGGGGTCCGCGGGGATCCTTTCTTGTTGGAGCCTTCCAGACCACGGTGATCTTAAGGATCTTGAAGATCTCGCGGCTAGCCTCACCCGGCTTGGTAATGGAAGGTCACACAAGAAACGTAGAGCCATGTCACCCAGAACGGAACATTGCCCGGTTTCTGCCTTCCGTTTTAGTTCGTCATTGCAGTATTGTTAGTTTGCCTCTTGGTTGTATCCTTGCACCTCGGTAGGCGATTGCTGGTGATATGTAGACACGACTGGTACACACGGGACTTCTGGATGAAGATACATACGCAAGGTACCTATTGAAGCGGCCGCGCTCTCCCAAGACTCCTGTGAAATGTACTCAAGTACAGAATTCACATTGTGCATCCAACCCACAGCTCTGTTTTTCGAGGCTTGATTTAACAAGGTTGGGTCGGACGAGGGCCAGCATGAAAGACAAGCACACGCAAAGTTCGTTTTTATGGTGTAGTTATTGATCCGTCTATCAGTCTAGGCTTTATCCTACCGTAAAAGATCCCCGACTAAAGTGCCGTTTTCTGTGAATACCACGGGTCAACAATTGTGACCCCGTGAATTGCAGGTCAGCAAACTGTTCAATTCTCTTAACTGAAAACGACTTCCGTCTCCGATAGTAAAGACCCAACAAAGACCGAGAAAAGAATCATGAGAACTGTCATCGACAGCTGATACACCACTGAACATAAAGACGCCAAGGCTTCCGTCTTGTAACGGTCCTCGGCTCGAAGGGGTATCGGATGTTTGCCGCTCAGCTTGTTAAGCGCAGCCACAGGGGTTGGTATGCTCCCTGGTCGTAATTAATTACAGTAGGTTTGCTTTAAGCGAAGCCTTTCGCGAGTTGCCAAAAATTGTCCATCTTTGTTCGAGCCAGAGCATCTCTCGCTTCAGAATCTGTCTCACAGACCTTGCTGCCCCATTTTCTGAATGCCCGTGCCTTTTCTTCACCTTCGAAGACGAGCTTACATTCGTTCATCGACATGTCTTTGAGCTCGCCGTTGTCCTTTTCGGCGAGAAGCCAGTCGCGTGTGGTACCTTGCTTTCCGTCTCGGTCTCTTGACGGCGAGTTCTCGGTCCAGTCGATTCGGTTAAGCATAAGCTTCTTGAACTTCTTGATACCCCATTCGCCTCCTTCAACGATAACCAGATTAAATTTGGGGTGCATGATACATGTTCCTGTGAGTGCCAATTGTTCAGCGTTCACGCCGATCTTGTATCGATGTTGTCCGTTCGCCAAACTGCCAATCTTGAAAACCAGCATGTGAATTCCTTTTTCGGCGTCCTTCTGTTGGTTTGATGCCAACTTTTCGTGTTTCTGCTCCTTAGTGAGCTTCCTTTCCTCGTTTGTTTCGACATGCTTCTGGTGGCGTTCTGCAATTTCCCGGTTTACACGTGCTTCGACAGCGGTAGGATCCTTGACAGCAACTAGTACAGATATCAGTATATTGCGCAAATACAAATGCATGGCAGACTTACCGTCACCAAGGACTCGCATGAGGTTCCCTTTCTTGACTTTGGGAGGAGGTGCTGGCACCAATCCCAAACGAATCTTAGCTTGCATCTCCTTCAACTCGGCCATTCTCCGCTGTCGCCTCAATTTTTTCTGTTCCTTTTTCACCAGGAACATTGGCTTAGCAGCAGGGACATGTCCATCTTGAGGGGGCTCAAGAGCAACAGGGTGTTGTATATATTCGGTAATGATGGTGTCGGGCGGAGTGAGTTTGAGTTTAGAGCGATCATCAATTACATCGTAATTTTCGCCTTCGACAATTGCTTCGTCCCACCACTCGATAGCTGGGGGTGCTTCCACTACAAAGTTTCTTTCCACATCTAGATCGTCGTCAATGCCAGCCTTTCGAGTTTGCTCCGCAATTCGCTTCTTCATCGCCTCGAGGGCGGCCTGTCGACGTATGGCATTGCCTTGAGCGATATATTTGCCCTTCTGATTCATCTCAAGCGATCGAGACGGACGTGCCTTTCCTCCACCTGGTTGTGCTGAAGCATTTGGATCGAAGTACGGGTTTTCTCCGTTCTCCCTACCAACCGAAGCCGTTCTAAACGCATCTTGTGATCGAGGCCTGTCTGGCCGTCCGCTCGTGGGTGTAGGTGTTGATTCCTTCGATTTGCTTGACGGCTTATATGATCCCAAGTCTTCCAAAGCAGGGTGAAGTCCAACGTTCAAGCCACCCTTGGCTTTGCTGGTTCCAATAGCTGCCGCAACACGTGCCTTGAGTGCAGCCATCCGATCCGCAGCAGACTCTGGCTTCTGCACTCTTGACGAAGCATCATGGCGAGGGCCGAGGCCAGGGGATTGGCTGTTGCGATCCATCTGCAGACCGGCGCAGCTCTGAAGCTGCTCGTTATCCTTTTGGAAAGTTGAGCGTATTCGGTTCGATTCCTTATTGGCGTTGAATGTTGCGATTCGGTGGGCGGTGTTGCTTGATTATTGCGTGTAAAATAGGTTCTTGGAAGATGATGCGAATGGATGGCAACGCATGGACTTGGACCCGCGCGCAGGTCAGTCGCGCGCTGCCTGCCTGGAAGAAGTGGCTGCGGATGGGTCGGTCTAAATTTCTGCCGTCCCGCACCGCCAAAAAATTGTTCTCTCGCAAAGCTCCCCACTGTCTGCATGATTTACTTTCACTTCGCATAGTCTACTGCGCTGGGGAATGGATTTTATGAGTTAACCCAAAGACGTCGCTCAATCGCTAATTTCTTCGCTCGAGAGAGCGACAACAACATCACTATGAATATCGCGCAGCCGATCTCGTCCGGGGTCGAAAGCGTCGAGTTTACATTCCTGTCGCCAAAAGAAATCCGAGCAATCTCTGTGAAGAGGATAGAAAACGACAGTACTTTCGACAGCCTTCTCAATCCCGTCCCAGGTGGTCTCTATGATCCTGCTCTTGGCTCCTGGGGTGATGCGCCGTAAGTTCAGACGTCTTCGAGCCGAATCTTGACGGGTTGACGCTAACTAACTTGGAGGTGTACAACATGTAACCTCAACCAGGCTACCTGCCCAGGCCATGCTGGCCATATCCAGCTTCCTGTCCCAGTCTACCACCCTGTCTTCATGGACCAAGCTTATCGACTCTTGAAGGCCTCCTGCGTCTACTGCAAAGGCTTCCGACTTCCTCAGAAAGATCTTCACAAGTACGTGTGCCAGTTGAAGCTGCTTCAGCATGGCTTGATTCAAGAAGCCCACATGGTGGCCGTTATTGGCGAAAACGAACTGGCTATTGAACTTGGCAACTTCTCTGAATTGGAAAGCGAAGCAGAAGAGGAAGGCGCCAGCAGTTCGATTGACAGTGTGACTCGCGCAAGAGACAAGTTTGTTGAAAAATGTCTGCGCGGTATCAAGATCAAACGCGGCGACACGAAAAGGGGAAAGCACGAAGGCTCAAGCGAGATGCGTCGTGAGATTATCAAGGAGGTTCTTGCAGAAATCACCAAGCGAAGACTTTGCTCCAGCTGTGGCGGCATCTCGCCCTCATACCGCAAGGATCGGTTTGTCAAGATTTTTGAGAGGTCGCTCTCTGACAAGGAAAAGGCCAAGATGGCTCAGAAGAACTTCAAGCAAGCCGATGCCATGGCCAGAGTTCAACAAGTCACAACTAAACAAAAACCTGATGGGTACTCATCTGACGAAGGTGTGGCGGATGTCGTTTCTCCAACTCTTGAGAAATCACAACTCGATAGAGCGGATGCCGACCAGGATACAGAGATGATGGACGCCGACACTACCGCCGTTACTGATTCTTCACAACGATATATTAGCGCCATGGAAGTTCGAGCCCGTCTGAGCGAACTTTTCACCAAGGAGCAAGAGTTGATCTCCCTCTTGTATAACGCAAAACCCCCATCCCGAAGCTCCACGAAGGTCACGCCTGATATGTTCTTCTTGATGACCATCCTAGTCCCGCCCAATCGCTACCGTCCCGAAGCGCGAACAGGGGAGTCTGAGATTTCTGAAGCCCAACAAAACTCTCTTTACAAAAACATCCTGCGAGGTTGCGGGACGATAGCCCGACTACATAAGCAATTGAAGGAGGAGGCCGCCGACGTTAATCAGCTGCACCAAGCATGGACAGAATTACAGGAATCGATCAACTCGCTCATCGACAAGGACAAGAATCCCGTTCAAGGCGCGGCGGCGAAGCGCAATGAGGATGGTATCAAGCAGAAGCTCGAAAAGAAGGAGGGTCTCTTCCGAAAGAATATGATGGGTAAGCGTGTCAACTACGCAGCCCGAAGTGTCATCTCGCCCGATCCCAACATCGAGACAAACGAAATCGGTGTGCCGCCTGTTTTTGCCAAGAAATTGACATATCCTGAGCCTGTTACAAGCCACAATTTCCGTGACATGCAGCAAGCAGTCATCAACGGCGTCGACAAATGGCCTGGTGCTTTCGCAATTGAGAACGAAAATGGCCAGATTGTCAATCTTCGCAACAAGTCAGTCGATGATCGTGTGTCGCTGGCCAACCAGCTCCTTGCCCCTACGAGCAGCAACGCTGCTCGGACTAGGAACAAGAAGGTCTACCGTCACCTTACAAACGGTGATGTCGTCTTGATGAACCGACAACCAACCCTTCATAAACCTTCTATCATGGGTCATAGAGTTCGGGTTCTCCCTGGCGAAAAGACCATTCGCATGCACTACGCCAACTGCAACACATACAATGCCGATTTTGATGGTGATGAAATGAACATGCATTTCCCTCAGAACGAAGTTGCCAGAGCAGAGGCTCTCCAGATTGCTGATACCGACCACCAATACCTTTCTGCTACAGCTGGAAAGCCTCTCCGAGGTCTCATTCAGGATCACATTTCAGTTTCCGTTGCTCTCTGCAACCGTGATACTTTTCTCACCAAGGGCGACTATCAACAGCTGGTTTACAATGCATTGCGCCCTGAAAGTGGCCACATTGTTGGCGAGAGGATCGAGCTTGTTGCTCCAGCAGTAATCCGACCTGTTGCTAGATGGACCGGAAAGCAAGTCATCACTACCATTCTGAAGAATATGCAGCCTCCCAATTGTGGTGGGCTTTGCCTGAAATCTGCGACGCAGATCAAGGCTAGTCAGTGGGGTAAGAACTCCGAAGAAGGCACTGTACTGTTCCAGAATGGCGAGTTTATTACTGGAATTCTGGACAAATCGCAAATCGGTCCTAGTTCTGGTGGTACCATACACGCTGTCCATGAAATTTATGGCCCTGCTGTTGCGGGTAAATTCTTGAGTAGTCTGGGCAGGCTCCTCACGCGGTACCTTAACATGAGGGCTTTTTCGTGTGGTATGGATGACTTGAGACTCACGCCGGAGGGCGAGTTGGCCCGACGACAAGCACTTGTACCTGTCGACTCAGTTGGACTTGAAGTTGCGTCTTCCTACGTTTCACTTGAGCAGAACCCTGGTCCCAGGGACCCTCTACTCCTGGAGCGTCTTGAAGAGGTACTTCGCGATGACAACAAACAGGAGGGTCTCGATCTTCTCATGAAGAGCAGTCTTGGACAGATCACAGATCAGATCCAGCAAGTCACTATGCCTATCGCCCTCGAGAAAGCTTTCCCCTTTAACCAGATGCAAGCAATGACGACATCCGGTGCGAAAGGATCCAGAGTCAACGCCTCTCTAATCTCTTGTAACCTTGGTCAACAGGTTCTGGAAGGTCGCCGTGTGCCAATCATGGTTAGTGGCAAGTCATTGCCATGTTTTAACCCATTTGAGACACACGCTCGAGCCGGTGGTTACATTGTGCAGCGTTTCCTTACAGGCATCCGCCCCCAGGAGTACTACTTCCATCATATGGCTGGTCGAGAGGGTCTGATTGATACTGCAGTCAAGACATCACGTTCCGGCTATCTGCAGCGATGTGTCATCAAGGGCATGGAGGGCCTGACTGTCGCGTACGATACCACCGTGCGAGACGCTGATGGCTCCATGATCCAGTTCCTCTATGGCGAGGATGGTCTTGATGTTTGTAAACAGAAGTACTTAAACGACTTCAGCTTCATCTTGGAGAATGTCACTTCAGAGGCCGCACAACTTCAATACGATCCGAGCGTTGGAGAACGCCTAGGACAGCATCGCGAGGCTATTACCAAGTTTATGAAGAAGGCCCTTAAGCACACCAAGGTCCATGATCCTAAAGCCCAGGACCCGGTTTCGAGTCACTTCAACCCCGCTACAACTGCCTTTGCCACTTCTGAGACGTTCTTCAAGAAAATGACTGAATACCTCAAAGAGAACAAGGATGGTCTTGTCCGCGACAAGTCTGACAAGAACAAGCTCGCCCTCTCGCGTGTCAGCCTGAACAAGAAGAATGCAGAGATGCTCTTCGCGATGAAATACTTGCGCTCTCTCGTTGAGCCTGGAGAAGCTGTCGGTATTGTGGCCGGACAATCTGTTGGAGAGCCTTCGACACAAATGACGTTGAACACTTTCCATTTGGCTGGTCACTCTGCCAAGAACGTCACACTCGGTATTCCTCGACTCCGAGAAATTCTCATGACGGCTAGCAACAAGATTTCCACCCCGGCCATGTCCATCTACCCCATTGAGGAGATGTCTGCGGAGGACGCGGAGATCTTTGCCAAGTCAATCTCAGTGCTGCCTCTTGGTTATATTCTTGACAACATCAGCGTTGAGGAGAAGGTTGGCCAGGGCAAGCTTTATGGTTCAGCCAAGACCTACTCGATCGACCTCAAATTCTTTGATTCCAACGAGTACACAAAGACGTATGCCATCAAGATTTCAGATGTTGTCAATGCAGTAGAGAAGAAGCTCCTCCATCGCTTATTATCTCTCGTGAAGAGGGACATTAAGAAGCGACAAAATCATTCCACGATGGCCACCCCAGAAGTTGGCGTGAAGGCTGGTGTAGTAGAAACCGCTGCCCCCAATGCCGAGGCTGCTGGCAATTTCGACGAAGACGACGACGACGATGAAGGTGATGAGGACGCCACAAACGCTAAACAGCGAGCCAACAGAAGTGAGGCAGTTTCGTATGGCCCTAACGATGATGAGGATGATGCCGTGCAGCAAGAGATGGTCCGGGATGCCGCCGATGCCGATGATGACGAAGGCTTTAGTGGCAGCCCACGTCAGGCGGGTGAGGAGGAGGAAGAGGAAGGTGGTGATGCTGTCAATTGGGGTGCCAAGGCACGAACCAACCGTGTTCTCGAGGAATATGACGAAATCACGGAATTCGTGTTCGACGAGAAGCATGGAACTTCCTGCAGCTTCACGCTCGAGTACGACTCAGCCATTCCCAAGGTCCTCATGCTCAACCTTGTTCAGGATGCTGTGAAGAAGACCGTGATTCAGGAAATTTCAGGTGTCGGAGCCTGCACTTTCGTTGAGGAGAAGAGACCAAATAAGGAGACGAAGAAGGACGAGATGGTTAAGGTCATCCACACAGCAGGTGTCAACTTGCAGGCCATGCAGCGGTACAGCGATTTCATTGACCCGAACCGCATTGAGACCAATGACATTGCCGCCGTCCTGGAGGTCTATGGTGTTGAGGCAGCTCGGAATAACATTGTTCGAGAACTGTTTGGTGTCTTCGACTCTCACGGTATTGCCGTCGACAAAAGACACTTGAACCTGATTGGTGACCACATGACCCGAGGTGGTGGTTTCACACCATTCAACCGAATGGGTCTCAAGGGCAATGTCAGTCCGTTCACTAAGATGAGTTTCGAGACGACTTTGGGATTCCTCAAGGATGCTGTATTGGATGGTGACTGGGATGATTTGTCTACACCCAGTGGTCGGTTGGTAATGGGCAGACTTGGAAAAGTGGGCACTGGTGGTTTCGATGTTTTGGCGCAGCTTCCTACACATCATGTTGATTCTTTGGCGTAATATGGTCTGTAAAAGAGAATAGATGCAACGAATTTGATTGTCTAAATAATATATGTTTTTTAAACCTCCTTCATAACCAAAGCCGCGTCTTGTCGATGCCAATTTCGGCACCCTCTTCTTGATACTGTAGTTCCTTCCAAAATCAATCGAACCCATGGTCTTTGCAGTCTACCGTCGTTCTACACATAGTGCCTCAATGTGTTTGATTGTGTTGGACTGGTTGAGGCAGGTTGATTTAGCGACCACCACCTACCGTGTACAGACCAATGACTTGATGAGACCGCGCACCCTTGTTGAGGTGTTGTCGTTCTGTCGCGTCGTTTATGCTCGCGTGTTTGGTCAAGGCACTTTACGCGTATTCAGTCACCGTTGGTGGAGTTCAGCTGTGCGCGATGGCAATTAAGCTACTAAAGTCTATCGATGGCAAGTCACTCGAGGAACAGCAGATGATGATCAAAGACCGATGGTCGATTGTGAAGGCAGCTAACTGGCTTGCCGTTTAATGTACAGGCCCGACTGTAAAAACACTTGTTCCTCGTTGAACGCCTTGATTATTCCCCTAATCGTGATATCCCTCAAAGCAAAAATTCATAATCCTTCCCGTACCCCATGTCAATGACTATCGCTTAGTTGCGCTCGCCTCGGAGGCGGCGGGCAAGCTGGATGTCCTTGGACTGGATGGTGACACGCTTGGCGTGGATGGCGCAGAGGTTGGTGTCCTCGAAGAGGGAGACGAGGTAAGACTCGACGGACTCCTGAAGAGCACCAATGGCGGAGGACTGGAATCGGAGATCAGACTTGAAGTCCTGGGCAATCTCACGGACCTGTTCAATGACTGTTAGCTGATGCCATGTGATGATGTGGCGTTCGAGTGATGCTTACCAGACGCTGGAAGGGGAGCTTTCGGATGAGGAGCTCAGTCGACTTCTGGTATCGTCGAATCTCACGGAGAGCGACGGTACCGGGCTTGTAGCGGTGAGGCTTCTTGACACCTCCGGTAGATGGGGCGGACTTGCGGGCTGGTGAAGAAGTTAGAGACGAAGGTCATGATGAAGACGCGTGTCGCGTCAAGTCGCGGTGAGGATGAGAACTTACCAGCCTTGGAAGCGAGCTGCTTGCGAGGGGCCTTGCCACCAGTGGACTTGCGGGCGGTCTGCTTAGTGCGAGCCATTGTTGATGATTGATGTGAAGATGTGAATGAAGTTGTCGATGTTGATGAAGAAGTTGTTGATGGTTGTGGGGGTGGAAGGCTGAAGTGTGGGTGTGTGATGCAGAAGGAAAAGTCGAGAGAGGGAGCAGGCGGGGGGAATCCTTTATACCTGTGGCTCTAGGCGGCGGCTGATTGACTGCTGTGGACCGTGCGGGCTGATTGGAGTGCGTTTTGCCTGATCACCCACCGAAAATGGAAAAATGGGTCCATGCAAAATGCGCTGCAAAAAAAAAGCATCACGCGTGCCGAATTTCCATTGGCCCAAAAATCTTCCACGCAGCCAGAATGCTCCACGCTTTGTGGCCCAGCCTTTTTTGATCTGATCTGTGTTTGTTTGCCAGGCAGCCTAGCAGCCAATGGCGAAATTCCTGAGATGGGTAACGCTTGTACTGTAGTCAGGCACCTGAGGGCTGAGGCAAAAAGAGCATCCCGGGGAAACGGGCCAGATTCTGGGGAACGTTCAAGGTACTGACTAAGATAGATGCAGAGAGTACGTAAAGTATCGTGACTTCATGTGAGGCTTGTAGATACAGTCGTAGTAGCTACTGGATTATCGCACTGCCTAGATTGCATTTACTGTACTATTATTTACTGTCTTGTAAGGTATCCTAATTCTGACTGTCTCTATTGTCTGTAGTTGTGTAAGTATAAACGCTTTCAATGTGATCGATTTTATATGTCGCTATACTTTTAACCTTTGGTTTCTATACCCAAAATTTATTCGGTTCAAGTCTTCTGCCTACATTAAACAATGTATCGTTGTGTTGCTATGTCGTTAGTTGTTTGGGTGTCCAACGTCTCACATCATTTGCTCTTAGCTATCAAGACATATACTACAACAGCACTCCAGGTATTGCTTGGAAAATTCACCACAAAGCACGAGAGACTAAACAACATACAACTATCACTCAGTATTAAGTCACATATCATTCATTCAACAATAGGATGGGCTCAGCATGATCTCGTAGAACAAAAAAAGCATCGCTTACCCTGAACGACACAGCTGGTAATTAGTTCATGGCCTGGTATCCATATCCGTAACTCTGGGATATAACATCCATGCATGCCAGACCACCCCGCTTTCGAAAATCAACTGTGACCGAATTTTTAATTCGCTGGCGCCAATTTTCGCGTCACTGATCGCGTCGTGCAGCAGGGATCAAGATCACAGAGTGGATCCGCTCAACTGATCACGAACCCGGCCCACTCGTACTTAAGTCCTCGCACTCCCGCCCTCCACTGCTACACCTCATACTTTATCACTTTCACCCACCGACTCTATATCTATCACACTTCAGTATACACCAAGCGTGTATATCTTGATCATCACACACAACTTTCACATCCCCCAACCTTAAACAATATGACTGGACGTAAGTGGCCTTTTCCCAACACTTCACACATGCACACCGCATCGCTCGACTTTGCAACATGCACATCCCATCTTGACGCGTCCAATGACGCGCTTTGCAATCATACCCATCAAGACATCAGTACTGACATTTAATCAACAGGCGGCAAGGGCGGCAAGGGTCTCGGCAAGGGCGGTGCCAAGCGCCACCGAAAGATCTTGCGAGACAACATCCAGGGTATCACCAAGCCTGCTATCCGACGTCTCGCTCGTCGAGGTGGTGTCAAGCGTATCTCTGCTAGTAAGTCTATACATCGCCTTACCGTACATTTCAATGTCTAACCACGCGCACAGTGATCTACGAGGAGACCCGCGGTGTCCTGAAGACCTTCCTCGAGGGTGTCATCCGTGATGCCGTCACCTACACCGAGCACGCCAAGCGAAAGACCGTCACATCTCTCGACGTTGTCTACGCCTTGAAGCGACAAGGCCGTACCCTCTACGGTTTCGGTGGCTAAGCGCGTTTTGTTTTACATGCCTGTTACGAATCTTTGCGGTCGACTGCTTGCTGCGCAGGACCTTGTAGGGTGTTTCATGATGACATATGGGTCCGGTATTGTTTTTTGGGTGTTATGTACCATAAGGGAATTGGGGGATTGCATTCAGGGATAATCGAAAAGGCCCTCGAGGCGATATTGACCACCACCATGCTTGCCATTGAACACAACGTGACTGTAGACGCGTTCAAAAACACAGACGCGGCCAACGCGGTCCGACTGTAGCGGTGCGAAGCTGTTGGTGTTGAACGTGTAGTGTCCGTTTCGTGGCACGTTTGGCTCCTGCTGGACCCACGTACCTAGTTGTTAGGTAAGGTACTATTTGAATGTTGTATGTATGGAGATGTTACATCCATGCATGAATAACTGTTCGCGCACTAGGATGTTGGGATCATGCCGTTGTACATGTAGTTACTTGTATGCCGGGCTGCAGATGCTCACATCCATATGCAATGAGCCGCAGGTCCTGTATTAATAGAGAGGGTTGAATTATAGTTAAGCTTACTGACATGGCCCTGTGGTTCCGCCGGTCCTCTCAGTCACGACAAAACGATTTCGGACAGATTGGGTATAGATGTAGAAGTACAATGTCGGATCTGCGATCTCAGCATCTCGGTCGATCAAGGTAGTACTAGGGAATTGCGTGGTTGGGATGAAATATCCTGCGATGTGATGGTTGAACAACTCTTTGGCCTACAGATCAAGCTCACATGTATCGCCTCGCAATACAAGACATTCAATCCCATGGTTACAAACAAGAAACGCGCTCAATGGGAACATCTGTCTCCGGACAGTAAAGATTCAAGTGTTGAGTTCCCCGTGTCACCGAAGATGGATTTTGGTCAGAATCTTACCCTACAGCACCACACACCCTTGGCCGGATCCCCAGGTGCGATATAGCAAACCCAATTCATGGCTATCATCAGTGTTATGCCGCTTGATTGATGAGTCATATCCACAAGTTTTACCAGATAAAGTGTATGGCAATACTCGTCACCACAGCTATGTTTGGCCATGATTGATTATGCAACCTAATTCTAGATCTGCCCCAGTAGCGTATTGCATCCATTTTGGCAAACAATCTCGACCAAACCCTCTTAAAATTGCTGAGTCACTGGGTCACAAGATGAGACAAGAAAGGAGTCATCCTTGGCCATGTCAATGTCAACACAACATCAATACAGTAGTAACCGTCTTGTCAGTCGGCCGAATATTTCGGGTGACGGAGCCTACGGGTGGCGAGATCAAACGATCGGCAGGCCTGGACCACGTGGGAGTTGACTAAAATTAGAGGTTGCCACACTAAGATCTGGGGTGAATCTTTATGCACCACAAAGGTACTAAGGTATACTGTACAGTACAGTAATGAGTACTAGTACCTGACATCGGGATCCATTGCTGATCTTGCTCATGCTTAGAAAGAAACAAGAAGAAGAAGAAGAAGAAGAAGAATAATAATGCTGGTATGTACTGTAGGCTTAGCCCATGGCGCGAATGCGAAAGCGAATGCGGCTGTACCAATTCACTTGAAAAGAATAAGTAAGAGATGGATTCGGACAACCATTAAAACCCGACGGCGACGGAAATAATGGCTGACCGATGGTTCCATCCGGCAGTGCCCGGTATTTGTCACTACCGACATAGAACTAGGTACCTAGAACTCGTAATAGCCCTACTAAGCCATAACAGACAGCACAAACGGAGTTGCCGAACATGGGATGGGGACTTTCCTTTTCCATTTCGAGACATGTATAATCACGAAACACCTTACGCATTCTCCCGGAATTGATCAACTCTTTCGCCCAGCCTTACCAGGGAAGAACAGGCACGGCCGCAGCTGCTTACATGCAACTTATAGGGCTCCCTTCACTGTAACGTCGCTTCATGCAGGATGTCGAACGGATACCGGAAAAATCAACGACCTGGAGCTTAGTTGACTGGCAATTATGTGGCTTGAAGGGCTACACCACTGGTGTATAGGATATAGGATTCAACATAGGATACCCAGGTACTACTCATCTGCCATCGCTGACAGAACATTGGGCCTGTCTCAAGAGTGATGATGTTGGGTGGCTAATCTCTAACTTAAGCCGCAGCCGTAGTCTCAGCCTTTTCAGCCCGTGAAGTTAAGTGTATACAATGTTGACTTCTCCTAAAAAGGACAGGTCAAATACCTATACACCTTGGTAGTTCAGTTCGGTCCATAATGGCCACGTATATGACTTACATGGCGGTACTGTACGCAGAGCAGCTGGTTCCTTCTCCATACTTGACCAGTTCAACAATTCAAACACGCCCAAACCTCGCAGGCAGACACAATGTGTGTAATAATGTGTTCTTGTATCATGTGTAGCCCCGGTGCGTATCTCGGGAGATGGTGATGGACAGTTAAAGAGCCGGCCAGTTAACATACTAAAATATAATACAGCAGCTGAGGTTTAACCAGTATTGATATATAATATGTTCAAAGAAGCTGCCGAGTTGTAAATCTCTCTACGTCGCCCATCAATCAATATGATTCTTTTTCTTTAACCTGAGCCTTATAACGATATCTCACTCGAGACTGATCAAGGTTATAAAGCTAAAAAAACACATACCTTTTCAATACTAACACATTGAGCCACCATGACCGTGGCTTCAACAAGATAAAACTCTCTCAATAGAACCACAAAGCTTATAAAATAACTTCTCTAAATCTTCAGCTTTTTGGCCCATATAAAGAAGTCCCTGACCTTACTTCCCTCAATCAATGCAATTAGTCGACCTATTTGACATAAAATCGAGAGCACCGCTCATGATATCGAGTTACTCCAAACAAGTGGCCAGTATAAGTCAGACAATCGAGGTGCGTCATATACATGTTGGAAGCTATAAATCCTAAACAAAAACAAACTGAAAATTGTCAACAGATGACCATACAGTTCTGCAACAGTTGTGGGAACCTGCTTCCCACAACGCAAGACTTGAAGACGAAGTGCGACTGCTGCGGGAAGGTGGCCAACAGTATGTACCTGTATGCATATCGCTTGGTTTTGTATGCGTGACTAAAGCACTGACTTAGACACTTTGCTGGGCATCTCCAGCATTTCCACCACGGACAATGTACCTTCAGCACTGCAGAACAAGCCATGGATCAACATGCCCAAGAATATACCGACGCCACCACTGTACAAGGGTAAACCGATACCACAATTGCTCCAGGCAGATGTGAAGTGTCATGAATGCGATGAGCAGTGTGTGCAGTATGTTGCTCTTCCATTAGGGAATGCAGACGAAGGAACGAGAATATATTACTCTTGTGTAGAGTGCGAAGCGAGGTGAGTTCAGCCCATGTCCCGCTGCGATTCAATTCTCATAAGACTTTAGGTGGCACGTGGATAAGCGAGGTTCATAAAGTTTCTGGGAGAGTTGAAGGCGGCGATCAAGAAGCCCGGGCCAGTGATGTCCATAGCCCAAAGCCCATAGGCTCCAAATTTGATACTCAGGTTATCTCTCCATCATGAGCCTCGCCTACTGGCATACTTTATAAAATTCGGTCCTGGTACACAGGCTTTCAAACACAGTCGACGCCTCCATCATGTACCATGGCATAGCCTCATCAAGTGACGGTGAAGCCGAATATCACGACATGTGTTCAGTCTATAAGAGATTACAATAACGAGCTGTAGCTGTGCTGCCAATAGCATATGTCCATGCCCAAGTAGCTACTAACGTAATGTATATTAACAACCTTGAATGTATACTAATATTGAAGTCGCGATTAACCAGACGTAGATAAGTAATGTGCAGTATACCTCTAGTTTTGTACTGTACTGTATAGGAACAATGGAACATTTTCGGGTGGTTTGTTTAAACCAAAACCGAGCATGATGGAAATTATGGCTTTAGCGATGCGTCGGCCGATAGGACCGTTACATGTAAGTCCTGGGCAGTTAATTCGTGTACATTGATGAAGGCCGAGGAGGTACTGTAGTCTAACTGACGTTAGTAGCTGGGTTGATCCCCCCCCACACACGGAGAAGCCGAACCGGAAAAGCTGGAATATGGAGATAAGATCTAACTATCTCCTAGTCTAGACTACGACTACCATATGCTATGCCCAACAGCCCAACAGTAAAGGAAAGCTATGTTAAAAAATGGAAATGGAAATGTCAGAACTAATGCATGGAAGTGTTCCTTGTCCAACCTAGAACATGTTTATCATGATCGGCCAACGTCTCGGCCACTGTACACTCGGCCGGTACATACAGCCCTGTCCAACTGACTGCCTGCAAACGAGGGAGTATGCCAGACCATAGGTAGCTGCTTATCTGCAGCTTTCTGCGATGCAACTTGAAATAGTTGGTTGAAGACTAGTAATTGTAATTCGTCTAGCCAACAAGTCCCGGGCTTCAAGGTTGAGTAGCAGATACGGTAATGGAATGACATGACATGACATGTATAGAAGTGACAATTAGACACGCTCCTGTGTACTTCAGCGCCTCAACGATGGAACAACTATCTTCTGGATGCTCTCTCAATGGACCCAATGTTTCCAATATCAGTAGAAGCATTAGACGCTCTAGTCTTCTGGGGATAGGTCGAGCTCAGACTTGGAAGAATGAAGTGGCGGATCGCGCGGCTCCAGCCGCTACCGTTGCGGATCTATCGGGCCTCCAGCCTTACAATACGCGGAGTTGAGTCCACTAGGTTAGTAGGTACTGTACTGTAGATGCCTCTCCACGCTCTCGGACCGGTAACTCATGATTACTGACTTGTACTGTATCCTATAGTAGGTCTAGTAGTTATGAGGTGAACTTCTGTTTGACTGCAACAAACTGATTAAGTGCAGTTAAGTCAAAACAACTCAACTGCCTGCATCGGATATGTACCGCAGTGTCTTGCCTATCAGAGGATATATGCTGCAGCATCTTCCTCTTGCATTTCCACATTGAGAAATGGCGTCCGAAGACGAGTAAAAAATAAACAAAATCTAGGATAAAGACTTTAGCTACTCCCCTTCTCGGGTGGTCCGTCGCTGTATTCCTAGGCATATGCGGAGAAACACAAGACAATGAAATTTTATTATGGGTACATGATCGATCTGGCCAACTTAAAAATAACTAGACTACCCATTCTAAACCGGAGTGTTGGGTGAATGTGGCTTAGCAGTGCGGTCAGCCACACACATAATTGGCTGGGCATTGGTTCCGATAGAATCCGATAGCCTCTACAGGGGAATCACTTACTGTGACTGTAGCGGATCGGTCAGGCCGAGAACGCTCCATGTCACTTGTCCTACCTTCCTACCAAAACGGTTCCTGATTTGCTTGGTAGGGTATACTCTCGGTAAATGCTGGGATGTGTTCCTGCATCACAAGTCTATTGTACAGTACAGTGCTTTTTGTCCATTGCATTGGATATCATGATAGCTTGTTGAGTAATGCTAGGAAAAATTTTCTTGTTCATGCCTGGTTTTTACCCTTTTGTCAGCGGTTAATTCCCGTAGGGGTTACTGTCTGATGGCCCTGGAGAATCATGCGAGGTATCCGGACTGAACAGGCAGAAGAAGAGAGGAACAGACACATGCCCTGTCACCCAATTAAGTGTGTCATACGACAAGCACACCGATGAAGCTGCTATTTTGCTACACTTCTGGCTTGCACTCACTAGACTGATCGAGAATGTGCAGCTCATCTAACAGTACATGGGCATATAGGAATGCAAAGCCGTGGTGAGTCAATTAATACGGGGATAAGTCTCATGTGACCCTCAACATACTATGTCGGACTCATCATGTGATGACAAATGGAGTAGTCCAGAGCTGTGTAATCCGAGATAGACTCAGATAGAGTGTGGCGGAAGCTCAAACGTGGCACAGACAGCAGATGACAAACCATGAGTTGTGGCTGTGCGGGACGCAACCAAGGTAGCGAGCGCAGTGACGGGATAGAACTGTAGCCAGGCCAAAGGGATCGGCGGGGCTAGACTACGTCAGTGGAACCGCTCAACAAGCAGTGAAAAACTTGAGTTGTGCTAGGGCAGGCTAAGATTTTCCTGAGCAGCGTCAGAGGTTCAAGGCATTGGGACAGCTCATTGGGCACCGTCTCTGATGGGCCTTTATCGGCGTCAGAGCCCTGCAGCCCGGGAGAAAGCTAGACTTGGCCCTTCCATAGAGAGCTGGACGCTGGGAAAACCCAACCGAGACGTACCTACGTACAGTACCCTGCCTAACCCCTGCGACACCACAGTACATACAGTACGGTAGGTACCTGATGCTGAGCGGGTGGGCTCGCTTGTCCGCGCTGCGGGAGGCTTAGGTTTAGGGGAGGGAACCTCGGACCCGAAATGACTAACAAGACCTCGCGCTTCGTGTTCTGTAGATGCTTTGCTTGGCTCGCGAGGTGAGAGACGTATTTGAAATCAGTTCATAGATTTCGGAGAAGCACGATGCCGTCAAGTAGAAGCCAGTAGATTGATGCAACCTTGGTTGGAGAAGCATCCGGAAGCGACCTGAAGCATTGAGAAGATCAGCAGCGATATAGTCATAACGAATGGGGATCCCAGACATCATCAGCATCATCCATGATCAATCAGCCATCATTCATCAGGAAAGAGACACTACGTAGCACATTACAGTATAGTATAGGCCTAGCCTAGCCTAGCCTACAGGAGGTACTGTACGTAGGGGAAGAAAAGGAAGAAAACGGCTCTGGCCTGATGATTGTCCACACCATTACCTAGGTACTTCCTTCACAACCTGACGACCTTTACATGCCACATCTGGTGAGACACGCCCCTCCATTTCGCTCATCGCTCGAGATCCGTCAACAATCCACCCCCTTTACGACTCGGCGCGGCCTGTTTCTTTTTCTGGGTCCAGCATCCGGGTCTTAGCCAACCAGTCATGTCTCGGAAAGTCCAGCCTCGGCCCTGCTATGTACATCATAGAGTGGGTCTAAGGGTCTTGCAAGTCTCGACTGGAGAGGGGTGCATCTAGAACTTTAATTCCATGCACTTAAAGTACCGTCCGTACACAAGACCGTCGATACCAAGCAGGATCCATCATCTGTCTTTTAGCTTCCATCTATAAGTTCCTACATTGTTGGAAAGTCCCTGCTTCTTTAAAAGACGAGCCTTCCCGCCTTTCGCCACTTCTTTCCCAACCTTAAACTCAACTCTTCTTTACAACATCATCATGTTATCGATCCCTCGACTACAACAGCAACAGCATCAACTCCAACTCCAACAACTCCAGAACAACTCTACCAACTCTCAACACCAGTATCCCTACGCACAAAATTGCCACGCCGAATATAACGCTACCTCTTACTCGGATCTTCCTAGATCGAATTACGACGACGAGATTGCTGCCCTGAGCCAGCAACTACCAACACATCTCATGCAGGGAGAAACCTGGGGCGGACTTGCCCAGCAGACCCCAAGACCATCTCGGGGAGCTCACCAGCGGGAATCCTCATTGTCATCGCTTGGGTCATCTACGGCGGGACCCGCCTCTCCCTTTAACAGCCACACATCGAACCCATACATTGCTGTCACAGACGCCAACGATCAAAGTAACCAAACCTCGCACTACCAACTCTCGAAATCGTTGACTCCATTCACTGGCTACCAGGCCTGCGGAGGAATGGAGCAGCAGGCTATGCCTGACATGGCATATCCTATCACGCTTCCTGGTCCAAGCAGCAAGCCGAGAATGGATCGAGGTTTGATGCAAGCTCCTGATTTTTCTGGTGGCTGTACGCGATCACACCCTGCTTCGGTGGCGAGTTCAATTGCAGGTGACTCACCTGCCACTCCTACTGTTGGCGAGGCTGAAACCGCAGACAGAAGACGAAAAGGTAAAGAGTTGCTCGGCAAAGATCTTATGAACAAATACTCACATTCTGACCTTGTAGCCTTTCCAAACCCCCCAAAACTCGACAGAACCATGACAGATGTGTATGCCGATGAGCTCTACAGCCCTAACTTCGCCATCACATCTACGCCACCATCGCAAGCTCAAGTATCAGTGTCACCTACAAACGACGTCTTCAGTCAGAGACTTCATGCGGCGAACAGCCAGCATCTCAGCGCTGCTCACTCACCAGCCTCCAGCACTTCACGGGACAGATCACCGTTCCGCACTGGCTCGCCTCTGGCACCTTCACCTGCTCATGACTTTGGAAACCCCAACCTTGCACAGAATCTGCCTTTCAACAGTGCTCAGCGCATGCGTGAGCAGACCAAGGCTCATCAAGAGGCACAGTTCATGCAGCAACAGATGAACTTGAAGCAGGAACCTGAGACACCCAAAACCATCTCCCCCAAGGATGCCATTCTGGAGTTCAACGAGCCCGAGGGCGACAATAACTTCCCTCTTTTCCCTCCGGATGCGTCTGGCTTCGGCATGGAACAGTTTCCAAAGTCAATGATGAGTTCTCAAGAGTCGATTCCTGACACGCACGCTCAAAACCACTTCAATTTTCTCCCACCCCACGGCGCCAATGGTATCTCTGTCCCACAGCAGTACCCATTCATTGCACACACCACTCGAATTAGCCACGATACACCGCCACGCCTAAGCTCAGCTGGATCGAGTTCAAATGGATCAAGAAACACGACTCCCGCAACCCGTCCAGTCAACACTGCTGCTGACGGTGGCACTTATACCTGCACATATCACGGCTGCACTCTACGATTTGACACACCAGCACAACTACAGAAGCACAAGCGAGAAGGTCATCGTCAGACACAGACATTGGGTCCTGCTAGACCTCGAGATATCGGCATGACAACATCAGCAATGCTGAACAGTCAAGCCGGTCCTCATCGTTGTGATCGAATCAACCCAAGCACCAACAAGCCTTGCAACACTGTTTTCTCCCGACCCTATGATCTCACACGTCACGAAGATACCATCCACAACGCCCGCAAGCAAAAGGTGCGATGCGACCTTTGTACGGAAGAGAAGACATTCAGCCGTGCAGACGCTCTTACCAGGCATTACCGGGTATGCCATCCTGATGTGGAACTCCCAGGCAAGCATAGACGACGTGCCGGAGCTTAAACTAGAGCTGTCCAGTGCCTGAAAGAGTATACTGCAAACCTATCCGCGACCCACGACCCCTGAGGGCTATTCCAAACTGCATACCAAACTAATGGCGGATGAAGGGTCCGGTGTTGGATGATGCTACATGACGTGGACCACCGTCAAACCAAGGCTTGGCGCATGTGGGTCGATCGTCGCAAGGCTTCAAGTCGCTCGAATCGGGTTGGATAATCAAGAGCCCAACACGATAGAGCCCCGGTCTCTAATGCGGGAATGTGGGTCCAAGGGTCCTTCCTGCAGGAAGGGTCTTTTTCACTGACGTCACGACCTATCCATCCCTTACGGCTGTGACATCACATGGCTCCGCCCAGGTCTCAGTCATCCACCAGCATCGTTCCCCGACACTCCCTGATGATGACATGGCGCCCGTCATGGAAACCACACGATACGCAACGCAACGCAATGCTGTGCAACGCAATTTATCTGTGCTTGGTTATCCCCATCCATCATCATCATCATCATCATCATCATCATCATCATCATCCTCCAACCACCCACCGGCCATCAGCTAGGATCTATCCACCATCCGTACTCACTGTAATGGATTTGTACCATGTACTTCTACCCTGGTTTTAGTCGTTTGTTTGTTTTGTTTGCGTCTAATCGAAGAGCATGGAAGACAGCGGATGTTAATCCGCGCACCACTTTTGATTTTGTATATTATGCAGCGTTTATTGTCTACACATATTATGAGTGGATCTTATACAGTTCTATTGGAAGGATGTCTGGCTGGCCAGGACCACATTGTCACGAGTATTATTGAGGAAAGACTTGAGAAAAAAAAAGGGAACATGGGTCTAGACAAAAAGGAGCGTTAAGGTTGATTATAGCGTTGTATTTTGATAACGAATTTACGATCATGCCATTCATTGATTCCGACGCTGTCCTATTGTGAAGTCCTATCATCATCATTACTGCAGGTGTTTAACTGAGACATCGTTGCGGATAAGGTCTTGTGCTGTAGATTGGCAGAATATCAAGGAATGGGTACAGTATCAAGCATGATGTATTGCAATGATGCAAGCCATATTGCTTTTAGTAGGGACCATTAATACAGTATCATTCAGGGATATGGATATCAAGCAATCCATTTCATTTCAGAGGCTAATAAACGGTCGGCGCTAATACTGCAGATCAGACCCATGCGACTCGATCATTGATATGCACTGATGATGGAATTAAGCTGATCAACATCATATCCAGCCTGGCCCAGCTCATGGTCCATGCTGTTGTTGTAAGGGACCAAGACATTACATTGCATTGCATTATATTATAGTACATATGCATGCAGACACAAGTCAGTACCCCTTCTGACGTTGCCAAACGTCAAATTGTTTGCTTTGAGTTGATAGATCTAAACGTTGACTATCTTTGTGTATATGAATCATTTTATGCAATGCCCTCTGCGAATTAGCACGAGCAGGTACTGCAGCATGCCAAAAACCTTTTACAATCTGCTATGTTTAGTTTGTGTTGCGTAAATAGAATCAGGAGCTCATCCATCTGTCATGTCATGGCCCAGATTGTGGTCCCCACCCTTGACGCAATGTAGTACAGTTTAGGTAGGGCTAGGACGGGAGGGGTTGACATGTTCCTTCGCGGCACGGCATAGTGACAGTCTGAATAACGTCACTCACTGCTGGGAGATTTTGTCCCCCCCTTAGCTTTACCAAATGCAGCAATCTAAGGCCGCACGACGTAGTACTGGCCAGCAACCTCGTCTGTAAACAGTTTGACATAGTGTTTCAATTTCTTTCTACAGTACCTAGGTATGTATCTTACCGACGGGATTCCCTTTTCCCCACCGAGAACGCCGTCATTTCCATCCACCATGATCCTAGGTGGTCCTCGACTCCTCGTAAATTCGATATATCCTTACGTCGTCATCGACAGTCAAGACCTCCTTACTCGCCTAGGACAGCTGCCCGGGCGTCCTTGTACAGTGGGGTAATGCCCGTCCACAACTCGAACTGAAACGACAAGATTAGTTTTGTGAAACTTGCTGAGAACTATGACGATTTGCTTACCTGATACCATCCCTGAGATGAAAGCACCTCGAGCCCGGGGATCGTAGTCCAGTTGCCTGCATCCTCTGCCAGCTGCATGATTGGGGTATGGCTTGGCTTGTATGCCATCTCAAGAAGAACTCGACATTGTCCGTCAGTAGCTGGTCTGCCGAGAACAACAGCAACTAGCTCTCGAAGGCTGGCGTCGATAGGCCGATCAGCTGGAATCGTGCTTATGACAACCCCTAAGGCTGACGATACTTTGTCAGCAGCTGAAGCCTCGCTGAGTCCTTCAAGTTGATAATCCTGTGGAAAGTCGGCAACAAGTGCATCGGCCTTTTCTTGGTTACGAGCGGCAATGTAGATGGGACCAAATCCTAGTGAGTGAAGCGCAAAAATGGCTGCTCGAGTGGTACCTCCTGAACCTACCACCATGGCCGCTGCCTTGCTATCTGCACCTGCTTGTTCCTCAATGCCAGCGTCGCGGAGAGCGTGGACCATGCCCTTCCAATCTGTATTATCTCCTAGAAGGCGGCGGTGACCCTTGATATTGGGTTTTCCCAAAGGTACCACGGTATTGACCGCCCCAATGGTGCGGGCTGCATCCGAGAGCTCGTCGACCTGGCCCATAATGTCCAGCTTGAGAGGGATAGTCACTGAGGCACCGCCAAAATCGGGAGACTTGAGGACATCACGCACGTCCTCAATGTTGTCGGTTTCAAGACGGTGATACTCATGGGGTAGACCGGTCTGGCCGAAGAGAGTATTATGGAGAGCAGGTGAACGCGAAGCTGCGATTGGCTTTCCGAACAAGTAGAAGTTATAAGAGTCCAAGTCTCCCAGTAATGCCAAAGCTCGACGAATGTCGGCCGCAGACATCTGGCCAGGCGCGGCCTTGAAAGGGAGAGCTGGGTGAGATACAGGTGTTAGGAAACGATTGAGTACACGACTTAGCTTGCCTGCTTTGCCCATGTTCATGGCAATCATAGGAGTCTTCTGTGCTTCCTGCATCCTGGCTTTAAACTTGGCGAGGTCGAAATTATCCTCTGGGGTACGAGCAATGCCGACAAGCTTAATAATATCACCGTATTGCAAGGCACGGTTGTAGAACTGGATCCAGGAGGCGTTCTTCCATGACATGGTACCCTTGGGGTCATGGTGCGAGGCAATGATGTGGGAATAGCCACGAGACTCTGTTACAATTTGGATGACGTGGTCTGGGAGAGTCATCTCGACATCAATATACTCCAGTCCCATCCGCAAGGCCAGGCGGTAGAGTTCGAGACCCTCTTCGTAAGCCTGATCGGGGAATTTACCCCCTTGTGACTCGGTTCGCAAGGTGAAGACAATGGGCTTCTTTGCAGACGCCCGGAGAGTAGAAATCTGTCGGATAACGGAGTCAACCGAACGATCTTGGAGGAGGTCTACCCTTAGTTCGACTGCATCGGAGCCAACCACGACCTGTGGCACAAGATCCACAGCTTCGTTCACATCAGGCACAGTCAATGATACAAAGAAGCTGTGATCCTTGTTTAAAACGTCCTTGAAGTGGGAGTTCTTGCCCGCAATTGAATGGACGAACTGCTGGAAATCGTGGGGGATCTCCGTTTTACAGCCAGATGATTCCGAGTGCGGGCTATAGTAGAGATGGGTACTGCACTCGTTGTAAAAGTCCTTGCGGCGTAAATAAACTTGCCGGATCTCGCTTGTGTAAGCTGGTCGAGTTTTATCTCGGTTGAGATATTCAACAACTTGCTCGGTATCACGGTGAACCAACAGCACGTTGCCGCCATTCTTTCCGTAACTCTTGAGCAGATCTCTAGCCTCGGGAGTCTCCACAAGACCACCGCCACATGAGAAGACATAGCCAGTTTTGTTCTTCTCCATAACGTCTCGCAAAAGAGCCAGTTCGTCGGCGCGGAAACCCTCCCACCCGCGGTCTCCCCTAATCATTTCAGGGATGGTACACCCCGCTCTCTTTTCGAGCTCCTGGTCCAGATCGATGAATTTCCAGCCTAGAATTCTGGCCATCCAGTTACCAGCAGTGGTCTTGCCCGCACCTCGCATCCCGATGATGAAAACGGATCGTTCCAAAGTGGTGTCTTTGCTCTCTTGATCATGGATATCAGAATGGGACTCATGGCCGACCATATCAACCTTGAAAACTTGCGATAGGATGTCCCACCACCCAGGCCATGTTTTGCCGACACATTCTCGCTCAGTGACGACGACAGGACCCGGAGACGCAACTGCCAGAACGCTGAAGCTCATTGCGACACGATGGTCATCGTAACAATGAATGCCAACTTCTGGCACCGAGACACCACCATCTTGACCCTTTCCGACTACCTCAATACCGTCTTCAAGCTCACGGCATTGTACACCGAACTTAGCAAGCTGGTCTTTCATAGCGGCGATACGGTTGCATTCCTTGACCCGCTGGTTGGCGATGCCCGTGATTCGGGTTGTCCCAGAAGCTACGGCAGCCAAGACTGACGCTGTGAGGAAGGCATCTGTCATCGGTTCCATATCCACATGGGGCAGAGCTTTGAGTTGACCAGGGGTTGGCCCAGTAACAGTTGTAGAGTGGTCAGATTGCTCAACAGAGCAACCCATAGGCTGCAAAACATCAACGGCAAAGCGAGCATCGCCCTGTAAAGACTTTGAGCCGATATTGGGGATCGTGCATTTAGTACCGGTGATGGCGGCGACTGCCAGAGGATAAGTCGCCGAACTTGCGTCACTCTCAATTGTATACTCGGGGGGGTTCTTGTAGGTACCCTGAGGGATGTGATAGGTGTTGGGCTCTTCGGAAGAGACCTTGACATTGATACCGAATGACGCCATCATGGCAAGAGTCATATCAATATAAGGTTGAGAGATAGGCTTGCCTCCGACAAGACGTAACGTAACAGGATTCTTTGCATAAGGTGCAGCCATGAGAATTGAAGAGACATACTGGGAGGAGATAGTCGCGGCAAGCTCGATATCGCCTCCTTTGAAACCACCAGCGGCATCGACTCGCAAGGGTAGACTATTCTCTTTGCCGAGATACTCAATCTCAACGCCGTTTGAACGCAGGGCGTCTACCAATGCACCGATCGGACGGACCTTCATTCGAGCGTTACCTGTCAGGATATTCGCGCTGACATCGTGTCCGGGGGAGGCCAAGGCCACGACGGTGGTCAAAAAACGGGATGCTGTTCCGGCATTACCCAAATAGAGAGGTTCTTTGCTAGCCTTCAGATTGCCACCTCTGCCTTCTACAACGAGGACTTCTCCAGCTTCTTGCCAGGAATAAGATGCACCTCCGAGTTGGTGGATAGCTGAGAGCATGTATTCGGTGTCATCTGAATGGAGAAGGTTCTTGATACGACAAGTGCCAGAACCAAGAGCTGCTAGTACGAGAGCTCGATTGGAAATGCTTTTAGAACCCGGCGGAGCCACTGTCACGTCCAAATCTTTGGGGACTCCTGGTGTTACTTGAATCGACGATGACAAGATGGTTCGGATAGTCTTGTCGTCGACAACGCTGGCGCGTGGCTCATGGCATTTACCAATAGCAGACAACAGGACAATCTTTTTCTTCTTGCCGTCATTCTTTTTATCGACGCCCATTTTTTCCAACAAAACATCAACTGGGCATTTCTTCCCAGCTGTCAATTTGATGACACGTTTGTCTTGGAGAGAGGTCGGGAGGTCATAACTAGCAATGCATTTGACGAGTCTCGCGACAGCACCTGGGCGCAAAACACCCAAAAAGCGTGCGAGTTCTGCTTCTTTGACCATGCCGATAGCGACAGCTTCACCATGGAGAAGCTGGGGGGTCAAGATAGCCTCAAAGGCGTGACCGATCGAGTGGCCGAAGTTGAGAAGATTGCGAAGACCGCCCTCTCGTTCGTCGCTGGACACGACCTCTGCCTTGACTCCCGCAGAGCCGATAACAATCCTCTTGAGCACATCTCTGATTGGGCCGAGCCGATCATCACCTGTTGAACGGACGCATTCAAGGATGCGAGCTGCTGACTCTTCAAGGACAGTGAACTCAGTCTCGTTCCAGATGGCAGCAGTCTTGATCACTTCAGCCATGCCATTGATGAACTCACGGACTGGCAGGGTCTCGAGGAACGTCAAGTCGATATAGATGCGTTTTGGCTGCCAGAAAGCGCCAACAAGGTTTTTGCCCATAGGTGTATCAATAGCAGTTTTTCCACCGATCGAAGAGTCAACCATGGCGAGCAAGGTAGTGGGTACTTGAACAAAGCGAACACCACGCATAAAGGTTGCTGCAACATAGCCGATCATATCACCCATTACGCCACCACCCAGAGCTATGATAACCGTGTCGCGGGTGCATTGTTGGGAAAGCATCCAATCTTCGATTTCAGCCTTGGTATCGCGACTCTTGGAAGCTTCGCCGGGAGGAATTGTGTAGGTGAGAAGGCGCGTAGCCTTTCCCTGGGATGCCTCTTCGAAGCGACGTTGGAAGGCAGGAACGTAGGAATTGAAAAGATTCGTGTCGGTGATAAGTACATAGGTAGATGTAGGCGTATTCTGGAGCAGATCGTCAATAACAAAGTTGAGCCACAAACCGTGATCAACAATAATGTTGGATTCTCCGAGGATGGAGATCCGAGTAGGACCTTGGCCATCGGATTGAGCCATATTGAATAGCAACAAGCTACAAGAGCTAAAGAGCTGCTTGTTGATCAGAATGGTACAATTGCAAAGTGGTTTGTAAAGCGTCGAATTGGCGGGGCAGGGATTGATTTAGGGTGGTTGGTAGGTAAAATCTAGGAGGGGTCCTCCGATCACGGACTAATCACTAGCTGCAGCCACAGCTAGAACCAAGCTACTGACTCATCTCGTAGTACCTATCTAGGTATAAGAATTTAAGGTTAACTCTTTAAAGGTAAGTTAAAAGTAAAGAAAATAAAAGGTATTAGTTAATATTAATTAATTAATAATTAAAAAATAATCTTTTTTAATATAAGTTAAAATATAAGTTTATTTTATTTTAATTAAATATTATATTATATTATTTTATTATTTTATTATTTTATTATATTTTATAAAAGATATTTTATATATTATTATAATTACTTTATAAAAATTCCTAAGCTTTACTACTTTAATTTTATAATTTAATTAAGCTTTAAGTTATTAAGCTATTATAAGTATTATTACCTTTTTAATTTATATAAATATTAATATAAAAATAAGCTATTTAGTAAATTAACTTATAGCTTAATTTATTAGTATTAACTATAGCTATTAAACTTAACTATTACTAAAGATACTTTCTTTCTTTTATAATTATATTAACTAATAAGATATCTTAGTAAGTTAATTAATTTTTAATTTTTATTATATTTTATTATTTATTAACTTATTTTATAGTAATAATTTCTTTATTTAAATATTATAATATAGTATTATACTACTAAGTTATAATATAGTAGTAATTAAGTTAAAAAGGTATATAATTATAGTTATATAATTTAAATTAATTAAAGCTATAAGCTAGGTCTTTTTTTACTTTAAGTAACTAAACTTTAATATATATAAAATATCCCTAGTTAAAAGATTATTAATTTTATTATTAGTTACTTATAGGTATAATTTTAAGTAGGGAAATTAATTATATAACTTTATTAATTAACTAATAGTTACTAATTAAAAAGACTTTATATAATTATATATAATTTAAGGATAACCCCTCTAGGGTAGATTAAAGCATAGGCTTATCTTAATTAAAGTTACCTATATTAACTAAACTCTAACTATTGCTAATAAAGCTTTAACTTATATATATAAAAGGCTACTATATAAGGTATAGTAGCTTAGCCCCCTTCTTTCTTTCTATACCTATACCTATACCTCTTATACTACTATATAAGTAGTAAGTTAGTTAACTCCTAATCCTTACCTATTATTATATATTACTAACCTGTTTTATAGTAATACTAATTAAATACTATAGTATTACTCTAATTACTAATTAGTACTATAAGCTTAATAATAAAGAACTTAATAAGCTAAAGATTATAAGAGCCTTTATATTAATTTTACTAAGGTTTATCTTTATATAAATAGCTATAAAGCTAGTAGTAAACCTTAATAAGAAGTATATAAATAAAGGGAAAGTAGCCTTAGTAGCTTTTAGCTATAGATTTCTCCTTCTTATTTACCTTAATACTAAGGTACCTTAGCTCCTTAATAAGCTAGTATCCTTAAATAGACTAATAATAAAGCTTAAGATAAAGGTAGCTTTAACTAATAATAAAAATTAGTTTCTAAAAGAGGCTAATAAAGACTATTACTTATACTAGTTTATTCTTTTAACTAAGTAGGTAAACTATATAGTTATAGAAATTACTAAGAGAGCCCTAGTAGTTAATATAAGGCTATAATAGCCTTATTATAGCCTAGGACTATAAGTTAATAATTATTAACTTATTAGTATATAGTATTCTTAAGGGGAAAAAATTAAGTATATAAGGTTTTAAAAAGGGATTATATTTATATATTATTTATATATTAGTAAAAGTTAAAGTTAAGGTTACCTAAAGTTAAAAATAATAAC